CAGTACCCCCTAATACTTCCCAGTACCCCCATGTACCCCCCTGTACGACCCAGTAGCCCCAGTACCCAATAGTTCTCCAAAGCACCCTCTGGTACCACACTGTACCCCCAGAACCCTCCAGTACCCTCAGTACCAACCAATGCCCCCCAGTGCACCCCAGTACCACCCAGTACCCGGTAGTACCCAGCAGTACCATGCAGTACCCCATAGTACTCTTTTTTGATCCCCAGCACCACCCAGTACCCCCCAGTATCACCCAATACCCCCAGTACCTGCAGTACCCCATAGTTACCCACAGTACCCCACAGTACCTGCAATACCCGCAGAGTACCCCCAAGTACCCCTTAGTACCCCCAGTACCTGCAGTACCCCAGAGTATCCACCAGGAAATAATTAAAAAATATTTGTAAACGATTTATATAAATATTTTTATAATCAGTTAATCAATAATTTGTTTAGACATTATTGATCGATTGATGAGTATGCAAGCATTGAACTGTGAACTGTAAGCTGTGACTACTGTGCTTTCATGTAAATGGATACCCACCGTAATGTAAGTTTTTATTTTTGTATTCTTTCATAAAAACTGTATTGTCCTAAAAAGTGCAACATATAAAATCTAAAAAGCTCTTGCTTATGATCAGCAGAAGGCCTCAGAAATGATGATTCATACTCCATGATATAAACTGTATTTTAAAAATATATACAGTGAAACCCTTAATAACGAATACATCGGAAGAATTTATCAAACGTCGTCTTGACAATTTTTCAATGAGTTTTATACTATATTACGTAAATTTCAGTATTAAAATATTCAGAAAATAAATAAATAGCCATGAATATGCGGGAACAGGTTTAAAGAGTTCCATATAATCATTTAATTAAAAAACTAAATATCTGCAACATTCCATTGTCAGAAAGTAAAGAATACGACATTTGATGAATTCTTTCGATGTATTCGTTATTAAGGGTTTCACTGTATACAATTTAATTGACCTATAATATTTAATTCATTTAAATTTAACTGGGTCAGCTTAAAGACATGTTTGATTTTTAACAAAATTAGTTTGAAAAAAGCAATGGGCAAAAGACATGCTCTTGGTTACCTGATCAAAATGTGTATAGGCAAACTTGATCAAGCTAGGCAAACTCGATCAAGCTAGGCAAACTTGAACTAGACAAAAAGTTACCTAGGTAAAATGTTACCAAAGGCAAATTATGTGACTAGGCAAACTTGAACTAGGCAAAATGTTACCTAGGCAAAAAGTTACTTAGGCAAAATGTTACCTATAGGCAAAACTGAACTAGGCAAATTGTGACTATAAGAAAAAATGTGGCTAGGCAAAAGATAAATCGGCAAATTTTGTTAAAAGAGAAAATGTCGCAGATAATTAGCAACAATTTAAAGTTATTAAATCGAAGATGGGCTGGAAGCGCCCTGGAACTTGGAAGCCTAGTCCACAATATTTACTCTAATTAGATATTAGATATTAGATTAGATATTAGTGATATTCCCTGATAAAACCTACATTTGCTAAACCACACCAGGTTTGTATAAACACTCTTAATTTCTTTAAACTTTAGCGAGGGTTTTTTTTTAACAGGGTTTTAAATTAGATTTGTAAAAATGTCAATAATCAGGATGAAGATTTAAATTTACACAATTAAAGTTTTAGCTACAAACTCTGATTTTCTAATACATAAATCTTTGCAACATGATGATGTGATTGTGAATCATTTTTATTTCAAACAATTAGATTATTTTTAAAATTTTTTTTAGTTTTAACTAATGTCTACGACAATGTGCAGAAAACTAGATTTTGTGGCAAAGATTTAATTCCTTTAAACCTTCTTTCGATGTCTGTTAATGCAAATTTTGTTATTTTGAAAAAAATTTTTTTTTAACCTTTCAAGTTCGTGATCTTCAATTTCAAAAGCGTAATTTTAATTTTGATCCTCCACGCAAAGATGGCAATGCCTGATTTACAACGGTACCCTTAAAAGCTTTGTTTGATGACGTAATAATTAAATTTGCATATTTGTGTGTCTTTAAACTGATTATTTTCAATTTCGGTATCTCTGCAAAACTGAATTGCGCATTTCTTGCTTTTAAGAAACAATGGAGAAGAATTCAGAGAAAGAAACAATTTCCGAGTCTGAGTAAGCACATTTTTGCACAGATTAAGGTTTTAATGGCATTGTTGTAAATCGGGCATTGCCATCTTTTCATGGAGGGTTACTTGAAATTACTCTTACAGCACCTTTAAGTTGGACAAATAACTTTGATGAATATTCTTATTATTTTCTAGCCTGGGAACTCAGCTTTGCTTTCTCAACCCACAAAAATTTCGTTTGAGAACTTTTCAAATGTCGTCTTCTTCTGCCATTTGAATGAAAAATATCAAGACCAATCAATCAACAAGGACGGTATCAGAAGATAAAATAAATACCCCCATTTCCCCTCCTCATTGAAGTTATGGGTATTAACTTGTTATAGCTGCCCAAGAGTCGGCCCTGTACTTACATCTAAACAGAGTTTTTAATAACAGACACCTTTACACCTTTAATTATTTTAAACCATAAACATTAGAAAAAATGCACTACAAATTTCAGGGTTACAAAGCAAATATCAAGGATGTTGTTAAAAATCTGGAAAATGATATTCAACATTTATTTTGTAGGTTTTTAAAGGGAGTGACCGGCTGTGTAAAATAGTTGAACGAAGAATGTAGCGATGAAGAGTAATTTTTTAGGATTCATTTGAGACCCATCAGACGTTTTTTAAGGTGCATATTTGTTCAGCAAGAGCGCAAATTCAATCTTTAAAATCCTCATAGATTGTCCATTTTGGAGGGGTGATATTGAGAATCCGTTTTTATAAAATTATTCAATGACAACCACGAAATATGTAACGAAAATACGACAGTGATATGATAAGTTGTTAAGGAACACATTGAGAAAATAAAAATTAACTAAAATTAAATTAAAAAGAAATAAAAATAACTAATTGTTCAGTTATTTATAGTTTCTGTAATGAGATATTCTTTACAAACATTTTCTATAGATTTCCTGCAGTTTTTATTGAAACGACGACATGTAAAGATTAGGGAAAATCCGATAACAAATTTGTAAAGAATAAGAAATTCATTATAATGATGAAAAGGATATAATTAATTTTAAAATTAACTTATTTCTATTTTGAACAATTACATTCCTACAGCCTGGGATAGCAGACCTCTGCAGAGAAAGAAGCGCTATATAATTGAACGGGCAAAGGGGGGCAAGAAAAAGAGAAACTGCGGACATGCAGATGTTAGTTGAGAAGATAGTTGGATAGTTGAGAAGAGAGTTAATTTGATATTATTCAAGTGTATCTTTATATGTTCCAGTTTTATGCCAACCAGTGCATGCCACTTCCACGAAATAAATTAGAAAAAATCATCTTTAAAATGTAAAGTTTGTTTGTCATTTCTGATATGAAATGTTGTTAAAAAGTGTATATACATTATATATTATTATACATATTATGAAAATATATCGGTGCGAACGTGAACCATAAATAAGTGATAATGGTTCAAGGGATTGATTTGTCCTGTGATTTCAACGGATTTCAAGCCTCAGCATTTCCTAACCTTTGGAACGCTTGTGAGCTATATACACATCTACCATACGGATACAGTACACAGCCCGATACAGGTACAATATTTATAGTACACAGTTACAGGTACAATATAATACAGTACACTGTTACAGGTACAATTCATATACAGTACACATACACAGATACAATATACATAGTACACAGATACAGGTACAATGAAATACAGTACACAGATACAGGTACAATTTATATACAGTGCACATATACAGGTACAATATATACAGTACACAGATACAGGTACAATTTAATACAGTACACAGATACAGGTACAATATATACAGTGTACACATATGCAGGTGCAATATATACAGTACACAGATACAGGTGCAATATATACAGTACACAGATACAATATATACTGTACATAGATACAGGTATACAATATATACAGTTCACAGATACAGGTACAATGTAATACAGTACACAGATACAGGTACAATAAATATACAGTACACATATACAGGTACAACCGTACAATATATATAGTACACATATACAAGTACAATATATACAGTACACAGATGCAGGTACAATGTAATACAGTACACAGATACAGGTACAATGTAATACAGTACACAGATACAGGTAAAATATATACAGTACACGGATACAGGTACAATTTATAAAGCACACAGATACAGGAACACTTTATACAGTACACAGATACAAGTACAATATATACAGTACACATATACAGGTACAATATAATACAGTACACAGATACAGGTACAATATATTTAGTACACATATACAGGTACAATATAAACAGTACAAAGATACAGGAACAATATGTACAGTGCACAGATACAGGTACAATGTATATACAGTACACAGATATAGGTACAATATATACAGTACACAGATCCAGGAACAATATGTATAGTACACAGATATAGGTATACAATATATACAGTACACAGATACAGATACAATGTAATACAGTACACAGATACAGGTACAATATATACAGTACACATACACAGGTACAATATATACATTACACAGATACAGGTACAATATATACTGTACACAGATACAGGTATACAATATATACAGTACACAGATACAGGTACAATATATGCAGTATACAGATACAGGAACAATAGGTACAGTACACATATACAGGTACAATATATACAGTACACAGATACAGGTACAATATATACAGTACACAGATACAGGTACAATATATACAGTAAACAGATACAGGTATACAATATAGAAAGTACACAGATACAGGTACAATGTAATACAGTACACAGATAAAATATACACAGCACACAGATACAGGTACAATATATACAGTACACAGATACAGGAACAATAGTTTCAGTACACATATACAGGTACAATATATACAGTACACGGATACAGGTACAATATATACAGTACACGGATACAGGTACAATATATACAGTACACAGATACAGGTACAATATATACAGTACACAGATACAGGTACAATATATACAGTACACAGATACAGGTACAATATATACAATACACGAATACAGGTACATTATATACACTACACAGATATAGGAAATGTTAAACAAAATAAAATGTGGTTTATTTAGAATCTGAGATACAAGCAAGGAATGGTGGATCATTAAACTTCCAGCTTCCAGACCCATTGTAAGCCATTTACTAAAATTTTTTTTTTAATTTTTCGGAGATAATAATTAATTTATTTATCAAGTTATAAAACTGAGAAAAATACAGAACAGCTTACTTTTACTTTTGTATAAAGCCCTAGGCATATACACTCTAAAATTGTAACACACAATTGTGTCTAGCATAGATTTGAAAGTAGGAATTACTATAATACTGCTCAAGTTTTGCGTATCCTGGTTCTCAGTAAGCAATTTAGGATTTTCTAAGTATCCTAACATTTATCTTTTCGTAAAGAATTTCCTTAAAAAAATGTAGATACTTGTAGAATGTAGATACTTGTAAATACTTGCGCCACTGCGCCACTCGTAGTGAGAATTGTATATTCTTGTAGATACAGCTAGCGCCACCAGTGCAATGGTGAGAAATGTATATATTTTTCGATACTACTAACGCCATCTTGTGGTGAGAAATGTTTATACTTGTAGATACTACTAGATACACTAGTGGTAAGAATTTCGTTCAGATTTCAGTTTTGCTACCCCTATTCTTGCCCCCCCTCCCCACTGTGGTTTTTTTCCATTTGCTGTTGAAATGTTCTGACTTTTCCTAAATGCCCATAGCCCTCCCTTTAAGTCTATAACCGTATTTTACACTTACTGCCAAAGCTCTAAGGCACACTGCCTGAATGAATACTTTTTCCTGTAACAATCTAAATCTATGTTTTGACCCAATTTCAGTTGTCTGATTTTGATAAGCAATTTTTAGCTTTTTGGAAAAGCATTTGACATAAGGAAATACAATGCAGCACAAGTTTTGCAAAGAAATGTTTGCAAATTATTTACATACAACCTGTCAAAAAAATGTCCACATTTTTATTTTTTCTTTATTACAAATCATCAGGTTATTTAAAATTTTGGTAATTTTTTGCATATTTGAAATGGCATGGCCCAAGACTTTTCAAAAATGTATATTTTATTATATTTTGGACTTTTTTGCAAACATTTTTACTGTGTAACTGCAGATTTTGGAGGGATAAAGTTAAATAAAACAAAAAATTGTCAAATCTCGGGAAATATTTAAAGCACAAAAAATGCAGACCACTTTTTGGAAATTCTAGGACTAGAGGTATTTTGTCTCTAGAATTTTACTTTTAAAATTAGGTTTACAAATAAATGAAGTTATTATATACGACGTTAAAGTCGTCTTGCTACTGTCATAATTTTTGGGGCACTCTGTATGTGCTCTTTGCATTTTCTTTATTATCATAACAGAAACATTAAATATTTGGATACGGTGAAAAATGAAAAAATGGAAAAACGTTTCATATCCGATCCTTTATTTGTAAAATGTAATTCTCCAAACATTTTTTAAAACATTAATTTTGATTTGAAAACGACTTGACGTACGTCAGTATATAGGGAAACCACAATCGGATATCATAAACATGGTTAGATAGAAAGATACGGTTATCTCAATCAAATTTACTAACAATGGTTGTTCATAGGGATGGATCGTTTCCACTTTTTTGAAAAACGCTAGTTTCGTTTTGAAAACGACAAAGAAAAAAGGAAAAGGAAACGATCTTTTTTTAAAAACAATCATTGCCAAAAACGATCGTTTTTCTTTTTTTAAAAATTAGGTCGTTTTAAAAAACTATCAATTTCAAAAACGATCGTTTTTTCGAGTTTTTAAAAACAGTTATTTTTACAAACGTGAACGACCGTGAACTACAAACCTTCGTTAACGACCGGTAACGACAAACCTTTGATGATGACCGTTAACGAGTTGTTTCGATAAGAAAAACATTTAAGACAACATTCATAACCTTATCTTTATGGAAAAATAATTGAAATTAATTGTCATAAAATTCAGATTCATTAGGGATTTTTTTATAAACGATCGGTTTAAAAAAAAATCTTTTAAAAAAACGATCTTTTTTCGTTTTTAAAAAGCTTTCCCTAACATCGCGCTACAGTGGTCGATCAGATGACGTCTCCGATTGTGTACGTCTGATCTATCTATCTATCAAAAAAGAATTTAACGTAAGACATTTAGCGGCCAATCATCGTCCTCCAAAGCATGCCATTAGGTTGGACATTGCTCATACGTTCGGTGGAAAAGAATGGCCTCTGTATCAACTGCTCAATGTAACAAAGAGGGTTGAGGATATTGTCACTTTCTAAGCTGCAAAAATCGGCCTGGAATGATGAGTATTATGATGAGTATGATCTATATTAATGATGAGTGTTATGATGGGTATGATATATATTTATAGGTACTGAGATGATGAGTCTTATGATAAGTTTAATCTAATTAGGTACTGGAATGATGAGTATTATGATGAGTATGATCTCAAGAATGAAGATGAAGATGAGACTGTTGATGATCAAACCTTCCAAGAATCTTCTATCCTTGACAATATTAGAACCATCATATCTCCAGTCTCCTGGCCAGCTAGAGGTAAAAGTTCACTGTAACATTAAGTTTAAAATAAAACTATACTAGTGTTAATGACAAATTATATAATAATCTACATAACATAAATTTCAAGCTAAACTCTCCAGTTTTCAAAAAAAAACTACAAAAAAGTTCTGTGCAAGGGCCTGCAACTCCCTGCCTCGTTTACTATGTTTCACTTGGTAATCCTGTGCCCATATTTAAACACCTCTTCTTTTCACCCTCTTTCAGAAAATCTTGGCTACGGGTCTGGCTTAAACTGCAAGAACAATAGTGATATAACTGTCACCATTTAAAAGTGTTATGAAATAAAGGAAATCTAAAGCCTGGAAACTGTCCCACTGCTATGGTTGACAGTTTATTTTAAGTAAACCTCTCTCAACCTCTCTCAATGCTTACATTGCAATCTGAGCTTATCTCCAGGTCATTATGAGGACTGAAGGGGTTTCATCAATGAAACTATGCAATCTGAGTTTAGCTCCGGGTTCGTATGCGAATTGAAAGTGTTACATCAATGGAACTATCCCTATCCGAGCTATTGAGCTCACACCGGTTATAATTAAAATGGGATCCCGAAAAAATTCTGTGTGGAATAAAGATAGACAACATAAATTATTAATGAAAACCATGGTAGAATCAAGATTAATCTATCATAATTATCTTCTCTATTAATTTATTTTTGATTTTAAAATCAAAGAAACCGAAGGCATCTTGCCCTGGTTATTCCAAGGTGATATCAGTTTAGTGTAAAATTTTCGTAGTTGTTAAGTAATTTATTTTTTAAATCGATTCTGAAAAGCAAGCCACCGAAATGTATAGTCCAGGAGAATTTAAAAATAGAATTAGCGCTCTTTCTAAGCATCCTTACACCGTATAAAAACGTCTTTAAAGTCTGTGATGAATTAAAAAAAATTTCTAGAATACTCTCATCTACCATGTCTATAATGTTTATGTTTTCTAGAATACTATCATCTACCATGTCTATGTTTATGTTTTCTAGAATACTCTCATCTACCATGTCAATATTTATGTTTTCTAAAATACTCTCATCTACCATGTCTATGTTATGTTTTCTAAAATACTCTCATCTACCATGTCAATGTTTATGTTTTCTAGAATACTCTCATCTACCATGTCTATGTTTATGTTTTCTAAAATACTCTCATCTACCATGTCTATGTTTATGTTTTCTAAAATACTCTCATCTACCATGTCTATGTTTATGTTTTCTAAAATACTCTCATCTACCATGTCTTTGTTTATATTTAATTAGTTGAATTATAAGATACTGTGGCGGAAGACGATCCAACATGAAGAGTCTGAAGCCGGATATTCTGACGCGGCAAGAAGAGCATAAATCCTGCCACGTCACCATCTATAGATTCAATTTTTGATTTTCAAAATTTACAAGATTATTTATTCAGTTAATAAAGTAATTATTTAAACCGTGGTTGTTTAAATCTGAGCATATCCAAATTGGTGACCCCGAGTTTTGAACACTATAGGATTTCAAGTTGCTTGTTTCCTCGCCGCTATAGACTTTAAGAAACTTTACTATAGGCTTTCAAGTGATTTGTTTCCTCGCCGTTATAAACTTTAAGAGAACTCCTGGCTGCTTACCTATCCATCAGACATTTCCGCTTCATGCTCGAAGGTAGAGAATTTTTGTTGTTTACAGACCACAAAACTCTAACATCTGCTTTGTTCAGGAGTTCTCTGCCTTGGTCTGCTCGTCAACAAAGACACCTGGCTTATGTTGCAGAGTTCACTAGTTCCATTGTGCATGTGCCAGGCCTGGAGAATACAGTAGCTGATGCCCTGTCTCGCCCCAGCCCTACTCCAATAATTTCACCTATTCAGTTTACATCCTCTGTATGGGACGGAGTCTGTCGAATCCTTGGAATTTTTACCTCTCAAACAACAAGCTTTCATCCACAGTCAAATGGCATGATTGAACGTTTTCACAGATCCCTCAAGTCTTCTCTCCGAGCCAGAGCTGCTGACTCTGACTGGGTTTCTCATCTACCTCTGGTTTTGTTAGGACTCCGTTCAGTTTCCAAAGAGGACACTGGTTTCTCTGTCTCAGAGGCAGTATACGGTTCTCCCCTGACGATTCCTGGTGAATTCTTAGAAGCTCCAGAAATTCCGAGTTTACAATTCATCAGCAAAGTGGAGAAAGTAATAGCCGGATTTTCAACTCCTCCGCCCCATCATGTTCAATATTCGCCTCCAGTTGAGGTTCCTGCGGCTCTCAGGACCGCCAAGTTTGTGTTTGTTAGAGAGGATGCCAGCAAACCTTCACTCAGTCCTCTGTATCGTGGTCCTTACCTAGTTATAGAACGGCGGAGTAAATTCTTCCGCCTCCAGATTGGTACCAAGGTAGATTCAGTTTCCTTGGACCGTCTTAAACCAGTGCTCTCAGATTCTCCAGTGATTCCTGTAGCCCCTCCGCCTCGAGGACGTCCTCCTCTTCGCCAATCAAAGGATCCTCCTGATCCTTCCTCCGCCACGAAGTCATCCGCCTCCAAGAAGAAGTCTGTATTGTTCCTAACCCAACCTGTAATTATACCAAGAAGGAATCCTCACAGACAAGTCAGGAAAGAAGCCCTTGCTCCGCCGTGACTCCGCCATGCCTTCTTGGGGGGAGTACTGTGGCGGAAGACGATCCAACATGAAGAGTCTGAAGCCGGATATTCTGACGCGGCAAGAAGAGCATAAATCCTGCTACGTCACCATCTATAGATTCAATTTTTGATATTCAATATTTACAAGATTATTTATTCAGTTAATAAAGTAATTATTTAAACCGTGGTTGTTTAAATCTGAGCGTATCCAAAATACTGGCAAAATTGCTTGCTTTCTATTTACAACAACATCAAAAATAACTAAGATTGCTCAAAAGTCTTCTTCGTAATCCACAGTTCTGTGGGTTCCGCTGTTTCTAAAATGAAATGGGATACTAAATAATCTATTAAAAATATTTTTTTTTGTTATTTGTTTTTAAAAAACGAAGTCAAGTGAAAGAGTTTCAATTTGAAGGCAAGCTTAACGTTATTTGTCAAATCAAAAATATTTTATTTTCAGGTTCTCCGCTTGATACCATGAAAAGGATGACATTTGAACTACCTGAATGGCCAGCGAGAGGTGACAACAAGCTTTTAAAATGTGTAAATAAATAAATAAAAATTTGCCTTTTAAGCAACTTCTGAACTGTTCAAAAGAAAAAGGGATTTTTTAAAAAGAAAAAAGTTTTTGTTAAAAATTTTAGTCGATTTTAGCAAAACTTTGATTTAAAGGACTAAAATAATGTTGATTAGAAAATCTAAATCTCTGTTACTAAACGATATTAAAAACAACATGTCAACACAAAATTTAAAAAGTAAATGACATGACAACTTGTAGAGAATAATTCCTAGCCACTGCAAAATATTATAATGTTATTGTTATTTTAGCGGACTGAACATTTTTGCGAGTTAAAAGGAACAGAAAAGAGGTTTCTTTAAACTAGTGACAAAAGTTTGCTCAGTTTTATGGCATCTTTACATTACATTTTCCCTCTTTAATTTCCATATCAATTTCCTTCCTAGTAATTGGAACAAGAACAAAAAGCTGATTTTCGGGATTCTGTATTGCAAACTCTTGGTATCCAGTGTTTTGTATTCTGTATTCTGCAATCTTGCATCTATATTCTGTAATCTTGCATCTGAATTCTGTAATCTTGCATGTATTCTGTAATCTTGCATCTGTATTTTGCAATCTTGAATCTGTATTCTGTAATCTTGCATCTGTAATCTTGCATCTGTATTCTGCTATTTATTAGTATAGTGCGTCTATACAATTTCTTATTCTGTATTCTTTACATTTTATTCTGTAAGTGGTCATCTTAATTTGTAATTTCTTTTTTATATTCTGTATTCTGTATTCTGTAATCTAAAGATTTTTGTTTGTTTTTTTATACCATCTTCTAAGTTCTGTATCATATCTGATGCGTATTTATTACTTCATTATTATTATTTTGTATTATTCTCTACATTATCTTATATATAAAGGATCTCCATTAAGAAACATGAACAAAGTTATGAATAGAATTCAGACTCAACAATGGCCGGCTAAAGGTAAATAAATATTTATTTTTATTTAGCTTTTCCCTTTTCTGTTGGGTTGTCTGTAGCGATGAGCAATAGCTGGATTGGTTTTACTGCGGATACTTAAATATTTTTAAACTTTTAAAAGGTTTTACGACAATATGTGATCTGGAGAGATTTGCTTTTATCAAACATGCAAATTTTTTATCCTACAGGTGTCCCATTAAACACGGGTATTAAAATACGATTTGAAAGTCGTCTTTGATTGCTGATATTTAATGCATGTTAAAGAAAGTAATAGTACGTCTGACGAGCTTTTTATAAAATGTTCTTTCTTTCTTGTATTTTATTGACGAAGATATAATATATTAAGATAATTTTGATTCATGAAATAATATGAAAGGAATTGATTCTTTGTCACAATTTCTGATTTTTTAACCTCTATATCTTTGCAACCAAATGTTGTAGATCTTTGATATTTCAAACTATTAATACTGCTTGAGCTTATAATGTTACAATTAAAAATTAGTATGAAATGAAGGAAATATAAAGCCTAAAAACTGACATGAGTTAAACCACAGAGTATAGGAGAAAATGTATTTACAAGTAAAAAATGAACAAATAAAAATGATACTAATGAATCATATAAGCCGGAGCTCTCTGGCAGACTCTCCGCCTTTCATTCTCGACCNGGGGGGGGGGGGGGGTTGCATGGCTACATGCCCCTTGGTTTTCATTGGTTGTGAATTGCACAACCAGATTGAAAACCACAAATACTTATGCTCATAAACTAATAATAAAAGGAGATAGATTACATAGAAGGACTGGACTAGAATGAGGCCGCTCTGCTGAACCTCCGTGACTCTGGGCTTTTGGACTCTGTCCCTCTGGACCCTCAGACTCCAAACTCTGGCCCCACAGCCTTATCCTACTGCCCCCTCCTTCTAGGAGCAGATGGGAGTTGGTTCCTCCTCTTCAAGGCTTCGTGGATAACTGCCCTCTTCAAGCAGTAGTTTAGCATTTATAGGCTGGCCAGGCTAAGGGAGGCTACAATAATATAAGTTTGAAATATTTACGATGTGCACCATTAGGTTCGATAGATATAGGGATAGGAAAATTTGTGTTTGTTGCATAGACTCAATTCCTTTGTACAAATTTTGCCATATCTCCGTCAATTTTGAAGATACAAAAATGGTAGACCACATTTGAAAGTCTCAAGACCAGGCGTTTTCGATGTTAGTTGTTTAATCTGGAATACTGAAATAATTATATTCATGAAAAAATTCCGCAAAAATTGAAGACGATATAAAAGTCGTCACTGAATTCTCATGTTTATTTGGACACCCTGTAGGTAAAAATATAAGGCAAAAACGAACTAAAAACTATCGTTTTAAAAACCCAAAAACGATAAAAGCAAACTTCTACATATAAACTTAGAAATGTTGGAAACTTCTCTTACTGTCGTAAAACATTTTAAAAGTCTAAAAAAAATAAAAGTTTCTGAAAAACGAATCTGGCTTATGTCCATCCCTAGTTGTCTGCTATATTCTATTCTATTATGATAGATCTAGGAATCTAGCTGTTGTCCGTCCCTAGTTGACTGCTATATTCTATTCTGTTATGATAGATCTAGGAATCAAGCTGTTGTCCATCCCTAGTTGTCTGCTATATTCTATTCTGTTATGATAGATCTAGGAATCTAGCTGTTGTCCGTCCCTAGTTGTCTGCTATATTCTATTCTATTATGATAGATCTAGGAATCTAGCTGTTGTCCGTCCCTAATTGTCTGCTATATTCTATTCTGTTATGATAGATCTAGGAATCTAGCTGTTGTCCGTCCCTAGTTGTCTGCTATATTCTATTCTATTATGATAGATCTAGGAATCTAGCTGTTTTAATATATTAAATACGTTAATTGAGGACATCTTTTAATGTTTCGGAATTTGAGTATATTTAGTGCTATATTAAAATGATAAAGTTTTTACACACAATGACTACTTATATATATCAATAGTGTAGTTTAAATTTATTTAGAACATTTTTCGAAATCAATATATTTTATTAAAACCAAATTTCTAAATTGCCTGGATAAGAAGTACGGAAATGTATTATTTTAGAAGCACTGTTTGAAATTATTTTGTTTTCGTGTTGAGTAAGAAAAATAATGATATCTTCATTGTCGAGGATTAATTGTACCATTGTGAATTGATAGAGGCACTTTAAAACCTCCCAGTCCCTTCTATCAGTTTATAACTTTAGGTTCTCTGCTTGATCGCATAGCAACCAGAATTAAATCAAATGGAAGTCCACAACAGGTTAACAACAGAATTTTTCCTATCAACAACCAACCCCAATCTTTCCCTTCAACTCCTCCATCAAGACGCCCTTCTATCCTTCACCCTTCCCAACCTCATACTGCTGAACCCCCTACTCCATCTTCAAACCAGTTTCAAAACCAGTTTCCCGCATTTCAGCCTCTCTCTGAAGAATTTATTGATAAACAAGATACATTAGACTCCAGGAGTCCACTTGTTCAGGTAGTTTTTCTTGTATTAGTTGAAACCTTGTAAAGGCAAGCGAGCAGTATAATGTTTTTCTCACAGTGGTAATATAAACTCTATTAAATCTATCTCTATTATTTCTACTCTAAGCTGATGGGCCTGGGTGCGCATAATCTGTTAACAAATGGCAAGTTTTGGAAATTAACAGAGAAGTCCCTCACCAAACTGCAAAAACTGTTAATTTTGAAATCGTTAACAAATTGAAATTATATTCGCTTTTGAACAAATATAATGGTTAGTGAAAAAATTAAATGATGTTTTTGAAAACATTGTTTTATTTTTACAGGGAGGATTTTTCGGGTTAGCTCTTCCATTGATCTTAGGAATTCTGTTCACGTTAGGAATACCCCTTGTTCAGGTAAATATAAAAGTTAAGAAAAAGATATTTTTCATAAGGCAAACATTAATAACAATAATTTTCATATAAGATACAATTTATTCCGAAATTCTTCAACTTTTTTATCGTTCCTCGTTCTTTTTTATTATTTTATTATTGAAAAAAATCCTTTTGATGACTATTATTCTTTTTAAATTCTTTTTTCTTCTTGAATTGTTAAGATAAGTAAAAATGTCTAAATTAGAATAATAGGAAATACGGAAATAAGAGTGTTATCTTAAAATATGTCAAATTGCGGATTTTCTAAATTTAATTTAGCGCATTTTCTCCGGGACATCTAATCTGATCTGTATAAGATTTTAGGTTTGATATAGCTAGAAACAATTTATTCCCACCCTTTTTTTCGCTATATAATTTTGAAAAACTAGTTTCCTGAATGTATAAAAGGGGTCTATCAGATTGCCTGAAATAAAAAAAATTAAAAATTTAATAAATTTTTGTCAAAAATGAAATTTTAAAAAAATCTTCTTTATTATATGCAAGATCTCGCTAATCACCTTTTCTTATGACTAACCTTGTAGTATTTAAGCAATATTAAAAAACCATAAGGGGGTTAATTCCCCCCCACCCAGCAAGAAAAGGGTTAAATGAAGATTACGCGCATTTACTATTTTAACTTTCTTGTTGAATTATAAATGTTGAATATATAAAGGCTTTTGAACTATTTTCTATGGATTTTGTATTAGAGATAAAAATATATGACTAAAAATATCGAACCAGAGAAAATGTTCTTTGTTGTAATTTAGTTCTATGCGTTCCTTTAGACGCACCTTCCTTTTATTCTATCGCATTGAGGGATGGGCAAAGTTCTATTAAAGAAACGGAGGTTTTCGAAAATTATGGGAAGAGTCTATTAACGAACGGAAAAACGGTTAATTTTTAAATCCTTATCAACACGGAATAGCCGTTTTTTAAGAAAAAAAATACAGTAAAAGTTTACAAAAACAAAAACCAACGGATTTTTGTTTTATTTTGATGTTTTTAAATGTCGTCTGCTGTGTGCTAGAGACGATATTGCGGTACCTTTGAATTTTGATTAAACAAATTTGGACTTTGTCCAACCGTGAAAGAGTTCTCCTCAGAATAGGATAAATATAGTTTATTTTGATATTTAGATACTACTCAGTCCCTTCAGAAAAGGATAAATATAGTTCAACTGCTAGTGTCGTTAACGATTTGACAAACTGTTAATGCAGTTAATACTACAATAATCGTAAACAACTGCACTGTTAACAATTTCAAAAACGTTAACGATTTTTTGGTGCTATGCGCTATTAATACTGAAATAGAACGTCTGTTAAATATAATTTGGACACTTTGGGCATTTAAAAATGTATTAGACCGTTAACAACTGGAGCCCTAGAAAACTTTAGTAAATGTCGTTAAAAAAATTGAGAACGATAACCAACTGTTATTTTAAAATAACGGTAAATGCAGTTAAAGAAACGAACGTTCCGTTTTTACCTTTAAAAATAAGCGGCTACCTAAAATTTTTCTTTTTTTAATGGTTGGAACTAACCGTTAATGAAACGGCTAGAAAAAGTTGGAATGTGGCCAGCCCTAATTGCAATTTTACCTTTCACAAAAATTTCTTTAAATATTCAAAAGTTTCAATATGATATAGAAGAGATAATAGTAAAAGAGTAACATTGCAAACTTTAAAACCTCCGGATTTCTTAGATGATAATTTCTTACAATATTCTGTTTAGATAATGTTTGCCAGTGCTTCCATAATAACAGCATTTATGATCCAGGGCCGTGGCCTAGAGGGTAGGTTTCTATCTAATTACCCCTTTCCCTGATCATCCAAGTAATATCAAAAATCGTTTTTTGCAAATGATATGAACTGCAGAGCAGATTTATGCTTTATTAAAAACCTAATTTTGAAAATGACCCTTCCTATTTAAAATAGACATACCCACTTCACTTTGGTTCCCGTTGAACCTTTATCTGAGCAGTTATGTGGAAGCTATAGAAACCCCAACTGAAACAATCAATTTTAAAAGTTAAAATCATAGATATCGGGTTATCTCGTGATCTTACACATCTTTAAAGAGTACCTTTGTGAGTCGGACTTGCACTCCTAATAGTGGAGAGAAACCTTTCATTAGAAGAAATTGAGTTTTTGCCACAAACTCAAATCTTCTGATTCCAATTTCTTTGCAATCTTACGGTGCAAACTTATATTTCAAACTTAGATTATTTTATCTATAAGTATTAATATCTAAAGTCTACGACATTGGGTTTCAAAGATATTAGAAAATCAGGGTTTGTGGCAAAAACTCAACTCCTTTACTTCAACAGGGTAATTTGTTCATAGTTAGTTGCACACTTTTAAAAAGAACGGTCATGGACATTTCAAGTAAGCTCTACTACTAACAGGGCCACAACGGTATCCTTCCAACCTTTAACTGAATCCATTATATGAAATGTATCGTCCGTTGCATTGCTTCAAAAGTGTTGAAATCTGTCCTTCATTTTTTCGGAAGCAGAAAAGAAATGCGCAAGTCTTTTCAAGAGCGATAATCATAATCATAAAAAGGAGATAATGAATATCTCTAGATCTATGGATCAGATGTGAATCGAACATGTTAATATATTAATGCAGAGTCACATAAAATTACGTGTACGATTCCTTTACCTTATAAATTATCTAGGATTGAATGCTGCCAGTTTTGATGCTGCTCTACGATATATTCTTATTTCTGCCATGAATATATTGCAAGGTACAGAGCGTCCCATATCATATTAGATTATCTCTAATCTTTAACGACAAAATAAACCCTTAATACTCGAAGAACTTATCATTTTCCGCAAGAAAATTCTTATATAAGCCTTATGTTATTTTTCAAATTGATTTATTCGAATTAAATTTTCTTAATAATCCCGAAAATCGCAATTTAGACCCGTTGACGGTCTAATATTATGTGGGACACCCTGTATGTAATGCGGTGAGAATCAGAAAACTATGGGAGACATGTCGTTTTTGTTCTGCATTTTACTTGATAAATGCTGCAATGGAATTTGTAATATTCAATTGATATTTTTCTAAAAATGTTAAGAGCACTTTTTAGAAATAGTTCATGTGCGAATTACTAAATCGTTAACGACATTTTATAACAGCTGAGAGACGACTTGAAGGTCGTCTTTAATCTATGAATAAAATGTAACCATTACATTTTTAACCTGATTACAAACGTAAAATTCTTAAATTAATATAAAATAACCATGGTCCTGTCATTTCCTGAATGTGGTCTGCGTTTATTGTCATTGTTATTATTTACACAATTTAGATTTTTTATATCTATATGATATAAGCTCTTCTTCGCTCATATCTATTCTTCTATGTTTTTGAAATTCCAGTGGTAACACTGGGCGCTTCAGCTAAAATCATGATTTAATACCAAGGGCGAGTAAAATATCCAGAGCACAAAAATGTATGATTCCTGACAGGTTTCTCTCGCGAGGCTAGAACAGTTGAACTTCTTCACAGTCTTCCATTTTGTGTCAACTCCTCTCTTCTATATTCAAGGTATCTCTCTCTCTATATTAATGTAAGAATCTTTGTTTGTTTGTTTTGATGTCCGATCATAACTCAGGAACCCCTGGACAAATTTGGCTCAAATTTTAATCGGGAAACTCGAAAGAACCACGAAAATGCTCTTAGATTGGTTTTTAAGTTCTCTAGTGGGAGGGGACTTTGAATAGAGAGTTTAGTTTCCAGACTAAGTTGGATTTCCAACATTAATGAAAACCTGAAATCTCTTTAAATTTAACGACCGGAAGGGGTTTTTCCTATTAATGTTGTTTATAATGGTTAGTCAAAGTGACTAAGAGAAGCATTGCAAACGAAAAGTCTCAATCTTTTCGGGTAACTCTGTACAGTGTACATTCAATAAAATACTATGCACTCGAATTTTGATTAAATATTAACAGCTTTATTTGCCTATCCGTATTCGCCGAAAAATTTTATTCCAACAGTACTATAATATATTGTTCAGGCCTTACTCTAAGAAATGTCAAATTTTCATCTTCGAAAATTTGTTGGAGCACTGCAGCCAAATTAAACTTCATTTAAGCATCATTCGTCAAATTTTGTTAGATGAAATTTATCATTCTTCAACATTTTGACGAATGATGCTACTGAGCTTAATTTGGTTCCAGCAGGTGTGCAACTAGGATGGGGGAAAGGGGGCAATGCCCCCCCTAGCCCCGATTAAGGGGGGTCATGCCCCTCCCTTAAGAAGGCTTGCCCCCTTGTAAGTTGTAGGGGTAGGGCAAGGGCCAAGAAGTCCACCCTGTTTTGCAGTTTAGTCTGACCCTGAGCAAATTTAAGAGCTCTTATCGTAAAAAAATAATAATTGAACGTTAGTTTATTGAGCTTAACCGAGGCGCAAAAACCTTGTGAAAATGTGCGTATAGGGAGCCTCTCTGCTGTTCCAGTCGGATTGCTTTACGTCGGGGAACCTTTAGGTTCACCGCAAATATTGTGTGATGTGTTGTAGCGACGAAAGGAATAAGACCAAATGAATAAGACCAAATAAATTGACTGAATATATATTTATCAAAAACAGTATTTATACTAGATGCAGTATATCATATACATGTGAAGTATGGAATATGCTGTGTACTGCATTCCAGGAATCCAGGGGCACCACAGGGGTCCCCCCAGCATCGAGGTGATGAAGTTGATGAAGAGCTCTAGGGATCTGAAGTTGGATTACGGATCAGATCTATGAGGCGAGTGGCAACGTCCTGGGGAAGGGCTGCAACACAGTGGTGAAACTTGGTTAGAGAAGTCGTCACGTGCTTGATTACAAACTGGGCCTCAGCCTGGAGGAACCACACCTCCGGGGAGTCCATCCAGAAGATGGGAAGCTTGATGGATACTGTGGTGAGGGATAACTGACCATCAGGGGGTGAAGATACCTCATTATTGGTCGACATTGCTACTACGCTGAAAAATAACACTCTATTGTCAGAACCTTACTTTGGTGTTTGAGTATGAAAAGAGCAGGGAATCGGTAGAAACCAATTTCGGCGCTTCAACGAGAGGATTTAATTCCGACAAAAGAATCATGTCAGGGTCACCAAAATGTAGCGACGAAAGGAATAAGACCAAATGAATAAGACCAAATAAACTGACTGAATATATATTTATCAAAAACAGTATTTATACTAGATGCAGTATATCATAATCTAAACAATAACATGTGAAGTATGGAATATGCTGTGTACTGCATTCCAGGAATCCAGGGGCAGTGTCATATTTTTTCATGTAAAATCATGATTTTATAATGAAAGGCATTTCTTGTCAGTGTCTGAGTACAATGCACATATTTGATATATGGATAAATATAGAATACAAATATGTAAATTGTATATTAATCAATATTGTAATTCACATTAGCCAGAATAGATTTCTTTTCTTATTTCATATCAGATAACACATCTGAATTACTAAATATCTGGTTGGTAAGGTTAGTTGTCTTTATTTTTTGATTATAATACACATTTAGGACGGGGCAAAAAAAAAATTTACCTCTTGCCCCAACCTTACAAAATGTCTAGTTGCGCGCCTGGTTCCAGTGCTCCTGTAAATTTTGTAAGATGAAATTTGAATTTTCTTCAAGTATATGGTTTATATTTCAAGCATGTATTTTTACACTGTATAGTTCAATTGATGCAAGTTGGTTAACAAACGTTGATTAACAATTTTATTATTTCATTTTAGACTTGAAGAGAACGAATGTAAAGGAGACTTCCTGGAATATATTCTGCCAAAAGGCTCCGGAATTCTGTCCGAAACACAGGTGTCAGACCAATTCAAGATGGCTGACAATGGATCAATGATGGCGGAGAGTAGACTGATTCCCCTCGTGTTGCCTGAATCCTTTGGTTGTCGTGAAGGAAGTATCCCAGATATTGTTGCCAAAATTGGCAGATTGTTGTCTTTAACACTTGGAGATTGTTCAGAAAATACAAATTAATTACTTTTTTATGCTTCCAGGGTTCCGAGGAGTTTCACCCTACTTTTAATAGTAATTACTTAAGCTTTTAAATTTAGTTAAATCAACTGCAAACATAGTTTCTTTGTAACAATTTATGATTTTGTAGATTATCTCACGTATTGATTCGTAGATTTTCAAACAAATTTTAAATCAAAACTTTTAAAGAAGCAAAACTTTGTTATTCTAACCAGCCAAACCTTCCTTGGGGCCTGGGGGCATTCATACAAACAGATCCAAAAGTCAATTATGGATGAACAGACAAAAGAACAATTTTTACCATTAGAACATAAGAAATAGAGTTTTTATTATTAACGTTACATTCAGAAAAATCTGCAGAAGTAAACACCCTACTCCATTATAGTTTCCTTAACAAGTAGTCATACAGGTACAACTCAGATTCTCTTGACCATCAATGTCAACACACGGCTACAATCCTGTGACTTATCAATGTCTCAACTAGGACACAATCCACATTCCATAAGGCTGCAATCCCATGAAATATCAACACCACTACCACTGGGTGCGATCTCGTTAGCTATCAATATCAATTGGGAGCTCATAACTATTGATGCCATCTCAATGGGCATGATCCACATGTCTACAATCCCGTGACTTAACAATGTCTCATGTAGGACACGATCCACGCCGCTACAATCCTGTCAACTGTCAATGCCACTACCACTACCACTACCACTTATAAATATCAATGCCAAATCAAATAAGCATGATCCTTAACCTGTTTATAAAAACAGGGAACGATTACTCTCTCACAGTAAACAGTACAGAGTCTCCATATCAACTATAAAGGTATATTTCTTTAGTTTGGATTAGAATTGGGTCTTAAACAGCATAAATACAAGTTATGCACTATAATATATAATGTCGTTAAGCAATCACCATATGGGTATGATGGAGTTACAGATATATCTACGTGCATTGAATGGGTTAATCACAATGCATGATTTACATTTTTACTAACAGGCACATTTAGCTATATATACAATGTACAACATAATTTAATATGGGCTGCTATATTTGCTAAAAATGGGGAGGGGGAAAGAATGTTGAAAAATAGGGCTATCTATCCCTTATTTTCTACACTTAAGCCACTCAATCTTTGTCTTAGGTATCCATGAACTTATTTCCCGTTTCCATATCTACATCATCGTCTTCCAGACAGATAGGGGGGGAAGGGGGTTCTTCTACTCCTCCAGATGTATTGTTCTTAGTAATTCCGTTTTCAAGTTCTGCTAAGTTTTCAGGAATTGGATTAACTGCTTAATGATTTTTGTTGATATTATCTTCCCTCTATGACGATGTCCCAGTTCCTGTGCCCCCATGAACTCCATTATCTCCTCTGAATTCTTTTAATACTTGTATTGTCTACCCCACAACTTCTATGTATAATCTTTGGATAAAAAATCCAGACCCACTCTCCAACTTTGAACCTTGACACAATCGATTTGTACAATTGAGCATTCCGACATACTGTGGCTTGTTGTTTCTCTCTCATACCAGCATAAGCTCTCTGAAACCTTTCTTGCATCACTTCTGTCCAGTCTGATAACTCCATTTCCCTGTCAGCTTCAGGTAAAGGATATATCCAATTAACAGGAAGTGTAGCTTCCCATCCAAACATGGCAAAGAATAGGGTTTGACCTGTGCTGGTTTACACGGTGGTGTTATAGGCCAGACAGGTTGCCTTCACAGCCAGATCCCATTCATCCTGCATCTCTCTTCCCATTGCCCTCAGAATACCCACTATAGTTCTATGCCATCTCTCCAAGATATTTGATGATGAATGGTATGGTGGTGTCTTTGGTTAGTAATATCTGCAACTAGGGCTGGGCCCGTTAACGGGGGAACGATCGTTCTTTGCCGAGAACGAACGGAACGATCAAGAACGATCCCATCGTTCCAAAAAAAAAACGAACGCTTAGAACGCGTTCTTAAAAATATTGGAACGATTAGTAAAAGAACGGAATGGAACGGAACGGGAAGACCGTTCTTCTACTCAGAACGGAACGGAATGGGACGGAACGGAACGAGAACGGAACGATAAAAAAAAAAGAGGAACGAGAACGGAACGATTTAGCTGAAGGCCCTCGTTCTAGAATGGAACGGAACGATTTCAAAAAAGTCGGAACGTGCCCAGCCCTATCTGCAACTCTTGAATTAACTCTTTCCATAACTGGTTTATAAACTTTCTGCTGTTGTGCAAGTGTATTTGCTTTGGTAAACCAAACACACTGAACTGTTCTCAAATGAGAACTCTTGCCACTATACCAGCTTCCTTGATACAAATCGAATAAGCACTGTCAAATCTTGTGAATCCGTCTTGCACTGTCAACAAATAAAGATTCTTCCTTACTGTTTTTAGATAATGATACCAGATTGATGAAGACTTTCTCCCCTAAGTTTCCTACTGTACTCAGCTTATCACAATGTTCTACTAAATTGCTGATAAAACAATAAAGGTTCTCCGGAATTTGTCTAACATGCCAGCTACTCCTCTATGTCCGGACATTATTCTTCATGACAGATCTAGAATGATTCTTTCAATCTTGCTTCTGGTAGGCAAATGCACAGAGCATTGTAGGGTTTTGTTGGATCTGTGTGCTTGTTGTAGCTTATTGAAGCATCATTCATCACAAACAGCGTAGGATTCAAGATCTGTCTCATATTCATCATGTCTAGTACTTTGCCCCTTAGTTCCTGCATGTGCTTTACCTTCTACAACCCATTGGATAACTTCCTTCAAGACTTTGTCAGTTTATTGTAGTTTCCTTAACTCGTTCCCTTCTATGATCTTATGTCTTGTTTCTTGACTCATGCTGTGCACTGCAGGCAAATAGCCGGCAAACCTCTGCCTCTCTTTAGCTATCTCAGCCAGATCTCATCCTAGATTTGTAGCATAAGTTATCTTGAGTTCTGCTACTTCATTGTCTACCTGGTACTCTTCATTCTCTTCCTTTGATGGTTCATCTAAATGATCTGATATTGACAATGCATCTGCATTCACATTCTCGATCCCCTTCTTGTGTATCACTATGAACTTTTACTGGGCCAAGTCTGCAAACCAATATTATATACCTGAATATTAATTCTGATTACAACAGGCTGCAGACTATTATCAACTGAGACCTAAATCTAGCTCAGAGCATACTCTAGTACAGTGTACACTGTAAAATGCAAACAGTACATGTTTATTTTTGTAATCAGGTTTCTGTATTTTCATCCTTCTCCAGGGTCCCTGCAGTACAGTAAGGAGCAGGTGAAGAGAGATTACACACATGTGAGTGAACCAAGTTATATCTGAGTTATATTAGATTATACCAAATCTATCTAACTTATATTAAACCACTTATTATAAGTGTTTGATTAATCTATCTAAATTCAATCTTTCAAACTGTATAAAAAGAATTCTAATTTCAACATTTATTCAAAATCAGATGCTTGATCCTGTCTGAATCTCTAACTCCCTATTTAATGTAATAGAACCTTTTACGTTATTTATTTTAAAGACACAAGTGCAAGGAAAGATAAAAATATAAATCACAAATCTAATCAATTGTTAGTATCCAGTTTCAAAGATATTTACCTCTATTTTCACAATTCTTAAAAACTAACAAACTAACATATATGTATATTCTTAGACAAAAGGAATTATACACTGAACAACTTCTATATAATGAGGTATTGGGGATTAATTAAAGGGGGAAATTAGCAAAATCTAAGTAAGTGTTACAAAAAATAATACCTAGAGCAGCAAGATTATTCAGAAAGTCCTCTGGGAAAGGTATCGCACTTACTCCCTGAAGGGAGAGGGGTGTGTAGGTTCGATTTTAAGTTCTTTATTCTATAAAAATTGGATTATGCAATTTCCGAAAACCCAAATTTTGAAAATAAAGAAGCCCCTTTCTAGTATTCTCTAACTACCAAAAATGTGCAATAAATTTGCAAACTTAAAATAGCAAACTTTGATAAGATCACGCTTCAAGTTATACAACTTGTATAGGATCAATTATCTTTGCAACCTGATAACATTGCACATTGGGTTATCTCCATCACATGGAGCTAACCCTTATACAATTACTTATCTTTGAAACCTGGCAACATTATACTTCAGGCTATCTCCATCATGCGAAGCAAACCTTTATATAATTACTTGCTCCTGCAATAATTAACACCCAAAGTAATAAACATGCTTTCATTAGATTAGTTACATTTATTTACATATTCATATATGCCTACATGATATAATATAGAGATAACTAGATGGTTTAATGATCAGCCATGGTTCCTTTACAACTTAGGTCCCTTAGTAGCTCTCTCAGTTAGTTTATCCAATCTGAAGTGCAGGACTACTATATTCGCCAATCCATCCATTATGTATTTATCATCTCTATTCCAGGTATGCTGGTCAACCCACTCCTGTAATCTGTGGAGCAGCTATCCAACCTGGACATAAATCTTGGAGCAAACCTCCTCCCTGCTTGCTTCGGGATAAAGGCTAAATCCCACTCCCAGGCCTTCCTTGCGTCCCATGCATTGACGTTGGGATCTACAAGGGGCTCTTGGGTGCTTGTGTCCTCCAGAGTAGAGGATACCATACTCTCAAGCTCCTGGTTCAGCTCTGCTAACCTATCCATCACCTCCTGCATGGTTCGCACCAGGACTTCAGTATTCTCATCCATATCCTCATCCTCAATTGTGTCCTCAGCTATGTCTCCGACCTCCGAGGCTGGGGCAGTGACAATGGGAGCATTCCCACTGACAAGAGGAGCAAGATCTCTAGGATCCACTTCATCTACATCTAAAGTAGCTTCATTGATTTAAGCTGGATTCATCTTCATCTAAGCAGCTCGTCCAGTTAGGTTCCCTCTGTATGCTGTATGTTCACTTTATGTTGTACAATACTGGCAGACTGACGTGTATAGTTACATGTCTACTCTTCTAAGGTTCGGGCTGTACTGATCTTCTGGCATCCGTTTGTATTCAAGGGACTGTTCATTCTTATTAAGAACAATCTAGGATACAACATTGTAACTCTGAGAGTGGGGGTTTCCCCTTCCTCTGGCTTCCGGCATGCTCAGTTCTAACTCTGAATTCATCCTCACTAGGTAACCTTGGGTACAATAATTTCACAGTGTCCAGTGTTGTTGTTGCTGTCTTATCTTCGAAGATATCTCCTCGTCTTGCTTCTCTCAGAACCCCCTTAAACCAGGTACTCACTTAATTTGTCTTCCTTGGAGCTCTAGGCATTTAATAAGGGTTCCTTGATTCACACCACTGCTACCACTTTTGTAGTAAACACCCTACTCCATAACAGTTTCCTGAACAAGTATCTATCCAGTACAGCTCAGATTCTCTTGACTATCAATGTCAACACATTGCTACAATACCATGACTTATCAAAATCTCTACTAAGACAAGATCCACACAGCTACAATTCTGTGAACTATCAACTCCACTACACTGGGTGCGTTCTCCTTAGCAATCGATATCATTTGGAAGCTCATAACTATCAATGCCAAATTAAATAGGCACAATCCTCAACCTGAATATCAAAACAGAGAATGATCACTCTCTCGCAGTAAACAGTAAGGAGTCTCTCTATCAACTAAGGTGTCTTTCTTCAGTTTAGATTAGGTAGTTAAGCAATCACAATATGGGTATGACAGAGTTATTTTTATATCTAGGTACATTGAATGGGTTAATAGCAATACATGATTTACGTGAAGATATCTTCCAAATTTGTTATCAGATGAAGGTTTCCAGGACCTCCTTTTTAGTTGAAATAAAAAAATATAAAAGTTTTGATTTAGATTTGAAATTTCTTTGATCTGAAAATCTATTAAAAATATTTTTCTTTGTACATATTTATTAAAAATGTATGACATACAATAAAGAACAAAGAAAATGCATGATAAAGAGCGAATTTTTCAAAAATTTGTACATAAATTTATTTAGATTATGCTGAATAAATAAATGGATAGATAATTGTACATTTAACAGCTGAACATTTGTAAAACATGGACATGAACATGAACTCATTTGGTACTGATAACATTCTTTTATTTTTTACATAAATTTGCATAGTTAATTGTGATGCATAAAGTACATTTTTGACATAAAATACTGAAAATGATTGGTTGTTTTAATAAATCTTGTTCTGTTTTTTTTTCATAGTATCTATCAAATTAATTTAATTTTGTAATAAATAAAATAAACATCTATTATTGTTGAAAAAAGAAGAAAAAAACTTTACTGTTTAAGGAAGACCTTAAACAATGCTATTTCTTTTTCATGCCAAAGGATGTTTTTTAACTAAAAATTCTTTTTTACCGGTGTCATTGCATTATTTACACATTTCAAATGAATTAGAAACAAAACTTCATGTCTATTTATATTCATGTTTAAAACATAATTAATTCTGATTCTTTTAAGGATGTTTAATAGGTGTAAAATGACATTTAACTATCATATCTAAGACAACATTGATACACATTTTTAACACAGATTTAGAAGATTTCTAAAGTCTCATGTATCTAATTACATGACTAGATTGTAGATACACTATTTTCCATATTTACATATTTTATAAATAAAGAGAAGAAAGGAGCAATTGCTGAAATCATTAAACTATTAGGTTACAGATTAGAAAGATTTTTTTTTAATTAAAATGATACAAATTAAATTTTTTTATATTGTGACAAGTGCCGAGTTTTGTGCAGTACTTTATGGCGATATGTTTTAAAAGAGTCTTGGCCTAGAGCTTCCTTTAAAAAGAGTGGAAAATTGTTGAAGAGATTAGCTTTAAAATAACTAATTCTCTTTGGCAAAAGTGTAGAAAGTCATTTAAACATTAAAGGGAGTGTTCACGAAAAATGAACTGGGGTAAAGGCTTACGGCGATAAATAATCGCTTTTGATCGCTAATAATCTTTCTTCTATTCGTTGCGTCTATAATGAGAAAATTGTTAAAAACGTCTCATACCGAAAAACGTAGATTCCTTACAAATTCAGAAAGTTGCAACATACGACTCGGATGGTAACAAAATCAATTTAATTCCAAACAAAGCATTCAGATATTACAACTTATAGTCATCGATTATTTTTCGACGCATTTGTATATAGTTAATATTTTATAATATTTTTTACTTTCTATGATCCGAGAGTGACTTTTGAAAACATTCATTCCTGTTTCGAGGATTTTGATAATGAAGACGACATTTTCCATATTTTCCGGGAATGCGCCAGTCGTGAAATCAAGTTGTAAGGGAAATATTAATTTTAAAAAACACTAAATAAAAAATGTTATGAAATATCAACTATTTACAAATGCGTCGAAAAATAATCAATGACTATAGGTATTAATATCTAAATTATTTGTTATTTATTAATTTGATTTTGTTACGATCCAAGTCGTATGTTCCAACTTCCTCAATTTGTATGAACGCTTCGTTCTTCGGTATGAGACATTTTTACCAATTTTCTCCAGATAAAAGTAAGATTAGTAGCGATCAGAAGCGATTATTTATCGCCGTAAGCCTATACCCCCTTTCATTTTCCGCGAACACTCTCTTTAATGCGACTCATCGTAGGTTAAAGGTTTGCTGTTCTATCAGCAAATATGCTCATTTCATCGAGGAAAGTTATGCTGCTCCTGCATGAAAGAGAGTTATGATGCTCCACTAAATATATGCTGTGGCTTTTTAAACAGAAAAACTGCCCCGTGTTAAGCAGAGGTATGCTGCTCCAATTTAAGCAAAGATATGCTGCTGCTCTCTAAACAGAGAAGTTGCTCAGTTTTAAGCAGAGGCATGTTGCTAAACTTTAAACATATTTTGCTGCTGTTCTCGAAACAGAGGTCTGCTAGTGTTCCTACGCAGAATTATGCTGCTCCTCCTTGACACAGCTGTTATTTTGTTCCATACTGTATGTTGGTGGATAGAGGGGTGGGCAGGGTGATCCTTGACTAGCTGGACGGTACTGCACTAAATTCTGAAATATACAAAGTACAGAGCCCGAAACTTAAGGTAGAGTATTCATGAAACCAGGTATCAGAAACCCAGTTTAGTGAATGGGGGTATTGCAAGTGAATCTCTATCTAAAAAGGGGCATATCCAATTCTCAACAGTACCCATGAAAGTTTTGTAAAATCTAGATTGAGTGAGATATCAATGATTTCTCTGTGAATTTAGATATTTCAAAGTAACTTTATTTTCAAACTAGGAAAACGAAGATATCTTCCAAATTTGTTATCAGATGAAGGTTTAAAGGTTATGCTACTCTTTAAATAAAGATCACTTGAAATAACAATGATAGTCCTCCCCTTAAGTTTTTTTCTTTTTTTCTTCAGCGATTTTTTTTATAAAGAAACTGAGTTTTTGCAACAAACTTACATTTTATAATCCCTATATCTTTGCAAACTGTTGGTGTAAACCTTTTATATTTCAAACCTAGACTATTTGATCTATCGGAATTAATAGTTTGAAATGTCAAAAGTCTAGGAAAACGGGTTGCTAAGTTATAGGAATTAGAAATTCTGAGTTTGTGGCAAAAACTCAATTCCTTTTGCTAACAATTGCTTATTGGTAAATTATTCCTACTTTCTACTCTTTTTTCTATTTTCTACTCTTTCCAATATAATCTAATCTATTCTTTATATTCTAAACTATTCTATATCAGTGTTTTCATTCTTATTTTCTATTCTTACTGTTTAATTCTATATCGTATATCATATTATCTATTCTTAACATTCTATTTCTATTAAATCCTAAATTAAATTATTATTCTCACTTCTTGTATAACCCATGTCATCTCTTCTCATCTGAAAATACTATTCAATTTAAAATATTACTTATACTGATCTAGTCTTTTGCATATTTAACAAGGCTGTTCAAAAATGAATATTTAATAATGTTTCAAACATTTTTCTTGTTGTATTTTTATTTTAAAAAATTGAATTTTTTAACTTTGCAAATGTAAATGCATCTTCATCAAAGAGTAAGAATGAGGCGGAGGGGGGTATTAGCTATTCTTCTGTACATGGGCAATGTTTTTAAATACAACATAAAAAAGTTTAGTAAACTTAGTAGATATTTTGGTTGAGACTGTTGAAGCTCGGAAAACTTTACTGCTTGATTGCATAGAAATAGGCATCATTTTCGTTGAAATACAAAATCTTTCTTAAGGAACAAAATTGTCCATGAACAATTGTATAGTTCAGAGGAAATAATAAAAGATTAATGAAATATTTACAATTATTCTAATTTCATTAAATTCAGATTGTGAATCATTAATTAACAAATTTGATAGTTCATGAACAGTTAAAAATAAAATTGTGAACCAATTTTTTAGAAACCATGCAGGAACAAACAATACAGAAATAGTCTGTGAACACAAAAGCATATCTGGGCCCCCTGGTAACGTAGAAAAAATAAGTTTTAAATGGAATGTAAAAATTGGAAAGGTCCCCGTAAACAAATTCCTGTATGCGCCACTGATTGCAATCAAACAATTTTACTGTACAAACAATCTCATCAAATAAATGATTTCAGTAAACTAAAGATTTTATTGAAAATGCACAATCAATGTTGGGAAAAATGTACAATCACTTATGTTCTCATTTTGATTTAGAGATGTCAGCTCTATTAAAGGGAGTGTTCACAAAAAAATGAAAGGGGATATAGGCTTACGGCGAAAAATAAGTGCTTTAGATCGCTATTAATCTTACTTCTATCTGTTGAGTCTATAAGTAGAAAATTGTTAAAAGCGACTCATGTTGAAGAACGCAGCGTCCATACAAATTCAGAAAGCTGTTGCATTATTCAATTCGGATTGTAAAATAATCAATTTAATTCCAAACAAACAGTAGTCATCGATTATTTTTTGACACATTCATATCTAGTTAATATTTCATAATATTTTTGATTTTGATTTTTTTTTAAAGTATTTCACTAGCGCTGGATTTTCTAACATTCATGGATAATATGAAAATGTCGCTTTCATAATCAAAAATCCTCGAAACAGGAATAAATGTTTTCAAAAGTAACTATCAGATCATAAAAAATAAAAAAAATTATGAAAGAAAAACCGCATACGAATGCATAAAAAAATTATCGATGATTATTGGTTGTAATATCTGAATGATTTGTATGGAATTAAATAGATTTTTTACGATCCAAGTTGAATACTGCAACTTTCTGAAATTGTATGTACGCTATGTTCTTCATGCAGCACGAGTTGTTTTCAACATTTTTCTCCTCATAGACGCAACAGATAGAAGTAAGATTAGTAGCGATCAAAAGCACTTGTTTTTCGCGAACACTTAATTAAGAGTTTCACAACGAGGCAATCATGCCTTAGAGGACTCAAAGAGATTTACATACACACTAAATGGAGTGTCCAACAAAACAACATAATGGAGGTGTACAAAACAACATAATGGAGGTGTACAAAACAACATAATGGAGGTGTACAAAACGGCAATGTTCAGGATCTCTACACTGTGCATATCCTGCCAATAATCAGTGACATTATTGATGACGAAAAATGTGTGGAATTTGATGAAGAACTCTTGGCTTTTGGTGATTAATATGAAACTTTGTGAATAGAGCGGCATGGACACAGAGCTGTTTGTGAAATCATTTTTAATCCATTCAGGAAGATGGAATTCAAACATGTTAGAATTAAGGTTTCCAATCGGAATTCTGTTGCGCGGAATTGTGCACAATGCTTGCTTCCGCATGCGCCATTTTATTGCATGCAATTGCCCTATAGTTGCGAAAATGGAAGCAATTAAACATTCGCGGAATTGCGTGCAACTGAATTGCTTTTCCATCTAAAAATCAATATTTTTAACTGTTTGACTTACAAATTTATGCAGCAGATACAAGAATGGAAATATCTCTGTAGATTTTAAAATAATCGAGGGCCAAGTTTCACAATTGTTTCAACAGTTTTCAAATTTTTAAGTTTCTATTAATTTTCTAGTTTTTAACAATTGAAAATGATACATTTTTCATTTGTTCACATTGGATGAACGTTAAAATGGAATATTTTTTGGTTAAGATTGTAAGGTTCATTTTATGAAAATTAGATATTTTGCTACAGTGAAAACCAAAAACCTATGGAACAGAAGGGCAACATCACAGTGTATTTTATGTTGTTACAAATTAGCAAAAAATATTAATTAGTATCTTATTAAATCACTTATTCAGTTACATTGGTCAGCTTGAGTTTAAAATGTTGTCCTCCTATGTTTTCTGGTTATCATGCTGCTAATGAATATTATAAAACAAAAGATTAAGTCTAAATTCAATTTTCTTAGCATTTGTGACTGAAATGTTAGTGCAATTTAGTTGTCAAAATAAAGTAAATTGTGCATAAGATTGAAATCTTTTATATTTTCAATAACTCCATACATCAAATCGGGCTATAGAGAGGACAATAAATATTCTCAATTTGTATTATGTAACAGAATAAATTCATGTTTCTCATACTTGTATTTCAAATCAAAACTAGAGGATCTACAAGGTAACAAAGATTTACCAGAAATGTGACATAAATTTGACCTTTTCCTTCTTTCTAGTTCACAGTGTATCTGCCCAGCCCTTAATGTTTATTCCCTGAGTTTTATGTATTGTTTATCTGTGTATAAGTTTAGCTAGATAATGAATATTAACAAATGCAATATCATTATAAAGCCCTACACTACATTGTTTTGTATTCTCCAGGGTATATACTGGAAATATGTTATTATACTTGACATCTACATCTACAGAGAAATATAAATAACTAAACCAGCCTTACATAATATTTTTTAACCAAAACCAGAGAAAATCAATGAAGTTATCTAAAAAGTTAAGAAATTTCAAAACCAAATCCATATTTTATTCAAATAAAAAAATACACAGTACATATTCAGTTACAACCGACATGCAGGATCAAAATATGAATTTTTGATAAAATAAATATACACATAGTGAATGGCAATTTGAAATAAATTAAATTTATATACATTAACTTTCATGTGTTTATACAACATAAATGATAAAATAATATAATTAATTTTGTTGGCACATAATTATACTAAAGTATGAAAATAACATTAATTGCCCGCTATTTGTTAATTTATAATCTGTCTTCAATAAAGTCTTCCAGTAGTCTGATTGGTAAGTTTTATTAATCCTCTAATTTTAGACCATCAAAATAAGAAAATTTATCTTCTGTTTTTAAATTATCGAGGCCACAGTTTTGAAAAAGACTTAAACCTTTTTTAGACTCAACTGCAACTAAGTTATGAGAAAAAAAGTTCTAAATGTTTTAACCACTACCTTAAACAGTAGATGAAAATTGCAAATTTCGAAGAGAAAAGAGAAAAGAGGATTTATGAATAAATTCCTGAATGCCCATAGTGGTTGATTCAAAGGAACAGAGTGACCTGCATTTCTAAAAAAAAACTATTAAATATAATCTTAAAGTCAATTTTGCTTATCATTTATTTTCAGCAAATATTTTGTTTAAATACATTTTTGACACTATTAAAAAATCACCAAAATGTTTAGTTTAAATACTGCTTGAAATAAATGAACATTATTGAATATTCTGTTTATCAAACAGATTTTCACACACAAAAGGTGAATATATTATACTGTTCTTCAATGGCCTTTAATGACAGCTTAACATAATCTGAATCCCCTTTTTTAATGCACAAACAACATATAAGAAAAGATTTAGAAAAAATACCTGATTAAGAAAAGATTCAGATTTCCCCCTTTTTTATAGTACCCAGCCAAATCATACCCAGATGTTTCATCATTGAATGCCCACCAAGACTTTCTAGAATTGGTTTTTCAAATAAACTTGAAATATGGAAATAAAATGTTTATCTTTCAGAAAAGAAATATTTCAATTCAGAGAATATTCAGTGAATATTGATCTAAATTTTGATATTCAAATTGAAATTTATTGCAGATAGCATGTAAAATGTAGATATTGTAAAATGAGAACTCATGTGGCATTGATGATAACTTTGTTAACAAATATGAAACTCAATTAGTTTATAGACAACATTAAATAACTCCAAAGATTATAGTTATAAGCACCACAGCAGAGTGATGTCATCTTCCTTTTTGGATTTGGAAATGTTACAAATGGTCTTTAGACACTATTTAAAATTTAAAAAATACAAATTCTATCCTTGTTGACTGCTGAAATTCATCTGTTCCATTCCAGGACAAAGTACTAAAAATAAAATTACAAATTTTTCACAATTGATAGTTACCAAAATGGAAATTTGATACCTAAACATTTCTTCAGCTCCATTATAATGACAAATGATATCCATTGCTCCATGATAAGCTAAAACCTAAACATTATAAATATTTTAGCTACTTTAAACATGTAAAATGAAAAACAGAGATTAAAGCAATAAATGTATTCAAGTTCAAATGGAGTAAATAATGTTTATACCTTGTAGTTTGGAAGAATTGACTCCATTATAGGTTTAATAGAACGCATTGTATCTCCAACCATAGACATATAAATATCCAATCCATCACTACAAAGTAGAAATATCTTTAAGTGATTGTCTGCAGCCTAATTTTTGTTTTTATTTTATTTCCACAGAATATTTCTTTTATTGTTGCAATAACTTCCAGAAATCTTTACATAAACAAACATATTCTTTTTTCCTTGACTAAAAAGTAAATTTTTAAGGGCAATTAACCATCAATTAAATTTATTGCGACTTTGAAATTTTCAACAGGTTTTGTTTAGAAAAGATGTCTAGATCTTTGTAAGTTAAGACTGATTATTCTTTTTAATTGTTGGTAGAAATTACCTGAAAGTTTGATTTCCAACATGTAAAGCCTTTCTTACTTCCATTTGTTCAACCCAGAACCAAAAGTTCATGGTTGAAGGGCGATATTGATCCTGGAAAAAGATATCATTTTAGGTGTATTCCATTGTATTTCACATTTTCCTCATACCTTGGTCATATCATAGAGATTACTGTAATTCAGTGATGATAGTATAAAATCCAACTGCTCATCTAATTACAAAGATTATAATAATAAGGGGTTCCAGAATTATATTCTCCCTGCCTTACTGAAGAAAAAATTAGACATTTCAAATATTTCTAATGTCTAAAAGATTGCCTGATGCTCTCCATGCTTCATCAAAGTTTTCAGATGTAATAAGGTTGACAATTTTATCATCAATCCTTAAAAAGTAATCAGGATATTAGCCAGAGATTTTTTACTTGTGTTGAAAGGGACTGTAAACCTAAGTTTAAGTAAACCTCCATCCAAAGATAAAAATGCCTGATTCACCAAACTACTATTTAATAAAGTATGAATAAGATATTCATGTTTATAATTATGAAAACAGATTATTCTTAACTGTTGTTTCTCTACAAGCAAGACTTGTTCATATCTACTGCAGGAATGGTTAGAATCAAAATTATTTAACCCAACAAAAAACTATAATATCTCCCACATTTTTAATTAAATAAAGGGTACCAATGTAAATTGGGCATTGCCTTCTTTGCATGAAGGGTCACTTGATATTACACTTTCAGACCCTTTAATTAATTAAATACATTTTTTCTCATACCCATTTAATTTGGTCAGCTGTTGTTTATCCAGTAACCCATGGTAATGAAGATAGTTTGCATATCTACCCTGAATGAAATTTAATAAAGAACAATTAAGAACAAAAGAACATTTATCTTGTTCTACCTGATCTGCAGGACTCATCCAACCATTTCCAATTCCAACTCCAACTAAACAAATAAGTAGCATATTTAAATCAAAGCCTTAAAAGTAACCATTTCTAATTTTACCTAAGTTTATTTTAATGTTCCCCTCCTTAAGGTTTTCATTTTCATTGTGTATTTTGTAGGCAAGCTGAGGGGCATACTTTCCCCCATAGCTTTCTCCAAAAATATAAAAAGAATTGGACTGTTGCTCCGGAAACATTTTGTAGAACTGTTGAAGGAAGTCGTAAAGATCTTCAGTAGAGTTTTCAACAAAGTTTGGGTATCCAGAAATATGCTCTGAATAACTCTGTTAGAATTTTATATTTCTTAACGGAAATATCTAAAGAAAGATTTGACAACCTATAAAATGATTTGTTCTTTATAGTTTAAACAGAATCTTCCCTGTGAATGAGAATCCAGTCCCAACAGGATTATCAACATAAATGACACTGTAACTCTTTGTCCAGCTGTAAGGGTTTTCTTTTACAAAAGGCATTCCCGTGGGATCCACATCTGCTAAAATAGGCCCATGCTCCTTAAGTAGTCCAAAAAGACCAGTAGATCCAGGACCTCCCTTTCATTTTAACATTATAATCATGTATTCTTTAAAGTCAATAATGACTTTGAGATTCAATAAGATTCGATTTTATTGATTGCTTAAAAAGGTTGATTTTATCTAATCATGAATTAAATGGTTTTAAACTTTAATTTAGTTTGATCTAAAATTTCAAGTATCAATTTTCAAAGATGCAAATAAAACCTTTCTCCCTTCCTTTCAGTCTTTTTTTTACAAAAAATTTAGATTCAGGACATTAAGTTTTGTTAACTTTCTTCAAATTTTGAAGTGAAAGAGCACTTAGCCTAAATTGGAATAAATATTCTGGTAGAGTCTTGAAGAATCCCACTCTCCTAGTAATTGGTGTTCATTACATTACATGCCAACCTAATTGGTATAATTATTAATTCCTGAAGCCATACAATGACTGGAGCTGAGGTGTTTCCTGACTGGGCAGGGAAAAACCAAAAGAACATGTTCGAATTATTGTCTTCATTTACTGTGATGAAACCAGAGTAAGATTCGAGGGTGCTTAGAATAGGCAGTTCCGTAACAAGTGACACCTCTCTAAACAAGAACAATTAATTTTTTCCTGAAATTATTAAAATATTAATGCAGTACCTTGCTTTTTCTATTAATCCACTTTTGATTAAAGGTGTTAGATAAAGTGGACTACCAACTTCTGTTTCCGTGAACATCGGAGGATCAGGAAATAAGAACATGTAATACCTAGAATGAGATTTAGAAACATTACATGAATAAAATCTAAAATCGTAATCCTTGGGTATATTTTAAATAAAACAATAAAATTATTTAAGTTTTGACTTGTGTTGCCTACTAGCAGAAACCCAAACAATTTTAACAGTTTGGTTTAATAATATATATACACTCTTGTAAAAAATGACTCAAAAATTAAGAATTGAACAATTTCATGTTAACATTAAAAAAGGTTGTCATCCTTTAAATTTAGTTTTGACTAACATCAGTTGAAAAGTTATAAAAAACTATGAAAAAACTGAAGAAGATGCTGAAACATTCTTTCAATAAAAAATGATTATTCCTGATCTTTGTAATGTGCCTACTCTTCCTACAATTTCAAAGTTGCATAATATAGTCCAATTCTAAAATCTCAGTGTTTAGGGCTGTTGGCTTTTACTCTGTAAGCTATCTTTATAATACAAACCTTCCAGGCTGGAATTTCAGTTTGCCCTGAGCAGTGAAAGTCACAACTGTTTTTATCAGTTTATCATCTCTAATTTGTCATTTTTTTAGATGTATTTTAATTTTACTTAATAAAGTTTTTAGTTTTCGAGAAACTGGCATATTTAATTTTGAAAAGAATGACTAGTTTCCTGTAAAAAATATCAGGGGACTCACACATTGAAAAGCATCTTGGCTTTGCAATAAATGAATGAGCATGATCAATATGCTCCACCATGTCTTTACTGAAATCTCTGAAGTCTGGGTCATCTCTGTATCCAGAATTGGGACCAATACTGGATACAATTAAAAATAGTTTTTAAAACTTTGCTTGAGGCTTTTAAATAAAATTTTAAATAAAATAAATAAATTTTCTAAAACTCACAACAATGCTTCACCAGTAGGAGAATGTAAAATTGATGTGACGTTTCTAACACAACTTTGTTACATCATAGCTCCTCTAGTTTTGAATTATGAAGAAATATAAAAAAAATTCAAAATTTTACCCTATTCCTGCTGGGGGGGGGGGGTGGTCAATTTGACCTCCCTTGTAGTTTTTTTTACATAACTCAAAAAGTATTGGTCTGAGGATGTTGAAATTTCCTGACTTTTCTAAAATCCCATAGCCTTCCTTTTAGGTATAAAACCAGGCTTTTATACTTACTGCCTGAGTCCTCAGGCACACTGCCTGAATACTACTTTTTTCCTGTAACAAACAAAATCTTTGTTTTGACCCACTTTCAGTTTTGAAAGCCTATACCGTTAGGAAACGGATTGCACAAGTTTTGCATGCAACCCATCAAAAGAAATTTGCACATTTTTAGTTTTTCTTAATTACAAATCAGGCTATCCAAAATTTAAATTTAGCATTGTTCACATTTTTTTGCAGATTCTAAAAGCAGATCATAAGAGCTTTCCAAAGATGTATCATTTGTTATATTTTGGTCATCAAACATCAAACATCGAACCTCCCCTCCTGGAATCCTGGTTTTAAAGTACCCCCAGCAAGAATAGGGTTAAAATAAGTTTTCCAAAACTCCAAAATAAAAGGAGTTACGATTAAAGACATAACAAATTTCAAATTATTGCGATTATTTTTTCTTCATTGCTAAAATTTTAAATTGTATTTTCATTTTAATTTCCTGGAATGCCCAAATGAGAACAAGAGATAAAGTAGGACTATTAGAACAATAAGTTGTACTAAACAGGACATTTTCTTTTCAAAACAATTTTCTTAAAAGATTTCTCATAATTTTTGTTTAGAAATACCCTTGTTGTTTGATTAAAGCTTAAGACGGCCCTTTATATTTTCAAAGAGATTAATAATATTTGATTTTTTTTCAAAGCAAGAATTCAAATTCAGAGCTGTCCAATACAAGTCAAGGAAAGATAAAAGGGAAAGTTATTGTTTAAAAGAAAATGTCCCGTTTCCTGTTATTATACATAAAAGAATAGAAACCACTCGGGGACCAAAGCACGTCAGCCTGTAAAAAAATTAACTACTTAAGCTACTTAAGTATGCATGGTGCCCTGAAATATGTATGGGAATGGTAATGATAAACAGGCTTTTTTTTCCGATTAAATGAAATATTATATTTGTTTTCATATTGTCTTGCATTTCAAACTTAATTATCTAATATTTAACATTTCTTGAATTTACTTTTATAATCCTTTTTTAGAAGCCCACGGCTTTCTAAAACCAATAATGACCTTTCAGGTGAAAAAAAGGCTAGCAAAAAAATTTAAAAAAAAATTTGTGTTCAATTTAAATTCTAAAATCAAGAAACACTTTTCCTGTTAGTAAAAAGATTACGCTGAGTGTCATCCTCTGCACTTTTTGGAGTTCTTACAACAACATTAACAGCTGAACTCTGTTCAATCAGATGATTGTCCTCAACACTAATCTCCGTATTGGTTTTAACAGAGTCTTCTTTCATACCGTTTCTGTTTGTGTCTAGTGTAACAAGTTTACAATTTGTGGGATCAGGTCCAGAAAATTTACCATTTTGTTTCACTTCATCACATTTTACATCAATCAAGGTGTTAAGCGTATCACCCGGTGTGCAGTTTTCTAGCTGAGTTTTTTTCTTGAAGCAAACTACCATTCCTCTACTGGGTTCATCCTCCTCCATGGATAAACATAAAATCAAAATGTTACAGATTTCTCATTTTTTCTGAAAATAAAATAAATTGTATTTAGTTCACTACAATGAGTTTGATAAGTGACAATATTGGGAAATTTGATGAAAACTAGCAATTATGATTTAAAAGAATTCTGATATGCGAAAACCTAAGTTGCTATAATCAGCAATGATATGAGTAGTAAAAATAGATTGATATAAAAACAATGAATTATTTTTATACAAAAAATTTGTTGAGGCTCCCCAAGCATACAACACTAAAGTTTGTTAAATGTTGTTTTAATGCTAATATTATTCCAAATCCAGTCTATCTCAACTAATGTGTGTTTGTATTTGTCTGAAGATAAAGTTGATGGAAATCTTTTAAAAGAATTTACTCTTATTTCTATTGAATTTTCAGTTGGGATATTTGAGTCCAATTGCAGATGTTTTAAGTATAAAGGAACTGAGTTTTTACCACAAACTCAAGTTTTCATAACCTATTGCTTTGCAACCCAATGTCGTAGACCTTTGATATGATAAACTTTAAATTCTGTTAGATATAATAATCTAAGTTTTAAATATCAAAGGTTTACACCATCCGGTCGCAGATATATAAGGATTAGAAAATTTGAGTTTGTGGCAAAAAAACATTTTCTTTATTATTAACAGGTTGAATTTTTTCAAGATAAAGCCAAGAAAATTATCATTTCAATTTTTAAATTAGATTTAGACCAGGTTTTATATCTGTAAACCTTTTTATTATTTCCTTTACTTCCTTGATATCTAGAACAATAGGAAGTCATTAAAAGGAAAAGTAAACATTAAGCTTTATTTTCCTTTGCTTAATTAAAAAGTCTAAATACTTTGTTAATAAAAGGAGCGTTGATTAAAAATTTAAGGGGGATTTATATCTATGTATTTGATTTAGCAATCATGAAAATGTTGAAATGGCTTGGAAAAATTGTCTAGAACATGATATATAAAATATTATCTATATATATATGTATGGCTTGATATATAAATAAATGTGATATTTCATAATACTTGGATTCCTAACCCTCCCCCCCCCCCCCCCTTGGCTCCCCTTATAGCTCACTAAACAAATATATAATACTGGGGAGCAGACCCTGTTGACGGAACTACTTGAACTGCCAGAGCCAGCTGATGATAGAAGGATAAATAGATGAGTATATAAACATATATATAAACATATATGAAAGGATGGGAGTTTCAAAAAGCATGAAAACAACAAAATTTAGGAAGTTGTCTTTGATTTATCAAATGATTTGCGGGGATTTCAAAAACGTGGGTTGTCTTTTCAGCATGTTTCAAATTGATAAGGAATTCTAAAAAGAAAATTAAAAAAATAAACATCAAATTATCAGTAAGGTTTTTAATACTATATTAAAGGGAGTGTCCGGGAAAAAGGAAAGTGGGTATGAGCATAGATCGAAAAATATTCGAAGGTGATTGCTGCTAATCTTACTTCTTTCTGTTGCGTCTATAAGGAAAAAAATTGTTAAAAACTGCTCATACCGAAGAACGTGGCATCCATACAAATTCAGAAAGTTGCAATATTTGACTCGGATCGATTCTAAAAATCTCACAATCTATAATTTTTTTTTCGACGTATTCATATATAGCTGATATTTCATAATATTCTAAATTTGTTTTATAAATGATGTAATTTAAACTACAAAGAATCCTGACAAAAAATCGTTGTTTTAAGTGCATTGTATATAAAACAAATAAAATTTATTATGAAATATCAACTATATACAAAAGCGTCGAAAAAAACGATGATTATAGGTTGTAATACCTTAATGAATTTTTTTTTTTGATTTTTTCATGATCCGAGTCGAATTTGTATGAACGCTACGTTCTTCGGTATGAGTCGTTTTTATTAATTTTCTCCTTATAGACGCAACAGATAGAAGTAAGATTACACAGTAGCAATCATCATCAAATATTTTTCGACGTAAGCCCCTTTTATTTTTCGCGAACACTCCCTTTGAGTAAAGAAAAAGGAAGAATTTAATTGATTAAATTTTCAAGATGAAAGATATGTGGCACTTTTAAACAGAGACACTCTGCATTATAATGAAGTTCTGAATACATATCTTTACAGGGGCACCCTATAGTATGATAATGTTGTGTATATGTATACAGGGACACCCTATAGTAAAATAATGTTGTGTATATGTATACAGGGACACCCTGTTATAATATAATGATGTTGTGTATATGTACTATACTCTATATTTTCTCTATATTCTCCATATTCTCCATATTCTCTGCTGGATTTTCTAGATTTTAGTAGATTTTCTAGATTTGGTAGATTATCAAGATTTTAGTAGCTTTTCTTGATTAGTTAGATTTGGAAGATTTTCTAATTTTAGTAGATTTTCTAGATTTTAGTAGATTTTCGAGATTTGCTAAATTTGGTAGATACTTAAATATTGGTAGATTTTTAAGTTGTATTGTAGATTTACTAGATTTGTTTGGTTTGGTAGATATTTCAGAATATATATGAATTTCTTCTATATCTACAGGGAATCTTTCTGTAAAAAGTTCTTCTGAACTATGCCATACTTGCTCTTCACTACACCACATCACTCTGCCCTGTTTTGCTCTGCTCAACTTATGCAACTTTGCTTTGCTCTACTAAGCTTTACTTTGCTCATATTTTGCACATCTTTGCTCTACTCTGCTTTGCTTTACTATACTTTGCTTTGCTCTACTCTAAAATTATCTATACTATTTTCCTATACTCCTCTCATGTGCTTTGCTTCGGTTTGTTCTACTCTGCTTTTCTTTGCTCTACATATGATTTGCTTTGCTCATCTCAGCTTTGCTTTGCTCTAATCTTCTTTGCTTTGCTCTACTCAGCTTTGTTTTGATCTTCTCTGCTTTGCTTTGATCTACTCTGCTTTGTTTTGATCTACTCTGCTTTGTTTTGCTTATCTCAGCTTTGCTTTGCTCTACTCTCCTTAGCTTTGATCAACTCTGCTTTGCTTTGTTCATCTCGACTTTGCTTCGCTCTCCTCTACTTTGATTTAATCTACTCTGCTTTGCTATGCTCATCCCAGCTTTGCTTTTCTCATCTTATCTAAGCTTTGCTTTGCTCAACTCTGCTTTGCTTTTCTCTACTCTAATTTGCTTTGATCTACTCTATTTTGATTTACTCATTTCAGCTTTGCTTTGATCTACTCTGCTTTGCTTTGTTCATTTCAGCTTTGATTTGCACTACTCTGCTTTGCTTTGATTAACTATGCTATACTTTTCTCATCTCACCTTTGCTTTGCTCTACTCTGCTTTGCTTTGCTCATCCCAGCTTAGCTTTGCTTTACTCTGCTTTGCTTTAATCTACTCTGCTTTGCTATGTTCATCTCAGTTTTGCTTTACTCATCTCAGCTTTGCTTTGCTCAGCTCAGCTTTGCTTTGATCAACTCTGTTTTGCTTTACTCATCTAAGCTTTACATTGCTCTATTCTGCTTTGCTTTGCTCTACTTTGAATTGCTCTACTTTGCTTTGCTTTGTTCTACACTGCTTTGCTTTGCTCTAATGTGCTTTGTTTTGCTCAACCATGCTTTGATTTGTTCTACCCTTCTTTGCTTTGCTCCACCCTTCTTTGCTTTGCTCCACTCTGGGCTGTAGAAGAGTGCGAACTGAGTTCCATGAAGAAACCTTAGAACTAGAATTATCTGCATTTTTTAAAGGATTACATCATTAGATAAAAACAAAATTCCAAAAATTTTAAAATTTGTCATTAAATATTTAGAAAATATTACGAAGTATGAATTGCAATTTAGAAAAATATTTCAATAACTGATATTTTGTTTGATGAAAATGTCGAGATTCACACAGTGAGCACTAAGCAGCATTAAAGTTGTTTTTTGTCTATTTATTAGAACTGTGAAAAAAACATATTCAAATTTAAGAAAAATATGATTTGCAAAATTCAAATGATGATAATTTATTTTTTTACGATATTTGTTGCCTCAAATTTTATAAAATGTTTTTATAAATCTCAGAAGTTAAATGCGAATTTATTTTAACGGATTTTCCCTTTGTGTGCTGAAATTTCTTAGTTTATAAATGTTTAACCTCTCAGTCTCAGCCTCTGTACTGGGTTAAAAAATGTGAATATATTGGGAATTTTGTATAAAATGTACAATGCATATATGTTTAGGAATGTATAATAGAAAATAATGGATCAGAGTGCAGGGGTTTAAACATGAAAACATACTTAGCTTACAATAAGGAGAGGAAAATGAGATAGAAAGATAGAAAGTGGAAAGATAGAAAGATAGACAGATAGACAGATAGACAGATAGACAGATAGACAGATAGACAGATAGACAGATAGACAGATAGACACAGATAGACAGATAGACAGATAGACAGATAGACAGATAGACAAATAGACAGATAGACAGATAGACAGATAGACAGATAGACAGATAGACAGATAGACAGATAGAAAGATAGACAGATATACAGATAGACAAATAGACAGATAGACAGATAGACAGATAGACAGATAGATAGATAGACAGATAGACAGATAGACAGGTAGACAGATAGACAGGTAGACAGATAGACAGATAGACAGATAAACAGATGTGCAGATACACAGATAAACAGATATACAGATAGACATTTAGACAGGTAGACAGATAGCCAGATAGGCAGATATAGACGGATAGACAGATATACATTATCATTATAATTTCACAAATATAGCAATCTATTTATGTAGTATGTATGTGTATATATATACTTTGCTTGTCTGTCTGTCATGTTTGTTTGTCCCTTTGTATCCAATTATTCGAAACGACTGAACCGATCGGGCACAAATTTGATGTGTAACCTTACATGACCCCACTAAAGGTTTAAGGATGATCAAACTTTCAAAAAGCAGCCTCCAACAAAAGTTCATTTTTGTAAAATTTTGAAAATCCACGAACATTTTTTGTTTTACAATGTATACAAAGAGAAAATGTTCAAGATTGAACTAGAAGATGGACGCGAAGCGTCCTGAAGCCTAGTTTATATATACAAATTTAAAGATAGACGTAAAATAGGGTACAGAGTAGGGTAAGACGACTATCAAAACTACTGAGTATTTTTTACTATCGAAGACGACAGAAACAAGAAGTTTTTGGGAAGACGACAATTAAAGTAATGGGATTTCATCTCTCCGAGTGTAAAAATTAGACTTATCTACCAGAAAATCAAAATATATCATCAAGAAAAGGCTAGATGTTTTTGACTGCTTCCAATCTAAATTTCGATAAGTTTTATAAATTATGAAACTGGTAATAAATAAATGGAGTTTAACGAAAAATATTAAAAGTTATTTAATTAATATTCATTTCCAGTATTTTCTTTGTAAGTTTTTAAATTAAAATTATAATTTCTTGATTTTCCATCTAATTCATAACTTCATAAAATATTGGTTTTAGAACTACATATGTTAGTAGAAATATAGAACATACATTTTGTATTTATATTCGTATATTACATTTCTATCCTTTTATTCAAAATTATTTCCGGAATTACAAAGCTATAGATTTGAATCATCATAGCCCCCGGCTTTATACATACAAATAGTCTAATCTTTTGAATTGAACTCTTATTCAATTGGATATTGTAGAAGTAAATGTTTTATTCAACATTTTAAAAATGTACGCTCTGAGACTATACGCATGAATGTCGATTTTATAATAGAATAAAATTTAATGTTTTATATGTCACACTCACATCAGATCAAAGTTTAAAAAAAAATTGCAAAAAAGACTAAATCCCAATGGTTGTGAAATATGTTGCCATTAATTATCTATAAGGGTTGTTAACGATGCGTAAAAGTGGTGGACAATTTGTTTTATGAAAGCTTATTGTTTATTGACTATAACTTGTTTCTCCCTTCCTAATTTATGTATGATGATCCTAATTATATTGAGAGTATCTATAAACAGTAAATACATATATTCACTGGAATTCCAAGAAATCACAAAATATAAATTATTATTGCAGATCACAGCCTAAACAACACTTTTTTTTAAATCGCTAATTTCGTTTCTTTTTCGCGCTGTTTTTGCCGCATATATTTAATTATAAATCATTACGGGCACGACTTTGTTACCTCGTAGCTCAGCTAGCTTCGATTTTTCACAAAATAAACGATGATTGTGAATCAATCCAGTTACTTCTCCATATCTTTATCAATAAGAGGAGTTTTCATTGAAAACATAATAGATTTCAATACAGTTAATTTACTATGGTTTGACGTTAGTCAAATAAATTAAGTTTGATGTGCTAATAATAAATTATAAATAAATAGATAAATAAATAAATAAATAAATAATAATAAATAAACATGATTTTAAATATATCTTACAACAACTTTAGATTTACTTAACACTGTGTAAATCTACTCCATCCATTTTGAAAAATTGGTCTGGGGTAAATTTTATGATCAGAGCTGGGAACTTTTGAATGGTGGATATCGAGATTTATGCTTAATCCACTCTTTTGCTTAATCTCCAGATTAAATAATGCTTGTTCTCCTCTTGTTATTAATCTCCAGATTAATCAACCGATCGGGATTAAGGATATCCCATTCTAAAGTTTTCAATTCAGTTTTTTTAGGATTATGATTACAGTTCCTTTAAAGATACTTTTGCTATCAAGAGATTTGTAAAATCTGCAAATTAACATGATTCAACTTTTGATTTCAAAAAGTTTGCTATTACAAAATCAAGCAAAATTTTCACTCTAACAGAAGATATTTCAGCCTGAACAAAGCAGTGCATCTGCAGTTCTCTGACCAAAGAAATTGTGAGTTTTAGTTGAGCTGTGCTACGGTCAAGTTACATTTTCTGGAAACATTTTTAAAAGTGAAGAAAAATCTAACTTTATAAAATACAACTTTGAAATCTGCTGAAGAACTAAACTTTTGAGAAATTTACCTCTGAAATGCCACAAAACCTATACGTACAGGGTTACCCGCAAAGGATGAGATTTGTTTACTCCATAGATATGACGATTCAAAGGTTAAATTAACTTTTAAGTAAATCGAGCAGCTCAAATATTTGCGATTTTACTTGAACGACTTTGTGACTTATAGTTTGATGTACAAGCATGAGAAAAGTCCAATCACATAATTTTTGAAATTCGAAACATTTTGTTCTTTTGTTCTTTAAAAATTACCACGGGTAACACCAGGCCCTTCAGCCAGTAACAAATAAGATTTCAATCTACCTAGCTGCATACAATTTACTTTAATTTGACATCAAGTGTTAGAGATGATATCTCTATGTAAATATATATCTAATATGAAAACAAATTATTTTTGTCTCAATATTCATGACTTTTTATTTTTATTTTCTTCCTATATATATATTTATTGTATAACGTGCTTACTGCTTATAGTTTCTTGGCCCAGGAATGCCCCCCTAACCCTGTGTGGGAGTTGAGTTACCCCTGAGTACATTCTCTGATTGTAAATTGGCTTTCAAGAGAACTCACACACTCCTAACATACAGGCAAATATATCATCAAAGAAATAGATAATATTTTTTCCACAATCTAAACTACGAAATTAAACAAATCGCCTATTTTGTAGCAAAAGTTAAATGTCCATTAAATTACAAAATATGACTTATATTCCCAAAAAAATCGCTTATTTGACTTTTGATGCCAAATAAGCCCTTTTCTAAATTTTAGCTATTTAGAGTGTAAATAACTTACATGATCATGACATGTCAACCAAACAATTCTTGTAGAAACCTAGAAAATGTCCTTATCACACACCTCTGATCCTTTAGTAAAAGTGAATTCAATCTAAAGTCTGACCACGTCAACCTTGTTGCACCGGCTAGTTCTATTGAGTGTCTGCTTTATTTACTCAATATTCGGGCGATACAGTACAAACTGGGACCAGAAAGGTTGACCCGGCTCGAAAATTCAAATGTACTACGGCTGCCCGTGTTATTGTTCTAACTTAAAAAGTATTTAGGTCTGCTACTCCGTTTTTTCGGAAGCAGAGTAGGGCCCTGGTCACTTCAGAAAGAAACCATGATAGAAAATAATAAATTAACAAAAAATATATTCACGGTGCAGTCTTGATCGAGTCTTCGAAGCTTTTAAGGTACCGTTGTGTATCGGACAGGACAATATGATAAAGACTCGTTGAAATTACTTCTACGAACATGAGAAAAAATTTTGAAAAAATCTTTTTTTTCAAACTTTTTTGAGAAAAATTTCAGGATTACGATTGATTTGAGTCATTTTTATAGAGTTAAAGTCATTTTAAGTTAATCTTTATTTAAACATTGACATTACTGATTCACAGCTGTGCCATTCACAAATGGACAAAATATTCATATCTTTTTATCTGAAAATTTATCATATTCAGGGATGGTTTCTCTTAATGGTGATTTATGTAGCGATTTTTTAAAATAAAAATTATTGCAAAGAAATGTTTGTAATATTATTTTAAAAGTACGCAATATATAATGAACAAATCTTGGAATTTTAGTTGTTCAAAGAATTTTGACTATGAAGGATCGTCATGAGACGTGAAACATTTATGTTTAGATATATTTTGAGCAATTTAAGTGTGATTCAATTTAATTTTAACACAAATAGAAATTTTTGGCTTGAGCTAATTTTATCGAATGTTCTGTCAAATTCGAAGCTATAAAGCAACATTTTGGCATATTTTTGCTATGTTTTACATTTCTCAGAATTTTGGGAAGCTCTTGTTTTTGTTAGAATGAAATTTGGTGTACTGCACTCTTAGATCTACACTGCACCACACCAAATTCACCTTCCCCCTTCCCCTCCTTCTTCTTTCCACCCCCTCCCTACCCCTTTGTATCCGTAGTAGCTGCCGTAGAATAGTGCTGTAGTGTCATATCCTGGTAAAAGCTGTCGGTCATCTACAAGAAATCAATTAATCAAAACCAATAAATCAATCATTCAACTTATATAACTTGTTGAGCCTATTCCATTTCCAACTAGCCTCTTCTTTGCCAAAAATACGATGGGCGGGAGAAACTATATCCATGCCATTTCAGACAATTTTTGGAAAGCCCTTCAATCACTCAATTAATCAGTCAACTGGAAATGGGAAATTGTGTACACATCTGGAACTCTGGAAATGGCAGCTGAATACAAGTGGGGTTCGATAAGTTTACACACACATATTCTCTGTACTCAACGACACCACGAAGGTTTTAAAGGTACCGTTGTAAATCGGGCATGGAGGGTCATTTGAAATTACGCTTACAGTCCCTTTAAGTAGTGTACACTGTACATACTATTTCTACGGATTATACAGAGTGATTCAAATAGAAAAGTGTGTTACTCACCTACCTGATTGTAGCGATGAAGGTTATGTTGATGATAACCCTGTATTCCTGGGTGGGGATATCCTCGACTACCTCCCCCACCCTGCCCTCCGGGATAAAGTCCTCGCATCATACCAGCGTAGTCTGCAGGACTACAGGAGGGTATAACAGCTGGAGAAGATAAAGCTTTCTGTAGTTGTTTCTCCTGTTTCCTATACTTAGCTCTCCTGTTCTGGAACCAAACCTAAAACAAATCAAATATAAGGTTATGTTCGGAGACATTTAATCTATATAAAAAACAAGACATTCGTATATATGTTCCTTTTGACCCCCAAACAGCTGGACCGAATGGGCAAAAATTTGTTGTGGACACCCCTGGGTAGCCTGGGGGTGACCTTGGCTAAAAAATCGGGTTTTTTTAATGTTTTTTTTACAATTTGTTTTCCACGGGCAACGCCAAGCACTTCATCAAGTATACGATATAATAAATTAATTGAAGGGACTGAGGACATAATTTCTGACGACCCTCGGTGTTTTGATTTCCATTGCAGACTTGCGGATATCTGTTGCAGAAACATTTGTGGAAATTTTGATCATTTAACACTTTCAAGGTAGAAGAAATGTAATATCTTTCCCATTATTTATCCCATAAAGATTTAAAGGGTGCCATTGTAGATCAGCCATGCTTCTTTTTACTTTATACTGGCTAGAGTGAAAAATATAAAAGGAAAACTTAGATAATTCTTGATCAGACAAAAGTTTAAAGAATATCTATGTACAGTGTACATACCACTCTACAAATGTTTAAAGAGTATTTGTGTACAATGTACATACCACTCTACAAAGGTTTAAAGAGGATCTGTGTACAATGTAAATGCCACTCTACAAAGGTTTAAGAAGTATCTGTGTACAATGTACATACCACTCTACGAATGTTTAAATAGTATCTGTGTAATATGTACATGCCACTCTACAAAGGTTTGAAGAATATCTGTGTACAGTGTACCACTCTACAAATGTTTAAAGAGTATCTGTGTACAATTTACATGCCACTCTACAAAGGTTTAAAGAGTATCTGTGTACAATGTTCATGCCACTTTACGAATGTTTAAATAGTATCTGTGTAATATGTACATGCCACTCTACAAAGGTTTAAAGAGTATCTGTGAACAATGTACATGCCACTGTACAAAGGTTTAAATAGTATCTGTGTACAATGTACATGCCACTCTACAAAGGTTTGAAGAATATCTATGTACAATGTACATGCCACTCTACAAATGTTTAAAGAGTATATGTGTAATATGTACATGCCACTCTACAAAGGTTTGAAGAATATCTGTGTACAATGTACATACTACTCTACAAATGTTTAAAAAGTATCTGTGTACAATGTACATGCCACTCTACAAAGTTTTAAAGAGTATCTGTGTACAATGTACATGCCACTCTACAAAGGTTTAAATAGTACAATGTACATGCCACTCTACAAAGGTTTAAATAGTATCTGTGTACAATGTACATGCCACTCTACAAAGGTTTAAAGAGTATCTGTGTAGTACAATGTACATGCCACTCTACAAAGGTTTAAAGATTATCTGTGTACAATGTACATACCACTGTACTAAGGTTTAAAGAGTATCTGTGTACAATGTACATACCACTGTACAAAGGTTTAAAGAGTATCTGTGTAGTACAATGTACATGCCACTGTACAAAGGTTTAAATAGTATCTGTGTACAATGTACATGCCACTCTACAAAGGTTTGAAGAATATCTATGTACAATGTACATGCCACTCTACAAATGTTAGTATCTGTGTACAATGTACATGCCACTCTACAAAGGTTTGAAGAATATCTATGTACAATGTACATGCCACTCTACAAATGTTTAAAGAGTATCTGTATACAGTGTACATGCCACTCTACAAAGTTTTAACGAGTATCTGTGAACAATGTACATGCCACTCTACAAAGGTTTAAAGATTATCTGTGTACAATGTACATGCCACTCTACAAAGGTTTAAAGAGTATCTGTGTACAATGTACATGCCACTCTACAAAGGTTTAAAGAGTATCTGTGTAGTACAATGTACATGCCACTGTACAAAGGTTTAAATAGTATCTGTGTACAATGTGCATGCCACTCTACAAAGGTTTAAAGAGTATCTGTATAGTACTATGTACATGCCACTCTAAAAAGGGAGGGTTACTTTAAACTCTAAAGTTCCTTGTGAAATTAAATAAATTACTTAAAAATTCTTAATTTGAAGGTTCTAAATAGTTTGTTGTGGGGAGATTTAAAGGTTAAAGAAAAAGGACGGTTATGGGTAAAGTCCTAAAAACTAATACTGACAGAGCACAGAATAAGTATAAAGCAAAGACATTATTCCATTACTCGTTTTTTCTTAAATAAATTAAACTTCTTTATTTAAAGATTATGAATGAAAGGAAAGATTTATAAAGGGTGAATTATTGAAATGTATGACTGAAAGGAATAGGATTGAATAGCTTATTAAGAATGCTTCTACACCCATCTATACACTTGTTATCAGCTATGTTTAACGCTCAGGAGTGTTCACGGTGTACAATTTTTAAGGGGGGGGGGATAGTGTTTTAAGCTTATTTGGTCATTCTACTTTTTAGCAGAAAGTTTTAGACCCCCTNGATACAATAGATAGATATAGATAGATACATAGATAAATAGATAGGTAGATAGATAGATATATACTGTTGATGATAATATATATAGATATTTCAACTAGATAAGGAAAGTTAGAAAGTTGATATAAAAAGGAATATCAGGTTTCAAGGGATACAAATATGTAATATATACATATATATATATATATATGTAATATATATATTAATATATTCAATATTTTTGTAAACTGTATCTGTACAGTGTACAGCACAAATAGAAAATGCACTGTTTTTATGTACTGTACAATAATTTATGAATTTATTTTATAGAGAAAATGTTGAAAATATGTCACAATATGGAAATCTCAACTGCACATTACTGTGAAAATTAAGAACTTTTCTTTTCTGACATTTTCTTCATTTTAATTTTAATAAGATGTTATATCTACTCTTTTTTAATTATCTATCTAATGTTTTGACAATCATGGAAATCAAAGAGTGCATTATCACGGGCAGCCGTAGTACATTTGAATTTCCGAGCCGGGTCAACCTTTCCGGTCCCAGTTTGTACTGTATCGACCGGACATTGGGTAAATAAAGCAGACACTAAATAGGACTAGCCGGTGTAACAAGGTTGACGCAGTCAGACTTTAGGTTGAATTTACTTTTACTGAAGGGTCAGAGGTGCGTGTTATAAAAGTACATTAAAGTAAACTGTTAATACAGATATGGATGGTTTTATAATACTTTTATCCCATATTATTTGGCTAAGGGGGGGGGGGACAGAATTCGAAGCTTAAATTTGTTTAAGCTTTCTAATTTTTCCCACCGGACTATTACTATTATTACTGTACTAGCTGTTTAACGCCGTTGAAAAACTGGCCGAATGCTTATTGAATTAGCCAAACTAAATCTGAATTATGCCCCCTTCCAGCCTGGACATATTATACCTGTATTCTGGCTTCGTTTAGTTTAGTAGATCTGGCTAGTTCCTCTCTACAGTATATATCAGGGTAATGAGATTTTGCAAATGCAGTTTCCAACTCCTGCAGCTGCTCTTGGGTAAACGTTGTTCTATGTCGTCTTCTAAATAGAAAAATGATTATGCTCGAATGGAGAATTTTATATCAAAATGTTTTTTCCTCTAAGTAATCCAATTTGGAATTTACAAACTGATATATGTCTTTTTTATATTTAAAAATATCGGAAATGAAATTATTTCACCATTGTTTCAGAAATTTCTTAATTATGAAGAAGGTAGGCAATATTTAACACGCTCAGTATGCATATTTGATAGCCATGCAAATAGAAAATAATATACACAGATACTGATACAAAAGTTGCAAGCCACGGGCAGCCGTAGTACATTTGAATTTCCGAGCCGGGTCAACCTTTACGGTCGCAGTTTTTACTGTATCGCCCGGACATTGGGTAAATAAATCAGACACTCAATAGGACTAGCCGGTGCAACATGGTTGACGCGGTCAGACTTTATGCTTCATATATGTTGAATTTACTTTTACTAAAGGGGCAGAGGTGCGTAAAGCTCTCATGGTAAATGTTTGTATTTCATGTTTTCAGCAACCAAAAAGGAGAAGTGAGTTTTTTAGGTAGGATCAAATGCGTTTCGACACTGCAAGTCATGAAAATTGATGAAACTTTACAGTTTGTTTTAGTTCTTTATTATATAGAGTTACCCACAAACGGTGAGACTACAGAGACGATTGTACACACATTACATTCACGTTTTCTTTCGGTTTTAAACTTGATTTATAATTTGAGAGACTAAATTTAAGATATTCAGATTGTCATGTTTAAAGAGTGGTCGTCATTACAGTTTCATCCGTTGTGGGAAACCCCTGTATATTCCTATTTTTAAAAAAAGCATAATTTTTTTTTTTACCAATTTGTTAAAGAAAGTGAAGATATGACTTGCCTAGCAGGTGTAGGACAGGTAGAGGCTGAAGGATTATGCATGCTTCCATTCTCCCCTTCAGTCTTTAACTTTTTAAAGGCGCCATCTTGAACAAATTAATTCATGTAAACCAAGGTCATAATGCAAGGAAAGTTATTTAAGAGGTGTGCGCATCTTTTGTACCGCAGTGTACTATCTCTGGGCGGTAATGGAAACACATGACGGATGTCGAAGCCTAACATGGGATCCATCTTTCACATAAAAAATCAATGAAATATTCTGGTCATAGGAAACTACTATATGTGAATTATCAAATTTATCAAAATTTAATGCTTTTAACCTCCTCGGATACTAAACGAACACATGATGCATCTATTCTTGTTTACAAATTCCGCCCCGAGAGAACTAGTTTCAAGTATACCCAACTGCAAATAACTTTCCTTGCTTTATAACCTTGATTTAAACAGAATCTAGATGTTATGTTAAATGACCCTCTATTGGATGAACTATTCCTAACGTTTTATCTTGGTCTGATCAAAAATAAAATGAGATATTTTTATTTGATTTATTTTTTTGAAAAAGACACTTTTTTCTACTGAGACATGATTGTCAGAATTCCACTCGTGCTTGAAAAAAAGAAGATGTTTTTTTAGTATAATGTAACTCAAAACTTTAATAGAGATAAGGTTTAAAAAGTACAATTGTGAATCAGACATGACACTTTTTAAGCTCTGCAGCCCTTTCACCAAAAAAAAACTATAATAACTATAAATAATTATAAAATAAATATAGTTCAAAGTTAATTCAGATTTGAAAACTATAATAACTATAAATAATTATAAAATAAATATAGTTCAAAGTTAATTCAGATTTTAAAAAAAATACAAAGAGTTACTTTTGATTGATTGAATAATTGTAAATCAAAAGTAAATATATTTAGTTTTTGAATGATATGATTTGTAGATTATTTTAACTAATAGGATTCATAGTTCTACAAAATTTGGTTGCAAAGATTTAGAAATTAGAAAATCATAGTTCGTGGCAAATAATTAATTCCTTTGTATCTCAAATAAAGAACAATAGAAACGACAAAGGAAAGAATTTGCTGTTTAATATATTAAAAAAAGAATTACATGTCAATTTTGTGTTTATATTACTATATTTAAGGTATTTATTTATGAAGGTTGAAGGATATTTATTAATTTACCAATTGTATAAAGGTTTCTGCTACTGTTGTCTAAAGAATGAAGACCCAAAGATCTGCTCTCGTCTAAAACAAAATCTATGTTCAGAATACTTTAAATATAATTATGATAAAGGTTTATAATTAATGTAAAAAATAAAATATTTTTTTAACGTCACGAAAAAAAATTTTGCGCGCAAGATATTTCTCTTTCACTGAAAACCCTAAATTCTAAAATAAAAACCAACTAAAAAGGGAGAAAATTCGGTTTTATTAGGCTTCTAGAAACGTTGCTGAACTCTAAAAATATGCCTTCAGCGGAATTCAGCACATATATGTTTGAGGATTAACAATATTTGCACAATAGTTCCGATCTCAAAGCATTTACAGAGAAATTTTAAATAAAACTTTAAAAATATTTTCATTAATCAATTACAGTAAGACGGTTTATTTCAGTTTCTGCTGATAATGACCGTAATAATAAACCCGGCCACCTTGAGCTGATAGCCAGAATTGTATTGAAGATGGAATATCCCCAGAATTAATAAAATACACCAACCTTGAGCTGATAGCCTGAATTGTATTGAAGATGGAATATCTCCGGAATTAATAAAATACACCAACCTTGAGCTGATAGCCTGGATTGTATTGAAGATGGAATATCTCCAGGATTATGGGAACCAAACAGAGATCCAAACTCCTCTGCACACCTAGATATTAAAGAGATTGTTCACCTATTTCCAAATATACCTCATATCTCGATTTCTAAGTTTAGGATCATAATTACTCAATACTCATATAACATTATTGTAATTCTCAATGCTTTTCATCCATCTGCAGGTGTTACTAGAAGTGAACCTTTTTTGCTACAAGTTGATCACAGCAAACTATAGACAGAAAAAGAAGGTGGTAAAAGGCATTATTCCATATGACTAGTGAGGCTTTGTGACTATAAAGTGACTTATAGATTTGAGGGGTTAAAAATGTTGAGAACGATTAGAATTAAAAACAAAAAGTTGGCCCCACAATGACGTTTATTGGAAATTTATCAATTATGATAAATAAAAAAAAACTATGTAAAATAGATTGCAAAAGAGGAAATATTTCAATTAGGGATTTCTCAATACAAAGATGGTATAAATTGATTCCGCAAATTTTATGTTAATAAAGAAAATTTTGTGAAATTCAAACTATAGTAAATTGCAGGTTAATCTGAACTGAACATTTTTTGCAAAAATCCAAACATTTCTTATAGAAAACTAAACATTATGTAGATAAAACTAAACATAGCATAGATAAAACTAAACATTATGTAGATAAAACTAAACATAGTATAGATAAAACTAAACATTATGTAGATAAAACTAAACATTATGTAGATAAAACTAAACATTATGTAGATAAAACTATTCAACAAACAGACAATGTCTTATCAAAACAGATCCAACTAATCCCCTGTTATTCCCCATCCCCCCTAAAATCCCCAAGTGCGATCATTGATTATGTGTTAATGGTTAGATAATGTTGTAATAATTGTTAAAGTATTTAAGAGATCATACAGTTGTCGTATATATCAATCAAACAGCATGGAGGATAAACAAATAAACATGGTAACAAAGAGAAGCTATCAACGAACGGATTTTCTTTGCTAACTTGTAAACTTGTAATTTGACAAAGCTTGCTAGAAATCAAAACTTAAATATAAAAGTCGTCTTCATTGTATTGATATAAACGCCAAAGTAAATTTCACGTTAGAATAAAAACTGACATGTTTTCAAAGTTACAAATAAAAAGTCAAATTTTCAGACTAGGAATACTTTGAATTGTCTCAAAACCTTGATTTTACCCCCACCAACTCACTTAAACTCTTTTGTTGTACTGGAATTAAACATTTTTGAGCTGAAACACGTTTGGTTCAAGAATTTTATTTTAAAAGAAGTGATTGGCAAAATCCTAAAAGTGTGCATTTTTTTACTATTTCTAATATATAATATAGTTAAATGTAAATTGTTGTTAATTTTCCCTGCGCCAACCTTTTTGATAATGTGATATTTTGGCGGATTATAAACTTTCTTCATTCTAATTTTTACAAGAACATTTACAAAACTTTATAGATACCCATTTTTATGTACTTCACACTAACAGAAGAAAATGTCGTGTATCAATGAAATAAATATATATATATATATATATATATATATATATATATATAAATATATTTATATGTTTATATATATATACTAGCTATAGTTAAGCAAACGGCTTGACCAAATGTGCTACATTTTTTGATGATATCCATGGGTACCCAAATGGTAACATAGGATAAATTTTTTTTTTCAAAATCGATATTTTTTTACTTCGAATTTTTTCAAGAAGTTTTTTTTAATTCCACGGGCAACACCAGACACTTCATGGACCTCGTTCCATTTTTTGAAAAAATGTTAACATACTAAATTTGTCTTGTAAACACCTAAACTTTAACCTTACATGCTTATTTTAAAAACCTAAACTCAATTATCTTAAATTACTCCTTGGGCCCTTGTCTACTTGTAGTTGCTTGTTTATACATAGTCTTGTAGTCTAAAAAATAATAAAGCTAAGCCTAGCATAACATTTTGTTTATTTAAAAGAAATTAACGTCAAAAAATGCTCCATTAACTTCTTACTGGAAATTCTAAAATTTAATTTTTCCTCATGTAGATTTTTTCCTTCACGAGAATAAAATTTAGATACAACAATATCTGCACGGCGTACTGACCAATGTTTAGCGCGATATGACTGTTTTTTTTTCACAATCTTCTGCTTAAATGTACATGCCTTGTGTTTCATGATGAGAATAGACCAAATAATGTATATTTTATGTTATTTCATTTACAAATATTGTATTTTAAGTAGCTTGCATGGAATTTATTTAAAATGATTTCCATTTATATGATTACTTTTTCCAAGGCCGAATTTAAAGAATTTGAGTCACGGCTTAAATTTAAGCCGCGGCTCAAATATTGTTGGTTCCACTTAAAGTTGTATTAAATTTTTCAAGATTAAGGCCGGCGCTCAATTGAAACCGATTTTTTGTTGGTTTTGAGCCGCGGCTTAAATTCATTAAATTCGGACACCGTTCATTTTATTTTCTTGGAATTAATCCAGTAAATCCACTAAATTGGGTACAAGGTGTCTCAATAAACATGGGAATTCAGTGACGAATTCGATATCGTCTTTTTAAATGATTCTTTGATTTAGTATAGTGATACATACTCAGATACCTGTGATCCGTAATATTTTCGTCTGCTATGTTTACAATTTGTTTGTTTATGTTTTGACTGCATACGGTTGTACTTAGTAAAACAAGAAAATTGCAGTATACAAACACAGTAAACTTTTCCGTCTTCATTGTTCTTCTTTCGGAGACATTATAGACACATCTTTACAACCATTTACCGTTTTCATAAATAAACTCTAGCAGACATAATAATAGTATGGCTTTTGAAATCAGGTATTACAATAAAAATTCATAACAAAGACGATATCGAATTCGTCGCTGTATGTTTATTGGGACACCCTGTACAATTGCACAGGTCACTGTGTACATAGGATACACAGAAGACGTAAAAAATGCCATAAAATGCCGTTTTCCGTTGGTTTTTTAGAACTTCAACGTAACATTACAACGAATGCATACTTCACTCAAATAAAATTCTNCCCCACTTAGGGGGGGGCACCTACCTTTTTTTCTCCTGTGATTCTAGTAGAAGAGATCGTTGATGAAGAAGTGGTTGGTGACTATCCCTGTGGTCCATCTAAAATAAATATCTAAATTAACGGAGAAACTGTATTAAACTTTATTTTTCTAATTCCTTTATCTTTGAAACCAGATGTTGTATATATTGGATCACACATAGACTAGTTGGACTAGCAGATATCAAGTTTAAAATATCAAGTTGGTGCTTCTTGCTACTACATATAAATCGACATTAGGTTGCAAAGATATAAGTCTAGATTATGTAAATTAGAGTCTAACCCTATTTGACTTTTCTAACATATACATGCCCCTCATTTTAGGCTAAAATTTATGTCTACTGCCTGAGTCCTCATGCATACTGCCTGAATGCCTTTTCTTACTGAGTGTTACCAGACTAAATCTTTTTATAGTCCTACTTCCAGTCATCGGATTTCAGAGCTTTTTGGAAAGCCTATGCCAAAAAGATGCAGATTGCACAATGTCTGCAAAGAAATTTTACCTTGATTTTTGCAGACGCCTTTAACGCCTTTAATTGGAATTTGCACAATTTATATTTTTCTTTTGAAATTGCAATTTAATATTCACTGGGTCAAGGGCTTTTCAAAAAATGTTTACTTTGTCATATTTCGCAAAAAAAAATTGTGCACACTTTTACTAAATAAATAGATTTCGCAATAAATTTTTGGATTCTTGCAAATTCGCATTTTTTCTTCAGATTAATGAAGTACAGCTGCAAGGGCTTTTAAAAATATATCAAATGTTATAGATTTGTAACCAGCCGTCAGTCGGAATAGGGTTAAGGCAAATAATTAGTTGTTTCCACGAACAATTTCTGTTTAAACCTTTAGATTTTTAATCAAAAATCTAAATGTTTTAGTCAACATCTTTTTGATACAAAAAAATTATGTCTATGTTTCATAAACTTGAAAATTAAAATTTAAACCACAATTGCAAAAAAAGGGTTTTTTTTGGCGGCAAAAATATTGTAAAGCTTTCGGGCTAGATTTTTTTTGTTCATTTCAAAAATTTCACTCACGAAGATAGGTCCTGATTTCTCAAAGGTTGACAATTGCTGCCGCCAAACCTTCAATCAAGATTTACCAAGATGAAAGGTCGAGTCGATGAAATTTTAAGATTGGCAGGTCTTATTCACAACGGTACCTTTGACACCTCTACCTGAGTAACGAGTTGGAAGGTATCTTCGTTTTTTTATCTTTAAAAGTAAAAAGTCGAATTTTTAAAGAGGATTAAACAATTGCTTCATTTAAAATCGATTTGTATTACATATATTGTATTTTCAGGTTGTTATAATCGATGAAAATGTTACTGATTTCTTATTTTATAATGCTGAAAAGTTAAAAAAGCACTTAATTGCTTTAAATTTTCCAAGTCTGTAGAGCTGCAAAAAAATGAATAAGTAAGTAAATGAGAAAAAAATCTAAGGCCAAGGCGTTTCGACACTTAAGAAGTCAACCCAGTCTTGAAAATTGCTGCAACTTTTCATAGCTTTCTGATCGATTCTAAGTGATCTTCCATTTAATTCACCATATTTATTGACACTTTCAAATATTTAACTTGAAAAGTTTAATTCCTCAATTTTTAAAACAAAACAAAAAAGATAAAAAGGCTCAACATCTTCAAATCAAAATGTCTTGTTAATAATATGCATCCAGCTTATTTATACTTCTTTAAGTTTAGTTAGTTTTGTTTATCAAAAACAAATGTCCAAAATTGTCCCATGATATATTCTTTGGAGAAAAAAACAGCAGTAGCGGTTAAACGATCGGTTGAGACATATCTATAGACTCTTTGAAGAATTTTAAAATATTTGAATACTAATAAACCAGTAAATATACAAATATTTCATAATAATTTTCTCTTTTAACCGTTGGAACTACAAATTTTGTAAACTTCTTTTCCTTCAATTGATGGAAGCGCGATTCGTATGAGTTACCACTGAGTATTTTCTCAAAAGTATGTAACATTTTCCGCAATCATTAAGATTGATATCTCCAGGATTCTCATTTGTTGGCACTACATTTTTGATTAGAAAAAAAATATTTTTCGATGTTTTAATTTATATTTTGCGGATCCGGATCCGGATCCAGAGAGCGCCAACCAAAGAAAATAGAATATATATTAGAGTGGAATTTACTAGAAAAAATTGTAAAACGGCCATTTTGTTGTACTGTTTCCATACTGCAGGTGTACTTCACATATTTGTGTTAAATAAACTTTTGGGCCCATGGAATATCATTTTATAGAAAATCTAAAATTAATATTAAAAGAAAACCAAATTATGAAATAGGCTTGTTTCATATCATTTCACATTATAGACTCTATGCCTTTTACTTTACAAACGATGATTTTCTGTTATAACTATAAACTAAACGATTTTATTCACCTAATTCATTTTATAAAGTTTTTAAACTTAACAGCTTTAAAAAATCGAAATTGAAATGGATTATCTAGGGAACATACTGTATTAATGTACTCTACTGCATACAATTTGTGAACATTTACATGATTTGTACACTTTGAACTCCTTTTCAGACTGAAAGGGACTGACAAAATTCATACCGAGGGATCGTCTAATTTCCACTCTAATATATATTCTATTCTCTTTAGCGCCAACATTTCGGATCCTAAGCAATGATTACATGAAAAGCTTTCTATCCAGTAAAAGCGCATATAAATGGGACATGATTACCCAAATACCTAACTATTTTTTATCCTTTTTCTTCCTTTCATGTACAGTTTTCTTTCCTCCTTCTCTTTCCCCCTTCTCCCTTCTTCTTTTTCTTACGCTCCTGTGTACTTTTCCTTTAATCTCCTATCTCCTTTCCTTCCCCCCCCTTCTATTTATTTTCATTTTTCAGTCTTTCATGCTCAGTTCTCCACCCCACCTTCTCTCTTCTTCCTGTACAAAACAATGCAGTACGGATTTGAGGATTTGTAGCTAGGGTTCCTTACTGATAATCGTACAATTTTTGAGTGTGTTTGTAAACTTGTGTATTCGGGAATTATACCATGAAGGAACTATTAACGTTATCTCAATTAAAGATTTGCATGCTCTTTCCACAATGATACCCTTTTAAACTTTATCTGGAAATAATGAGCAAGATATCTCCTGGAAAATTTGTTTATCACTTTTAAAAAAAAAACTAACTGAAAAAAAACTTTCCACATTTGTTCTCAGGAAAAGGTCAACATAATATCCTGCAAACATTTTTCAAGTTTTAGGGTGACAATAAATATAACGTCTATGCAGTCCCTTTAAATTAAATCCAGATTGTTTTTCACTTGTTTGCAAATAGTTGAGTCTCATTGTTTTTATTTGGTCAGACTTATATTGAGTTTGAAGAATCTTATGAAAAATGTTAAAACAAGAAGAGGGCTGGATGGAAGACATAATTGAGTCAAGTTTAAACATGAGTTTTGTTAAATTTGATTTTAAACTCACCGGAAAGTCTGGTCTATGGCCGGGTTTAGGTTCTAGGCTCGCCAAAATGCGGGAAGAAATTGGATTAAGTCTATTAGGGTCCACACTAATACGACCTTGCCTGGTATATTACGAACAGATAATAAGTTAAATTTGTCTAAATTTTGTTAGTTCCGCTCAATAACCTTCTTAGCTAACGATAACTGAATATAGGAGAAGGACAAGTATGGTAACTCTATTAGAGCGCTACAGGACCGGGAATCCGCGAACTATCTGCTCTCCTATTGGATAGAATCCTGCAGTGACGTCACGCTCATTTCCCTCTTATCCAATCAGCGTTTAATAAACAGAAACTTAATGGAAAATCAGGCTGAACGTGATCTTATTGGTTAAGGGAATGGGGAAAGAGTGTTGGGGAAAGTTGCGCAAAGCTGGCAAGGAAAGGAGAAAGGAAGGGAGTACTGAGACCAAAGTCTGAAACCTTGCAAAATGGAATTATTAATTTTATTAGAGAACGGTTGCAGCTTTACAATTAACTTATATGGGGTCTCTGACAATGAATTAAGATGCAGAGCTCGTAAGGTTGCTAAATGAAATTAGTTGCGTACACAAATAATTAAGTTTAGTAATGGGATTGCACGGTGCACCAGCTACCCTCGCAATAAAAAATACTTTAAACTGTTTTTTAATACCTCCGCGCGCACTGTAAAACAAAATAATAAATATGCAAACTTATTGATTATAAATACATCTAATTTATATTGAATAAATATCCATAACTATTTATTTATTGAATAGATTGGGTTAAAGAGACTTTAAGCTTAACTGTGACCCTCCATGCAAAATATGCAATGCCCGATTTACAACGGTACCCTTAAGACCTTTTGTATATTTGTGTGTAAACTTATCGAAACCAGTTTGTATTCGAATTCAAATTCCGGTGTGCGCTACATACAGTCTACTGAACTCAACACACAGATTTTTCGGCTTTGATTTTTACCGGACTATCTTAATTTTTATTTTGCTAAGCCCTGATACGAGTACTTTTATGAAGTTTTTTGGCAAAATTCTACATTAATTTGAACAAAAACCTATATGTTGCTTTTTTAAAGATTAAACCCCTTACTTATAGTGTCATTTAACTTCCTCTGTTTTAAATATTGTTTTCAAAATAAAGACTTCCTTCGATAAAAGTATTCAGAAATCTAGTTATTTAGCAAAAACAAAAATTGCGCAAAAAGTGGCAAATTTATAATTTTTTAAAAACCTTAACCCAGCAAATTCAAATAAGCAAAAATTGTCAAAACCTAAATGAGTGTATTAAAGAAAAAAAAATGTGCAAATATTCTGTAAAGTAAAAATAAAAATAAAACGCGCAGAGTTTCGTTGCCAAAATTATGCAATGTAATTTCTTATGTTTTAGGCTTTTTAAAGAGCTAAAAACCTGAAAGTAGATCCTGATACAGAATTAGTCTGGTATAGGTTTAATAAGGCCTTAAACGTGGGGCACGTGCTAACCCTAGTCAGGCCGACGTCTGGGTTGCCTAATATATTTCCGTATTGTGATACAAATCTAGAACATTTGATACATTTTAATAATCGGCGAAAACAATTGCGAATTTGCGGTAATTATCTGCAAAGAAATTGCAAATTTGCACAATTTCAAATATTTATTGCAATAATAAGTTATTAAGCAAAACCAAAAGTGTGACTGTGCGCGCAATATGATAAGTTATACATTTTTGAAAAGCCCTTGCCGCGGCAAATTCAATTATGCAAAATATTTGCAAAATTTTCAAAAACTAAATTTGTATTCAAGGAAAATTCAAAATGTGCAATTTCTGGTCAAAAATTCTGCAATCTGCTTCCTTTTGTTCATGGCTTTAGAAAGCGATAAAAAAAGCCGGAATCCAATGACCGGAAGTAGGTCTAAATATAGATTTAGTTGGGTAAAGGTAAAATATGGCATTAAGGCAGTATGCCTAAGAACTAAGGCAGTTGGTATAAAAGCCCTGATTGGAGGCTGAAGTGGCATGTGTTAGTTAGAAAAGCCAGAAAACTTAAGCCTCTTAGCTCAATCACTTTTCAAATGCTCACCAAAAAACTACAGGGGAAAGGGGGATCGTTTTGACGGGCCTCTCCGTCAGAATATCTTATTTCTTTCTTTCTTTTTGCTTACTTTTTTCTGATATATTTGAATGAAAATTTGACTTATTTTGCACTAATTGTTCTACATATGATACCTTTTACCGATCATTCATGAAAGGCGAATACGTTTTAACCGCACAGCCTATTCCCGGGACATGAATTCTTTGTTTATTTTAAGTGTACGTATATATCCTTTTTATCACAAGAATTCTAAATATAAATTTATATTATACTTCGAATTTCCCCAATTTCATTCTTCTGTTGTACATCCTTTGTCTCTTCTAGCCCCCTCTTCAACCCCTTGGGGGTGGGGGGACCATAGATGGTTAGATATATAGATAGTCGGACATGTGTGAATAACTAAGATTATTAGAGGGATTATCCCCCCACTATATAGACTATAGAGACCATACAGCAACTAGTCAAGGGATTTTCTTACACTTCAGATAGTCTTGGAGTATATATGTATAGATACAAAGTATATATAGAGATATCATTATCTTGGAGTATATATATATATATACAGAATATATATAGATATACCATTATCTTGGAAATCTTGCCACCCCCTGGATAAAATCCTGTTACGCGCCTCTATATACATATACAATATACATGATATAAATAGAGATATTATTATCTTAGAGTGTAAGATATGGGATATATATAGATATCATTATCTTAGTATAGATACAGAATATATATGTATAGAGATATCATTATCTTTGAGTATATAGCTATAGGAAATATATATAGAGATATCATTATCTTGGAGTATATAGATACAGGATATCTATATAGAGATATCATTATCTTGGAGTATAAAGATACAGGATATACATATATTCAAGTGAACAAAGAAAATAGTTTTATGAATGCACAAATTTTAATACTGTAAATACTAGATCTCAGTGTATTTTAACGCATTTATTTCATTTCAAAATAAACGAAAATAAATATTTCTCTTTAAAAAGGATTAAAAATAATATAACGACAATTTGTCGAAGAACAAACATTTATATTAACTTTTTTTAAATATTGAAAATATGAATAGATAACCAACAAATTACATCAAACAATTATTAAACAAATGAATATTATCCGCCTGTACTGTATCCCCTCCAATCCTGAGAGAGTCTTCAGCTTGTTTAAGAATCTTCGAAATCTTCATTTTCAACTAAAAAAATCTTTATTCATTATTCTGACATAAGTCGGATCTTTGTCTGAAATCAAACAAATCTAGAACTTGAACTCCTTCAACCAGGGCTAATAGTACCTGGGGATAATGATTAAGAAGAACATGAACTCCTTGAACCAGGATTAATAGTACCTGGGGATGATAATGATGAAGAAGAACATGAACTCCTTGAACCAGGACTAATAGTACCTGGGGATAATGATGAAGGACATGAAATCCTTGAACCAGGACTAATAGTACCTGGGGATGATAATGATGAAGAAGAATATGAAATCCTTTAACCAGGACTAACAGTACCTGGGGATAATGATGAAGAACATGAAATCCTTGAACCAGGACTAATAGTACCTTGGGATGATAATGATTAAAAAAAACATGAACACATTGAACCAGGACTAATAGTACCTGGGGATGATAATGATGAAGAAGAACATGAACTCCTTGAACCAGGACTAATAGTACCTGGGGATAATGATGAAGAACATGAAATCCTTGAACCAGGACTAATAGTACCTGGGGATGATAATGATTAAGAAGAACATGAACTCCTTGAACTAGGACGAAAAGATCCATTTCTCCAGGTCGTCTACTCAGGAGAAACCCTGTACTGGGGTTATAGACAGATCTAGATTTAATGATGTATGGTAATGTTAACAGTTAATAATCACAATAATGATCATGCTAGTAATAATGAAGAAAAATTAATATTATAATGGCATTGTTAATAATATTAATGATATCAATAGTAATAAAACGATATTAAAAAAGAAGTTTTTGCAAAACATAGCTTCATTGGATTTAAATGCTTTTAAAAATATTAATTATCATATTTTGACCGTGTATTGATTGCTATAACACTTAACCTACTACTAACTAAACCATTATCGAAAATGACGTTTTTTAAACAAATTAAAGTTTTTATTAATAAGAAAATATTGAAGATATCCGATGAAATTTGAATATTGAAGATAGTAATGTTTAAATAGGACTGTAGACGTGTTTCAAGAGACCTTTTAAGTAATGTTCTTGCATGTCTGATTCAAAAAATGAACTTTTTATCTGATCTATATTTTGGATAAATAGTGTTGTTTTTTTAGCTTCAAAGGTTTTCATTCTAAAGATTTCGTTCGTTCAGTTCGCTCAGAAAAAAAAGTTTGGCAGATAAAACTGTTTTTCGGTAAATTAAGAATCGTTTTGTGAAAAGTCAGTTCAAAACTATCGTTTTTGTCAAAATCTTTTGAAAAATTTGTTTGTTCTGTAAAACACAATCGTTCTAAAGTTTGTTTGAACCATTTAGATGGATTTTTTTAATATTTTTTGTTTTTCCATTGCTCTGAACGATCCAAGACGTTTATCCATCCTTTGTTTTCTTTTCTGATCGACACAAGCATTCACAAAAAAATGTCCGTCCGTCCGTTCTCAAAAATGTTGTTTGTTTACAAATTTCTTTCTCTATAAATAATGCTGGACACAATTGAAATTACGTCTACAGTCTTTTTCAGAGAAAAAGCTCAGCCATTTTGAATTTATCTGCTTACTTTGAAACCTGATGTATGATGAGAAGCGCCAAGAATAGTTCCAAGTTTCTAATTGGAACCGGAGATGGAATATAAATCTGATCAACTAAACAGAACAAATTATTATTTATCTAAAAAAATTATAAAATACAAAACTAAAAAGTAAAAGGTAGAGATGGGCGCATTCGGCTTTTTTAATTAGTTTATTTATCGTTCGATCGTTAATAACCCAATTCGCTTGGTTTTTTTCAGTCATTCAAAAAAAATTTTTTTTTCGTTTTCAGAATTATCGTTAATTTTCTAATTCTACTTACGATTTCTAACTAACCGGGCAATCAATTTAATCGTTCGTTTTATAACAATTTGCTAAAAAATTCGTTTAGTAAAATCTAGATTTTTTCAAGGTTGTTCAAACAATGATTTATGAATCGTTCATAAAACATTCATGGATATGAATGATAATTTTAAATCATTAGTTTTTCAAAAACGATGATCTCTTAAAAAAGTGACTTGAGGCCGAAGTTAAAGAATTTGAGTGGTGGCCTAAATTTAAGCCGCGGCCTAAATATGGTTTATTGAATTCAATGTTTCAAGATTTAAGCCGGCGCTCAATTGAAACCGGTTTTTGGCGAATTTAAGACGCGGCTCAAATTCATTAAATTCGGACATTGGTTTCTAAAACCTGGCTGATCAAGTCCGATCCATTGAGTGATACTTGTCAGCTCAGATACCAGGTTTCTCTTACTCTCCTCTCTAAACCCAGATTCTGGAGAAGAGATCCATTATTCTATAATTTACAGGGATTTTTTAAAGAGATTTTAGCCTTTAACTATTTATATTTATTTTAATTTATTAAATGTGTTTGCTTTAATTGGTGTATTTTCAAAATTAGTAAAAGCCGATCTTTTTCAGTCACAATTTTTCAATTTTAGGTGCCCTATGGGTTATGTGAGATACTGCAAAAAAATCGGTCTGATAGGATCAGATTCTTTGGCGTTAGTTCCCGCTAGACAATACATTTTATGTTATATTTAGACTAGATTTTTAAAGTCCCTTTACGACCCTTTCATTTTCAATCTCAAAGAATAAAAATAAAAATTATTTTGAGGCACATTTTTTACTGGCTTAACAGTTAAAACCTTTTTCTGAGTTACCATAAAGATTTGGGCCCAATCATTTCTTTAGTTTTTGACGTTTATAGGGACAGACAATTGATTGTGGGCCTTGTTGTCAAACAAGAATTGAAATTGTAATATATATGATTTATAAAATCTGCTGTGTATGTTTTTCACTTGATCTTTAAAATTTTATTTTTTCATGAACAACTATTTTGGAAAATGAATGTATTCTTCTTTATTGTGTTATCTTCTAACACTACACTAAGCTAGTGGGGTAGGTCAAATAGGCCTGGTTGATAGGCCGGGTACTGTACAAATAGGCCTGGTTGATAGGCCGGGTATTACTGTACAAATAGACCTGGTTGATAGGCCAGGTACTGTACAAATAGGCCTGGTTGATAGGCTGGGTACTGTACAAATAGGCCTGGTTGATAGGCCGGGTACTGTACAAATTCTGGCCGCGCCATTAAAGTTGAAACTGAGCAGTCATAGGTTAGTGTTGGGCCAGTACTTTCCACTCGTCACTCAGGCCATAAAGCAGGGTCGGTCCAGTTCGAAATCAAATTGACTTTATTAGTCCACTCTGTGCCATATAGATGAGTTTAACAATCAACTTTATTTTACCTTTTGTCTGCCCAACAGTGATGATTCCAGCTTGAAGACTTTCAACCGTGGATCTGAGGAGAACAAATGTTTTGTCTTTGAAACTTTTTATCAGCTTTTGATAAATAGATTTTTGAATAAACTATTCTTGGAATTTATCTATTAAATTGACAGGTTTTTCTTTAATTTCAATGTTTGGTTTTTATAATTTTACATTGTAAGGTAAATATGATATATCTAGTTCAAGGGACATTAGTTCTAACCCAGGCTTATAGATCATTTTCTTACACTAAGTATCATTTCTTACACTAAGTATCATTTCTTGCACTAAATATCATTTCTTACACAAAGTATCATTTCTTACACTAAGTATCGTTTCTGACACTAAGTATCATTTCATACACTAAGTATCATTCCTTACACTAAGTATCATTTCTTGCACTAAGTATATTTTCTTACAAAAACTATCATTTCTTATACTAAGTATCATTTCTTGTACTAACTATCTTTTCTTACAATAACTACCATTTCTTGCACTAAGTATCATTTCTTACACTAAGTATCTTTTCTTACACTAAGTATCTTTTCTTGCACTAAGAATCATTTCTTACACAAAGTATCATTTCTTACAATAACTATCATTTCTTGCACTAAGTATCATTTCTTACACTAAGTATCATTTCTTACACTAAGTATCTTTTCTTACACTAAGTATCATTTCTTATTCTAAGTATCAATTCTTACAATAAGTATCATTTCTTACACAAAGTATCATTTCTTACACTAAGCACAAAGTATCATTTCTTGCACTAAGTATCATTTCTTGCACTAAGTATCATTTCTTACACTAAGTATCATTTACACAGAGCTGACCCATTTACCTGAGAAGCTTGGCCTGAAACCTGGCAGACCCAGAGAGATGATGGGACATCAGTTGGCGAAGTATTGTTAATTGTCCCAGGGACACAATCAGTACACTTATATTCTAAACAGAAAGATATGGGACATGAATAGACGTAGTTTTCAAATCAAAACAAATATAAAATTTGTCTCAAGCATATAGAGAATAACATTTTTATAACATATTTATGATACTTTAGAGTATTGTCATCTGTGCAAGGGACGACAAAGCTATTTAAAAAAAATTCAAATAAATTTAAAACTTTTGTTTGAACGACTGAAGGTGGATTTTTGAACATTTCTGGGAAAGAATTAAAATGTCGCCTTCATTATTAAAAATCCTCGAAATTTCAGGAATTAATATTCGCAAATCACTTTGATCATGTAACATAAAGAATATTGTGAATCATTAACTACATTTTGATAATAAAAAAATCCATTATTTAATAATTACAATCTCTGAATGATTTTGTTTAATCGAATTATTTACAGTCTGTGTGAAATAAACGCAACTAAGTGAATTTATATGGGGATTAGGCTCTATTGGGTTGTAGGCGTGTTCAATCAATTTCTCCAAATAGACGTAACTGATGATGTAAAATTAGCAACGACCGAATCCGACTTTTTAAGGGTTCAGCAGGACCCTCATTTAATTGTTCGCGAAAACTCCCTTTAATTTCTCTGTACTATTTTTTGTGGTATGAATCTTTTTAAATTAAAAATTTCAAATTTGTGTATTTAAATTTTTTTAATCAAATTTTACCCAAGAAATTGCTCTCTTTTGAAAATGGTTTAATATCTTCCCTTGCATACCTGTATGTTTTTACTAATTTTATTTAGGATTGTTCCATAGGTTTTAGCCGGGTAGGGAACCAGGTCCGAATACGAACCTTGTAAAAATTCCTTCAATTATTTTTATATTTATTATAATATCCAAATTTTACTAAGTTAAAATATCTTGCCGGGTATTCATAATTTTCAATTTTAAAAAAAATTGTCAAGGCGACATTTTATAAAATTGTTTCGATGACTCCGAAGTTCCGGGTTCGAATCATGCAAGGATTGGACTGGATTAAGATGACCCCCCTCCCCTGTTGCTTCTCTGATATTGAAAATAGATCAATAAAGAAATATTTAAATTTAGAGTTTTTAAATTAGTAAGTTATATCATTTATTCCAACTTTTATCGTTTAGTTACCAAGATGTTCCTGAGTTTGATCCAAAAGTTTGAAGACATCTTGCTCTTCCAAAATCTGAAAAAAAAATGTATTAAATGTAAAGTTAGGATTATGTTTGGCTTTATAAACATTCAGGCCCATAGAACTTTGGAATAAGTAGATGATTGTTAGACTCAATAACTTATTTTTAAAACCACTCATAAAAATATTTCCTTTACAACAACTTCAAATTACGTCTTTTATGCTCCATAGTTGTTTGGAATTCAATGCAAACTACGTTTAAAAACCGTAACTAATATTTTAAACCTCTTTTTGTAGAACCTCCACTAGGTTTTGCATCTTCTGCACTGACATCAGACCAAGCAGTCTGTACAGGATGAGACTTTAGAAATTCTGTATTTCTGCCCGTCAAAAGTATACTTCTTTGTTAGGATCGATCTAAGGGCACCTTCTTAGAGACGTAAAAGCAGAAAAATACAGAATGATTGGATAATTTAAAAAAAAGAAAGAGAAAATGCTCATTACTATTAGTCAAGTTTCACTAGACATGAAATATTTTTTTTCAGGCAAAATGAAATTAACTCTGTCTGAAAAAAATGTGATCCCGAAAGAAAATCCAAGATCAAGAAAAAAGGGACTATCGATAAAAAGCAATTTTGTAAAAAAGTCCTACCTTGATAGTCCCGCTATTCCTGGCACTCCAATACTAAGTCCAAGCTGATTAATCACACTCTCACTCACCTAAACAAACTAAAATTAAACCCTTGTGAGCATGCGATGCTTTTTTTAAGAGAAAAGACAACTGAAAAATGCTTTAAAAATTATTTACAATTAATTTTTCCCATTTTTCACAATAATTGACAAATTTCTTCGATAATATGTGTATTTAATATTTATCACTTTAATGTTCAAGATATAACATATAATTCCTATAAATTTTGTACAGTGGGAAAGTGTGTCTGATATCTTTTTTGAATAAAAATTTTAAATTAAAGTTTATAATTTGTCTGTTTAACTGACCATTAAGGAGTGCGGAGGCTTCATAGAAAACCAGGATTCATCTTCCCCAGCATACACTACATTCTGATATTCAGATACACCTGTGTATCAGAAATATATATATAGTGGCATACACTACATTCTGATATTCAGATACACCTGTATAAGAAATATACATAGTGGCATACACTACATTCTGATATTCAGATACACCTGTATCAGAAATATATATATAGTAGCATACACTACATTCTGATATTCAGATACACCTGCATCAGAAATATAAATATAGTAGCATACACTACATTCTGATATTCAGATACACCTGTATCAGAAATACAAATATAGTAGCATACACTACATTCTAATATTCAGATACACCTGTATCAGAAATATAAATATTATCTTTATAGAAGTATAAACAAATTGGAGGCGATCACTTGTTAATAATTCAAATTTAAAAAATTTAAAAAATATCTTTTAGAATTATGTTCATGTCCAAAAATTAAAAGACCCACCTATGAGCTCTCTGGCAATTCGTCCCATAAAGTTTTTTGATGCATCGTCTATATTTAGCTTGTGCTCAGGGATAGGTATAACTGAAACAAACTGATTAAAGACAGGCAGAGGTGCAACTAGGACAGGGTAGGGTAGGGTATGGCAGAGGTGCAACTAGGACAGGGTAGGGTAGGGTATGGCAGAGGTGCAACTAGGACAGGGTAGGGTATGGCAGAGGTGCAACTAGGACAGGGTAGGGTATGGCAGAGGTGCAACTAGGACAGGGTAGGGTATGGCAGAGGTGCAACTAGGACAGGGTAGGGTATGAGCTCTTTTTATTTCATTTTCTAACTGAACGATCATTAAGTAAAATCGTTCATTTGATTAATTTGTTGTTTCGTTGTTTCAAAAGTTTGTTAGAAAAAATCGTTTGTTCAGTAAAAACCTTATAATTTTCAAAAATATATGCTACATATGGAACTGGTTTAATTTCTACAGACTTATTTGTAATCGGAGTTTCAAAATTGACTTTTTTAACATCTACGTAAAATGTCCGATGTATTAAGCACAATATAGATCTAAAAATGACCATTTTAAAGGCTCTCAAAGAGTCTTCTAATACCATTATACAACGGAGATTATCTTTATTTTTAACCAAATTTACTTACTCCAGTTGGAAACTTAAGGGGCCTATAAAATTGTCATTTTTAGACAAAGAGAATAGAATATATATTAGAGGGGAATTTGAGGAATCTCTCTGTATGATTGGTCACTTATGAAACCAGCCTATTTCATAATTTGGTTTTCTTTTAATATTAATTTTAGATTTTCTATAAAATGCTATTCCAGGGCCCAAAAGGTTATATAGCACAAATATGTGAAGTACACCTGCAATATGGAAACAGTACAACAAAATGGCCGTTTTACACTTTTTTCTAGTAAATTCCACTCTAATGTATATTCTATTCTCTTTGTTTTTAGATCAATAGCCTAACGTTGTGCTCACTGAACCGTAGATTTTAAAAATGGTCTTAATCTTGAAAATCCGATTACAAACGAGTCTGTAGACAACCTGTATGTTAAAACATTAATAATCTAATATATATTTATTAATTTTATTAAAAATTATTCTTTATAAAAACTGATATTTTTATCAAAGAATTTTCCTGCATGGGAAAAATGTTGTTGGGAAAGTACCTATTGAAGAAATTAATGGTTGGGGAAATTTACGTTGGGGAAATTAAGGTTGGGGAAATCAAGGTTGGGGAAATTAAGGTTGGGGAAAGTAAGGTTGGGGAAATTAAGGTTGGGAAATTAAGGTTGGGAAATCAAGGTTGGGAAAATTAAGGTTGGGGAAATCAAGGTTGGGGAAATTAAGGTTGGGAAATTAAGGTTGGGAAAATCCAGGTTAGGGAAATCAAGGTTGGGAAAGTTGTGACTATGGATATTGTGTTGGGTGAAATGACCATAACAGCTTCTATATTAATTTTTGAAAAAATCATATTAATATAAGCAATACTGACCATTACTCTGATACTGGCTGTGAAATTGCGTAGGTCCGCGAAGAAACATGGATGCTTCTCTCTCAACTGAAAAAAAACGTTAATGATTAATGAATAAAAGAAGATGAATTTATAAATAAGGGTTAGCAATATATTAATCTACTTAAAAACTAGAAGAAGATAAGAAACTCAAAAGAGCTATTAACTGTTTTAATATTGGGATATGTCATATGAGTCTAAATAGATTATCAAGTACAATAGGTGGCAACAGAGAAATGGATCAATTATACACGACGTAACAACTAACAAGTGTCAAAAATAACAAGGAAAACGAAATTTTCTCACATTATTTGACATGTTCTTCAAGATTAAATAAAAAAGTGTGAAAACGGAACATAAATAACACATAAACTTGCACCATTTTCATTGCAAGATCCCAAATTATCACTATTATTAATAATTTTGTCGGACACAATACAGAGTTGACACTTGTGATGTAAGAATACAACCCATGAATACAACTGTACTGAGAGTGTACAAATATTACGTTGCCATATATTGTACTTAACAATCTATTTGCATGAGTCTAAAAGAAGTCGAATTCTTCCCACAAAATGGAATTTTATAATTGATTTATCATTTCAACTCAATATCGAAGACCCTTGATATTTTAAATTATGAATTCTGTTAGATTAAATAATTTAAGTTTGAAATATCAAATTTTTACACCATTAGGTTACAGAAACATAGCGATTAGAAAAATTTAATTTGTGAAAAAACTCAATTCCTTTGTCATACTAATTATTCCATTTCTAGAATTTGGCTAATATAACTATATAACTATATAACTATATAACTATATAACTATATAACTATATAACTATATAACTATATAACTATATAACTTTATAACTATATAACTATATAACTATATAACTATATAACTATATAACTATGGAACTCACAACGCCTTAATTTAGATTTTTGGAAGCCCTAGACATCTACAGTTTAAAACTATAAAGATCTTGTTCTTCGCTTTAGCAAAATACCAGAATAAAAAAAGATAATAAACCTGCATAGTTGATCAATCTTGATATTTCCTCTTGCCATAGACAAAGAGTAGATATCCCGATATAGTCCTACAAATATAATTTGTATATAAGGGTAAATATCCCAATATAGTCCTACAAATATAATTTGTATATTAGGATAAATATCTTGATATAGCCCTACAAATATAATTTGAATATAAGGATAAATATCTCGATATAGTCCTACAAATATAATTTGTATATAAGGGTAGATATCTCAATATAGTCCTACATATATAATTTGTATATAAGAGTAGATATCCCAATATAGTACTACAAATATAATTTGTATATAAGGGTAGATATCCCAATATAGTCCTACAAATATAATTTGTATATAAGAGTAGATATCCCAATATAGTCCTACATATATAATTTGTATATAAGAGTAGATATCCCAATATAGTCCTACAAATATAATTTGGATATAAGAGTAGATATCCCAATATAGTCATACAAATATAATTTGTATATAAGAATAAATATCCTGATATAGTCCTACAAATATAATTTGTATATTAGGGTAAATACCCCAATTTAGTCCTACAAATATAATTTGTATATAAGGGTAAATATCCCAATATAGTCCTACAAATATAATTTGTATATAAGGGTAAATACCCCAATATAGTCCATCAAATATAATTTGTATATAAGGGTAAATATCCCAATATAGTCCTACAAATATAATTTGTATATAAGGGTAAATATCCCAATATAGTCCTACAAATATAATTTGTATATTAGGGTAAATATCCCAATATAGCCCTACAAATATAATTTGTATATTAGGGTAAATATCCCAATATAGTCCTACAAATATAATTTGAAAATAAAATACCTGGATATACTCAAAAGACTTTCTAAAACTTTCCATCACTGAAGAAAAAATATTTCAATAATGAACAAATCTTAAAGTTTATTCAGAGGCTTATCTAGTAGTTAAAACTTGGCATAACAAAGGTTTGCTTTTGTTCTATTATTTTGACCCCTGGAGGGCAAACACCTTTAGGATCATCTTTGGTCTAAATATTCTTAAAACGGAATCTGATTTTTCTCCAAAACCTTGAGAGCAACTCCAAAATCCTGGGAGCACTCCAAAACCCTGGGAGCAATCCGAAACCCTAAGAGCAGCCACCCTTCCCTCGTTGGAGTAACCCAATCAAAATTTGAAGCAAATCAGTCCAGTGTTTATGAGTTATGAATATGAATATAAATATGAATATAAATATATAAATATGAATATGAATATGAATATAAATATGAATATGAATATGAATATGAATATGAATATGAATATAATTATGAATATGAATATGAATATGAATATGAATATGAATATAAATATGAATATGAATATGAATATGAATATGAATATGAATATAATTATGAATATGAATATGAATATGAATATGAATATGAATTCCTTTACGTTGACATCAAGCAACCACAAATGTGCTGAGAGCAATGGTACTGTAAATTAGGAGACTTTTCATGGGAAATACATTTTTCTTTAAGTCTAACCTTTCCAACTCTTTGTGACTTTATCGGTCAGTTCTCCAAACCTTTCTTTGGATCTAAATAAATACATTTTTTAAGAACTGTAATTTCTAGTGAACAATGCTTGTAAAAAAAGATTGAACCCGATTCCCTACTGTACCATTTAAACCTTTCTCCGATGATTTTCCTGAAAAAATTTGTCGTTTTTTATCTTAAAAACTGTTCAAAGCTAACAATTTCTTTCATTATTGCGGAAGTAACAACAATTGAAAATTAATATATATGATGCATTATTGGTAAGAAGTATCTTTTGAGGAAGGTACCGTAGTGAATCAACTTTATAACAAATTGAATATATTGATTTTTGACCTGGAGGACCTTGATTTAAAATTGGATTCAGCGACCTGGGATTAAAATTGGATTCAGCGACCTGGGATCAAAATTGGATTTTTGACCTGGAATTAAAAATGGATTATTAACCTTGAATTAAAAATGAAATATTTTGACCTGGGGTTAAACATGGATCATCAACCTGGGATTAAAAATGGATTATTGACCTGGGATTAAAAATGAATTATTGACCTGGGATTAAAAATAAAATATTTACCTTGGAATGGGATTAAAGATGAAAAATTAACTTGGGACTAAAGATTTAACATAAAATAATGACTTGGGATTAAAATGATATATCGACATGGGATGGTTCTGAAAATAAAATATTAACTCAAGAGATTCAAAACGAAATACTGACCTGGAATTAAAAATCAAATATTGACCTGGGCTTTGATTAAAAATGAAATATTTACCTGGGCTAAGATTAAAATTGAATTATTGTCCTGGGATAAAAAATTAAACAGTAACCTGGGCTGGGATTAAAAATGAAATATTGACCTGGGCTCAGATTAAAAATCAAATATTGACCTTGGCTGGGATGAAAAATTAAATATTGACCAAGGCTGGGATTAAAAATCAAATATTGACCTGGGCTGGAATTAAGAATTAAATATTGACCTGGGCTGGGATTAAAAATCAAATATTGACCTGGGCTGGAATTAAGAATTAAATATTGACCTGGGCTGGGATTAATAATTAAACATTGACCTAGGCTGGGATAAAAACAACTTAAATATGTTCCTGGGATTAAAGATTAAAAATGTACCTGGGATTAAAAATAAAAGTATTGTGAAGAAGAAGTGAAACCCGTGAGATTAATTCTCTTCTCATTCCCTGAAGAAGAAGAAATATTTAATAAAAATCTTACTTTTTACAATATCTTTACTTGATAAAAAAAAATAGATTTTTCTGTTGACTGGACCCGAATGTTTACATTTTAATAAAACCTTACATAAAATTATACTTCTCCGCAGTAAAATTATATTATTTTACAGTCCGACCTAGGGATGGGCACTTTCAGCTTTTTTATTTGTTCGTCCATCGTTTGTAAAAACCCCTTTTTTTAAATCGTTCATACAAAATTGTTTTGTTCTAAAAATTATATTTCATTTTCCCTTTTTTCTTGTTAATTTTCGTTTTAAATCGTTCGTTTAGTAAAATCATTCTTGGCAAAAAATTGTTCTTTCAGTTTTTTTCCAAAAAGCTTTCCTTTAGTTAAGAAGACAATTGTTTTTTTTATTATTTAAGAAACTTTTATGGTTGAGTAAAAAAAAACTACCGTTTTTTCAAAATCTACACCGACCTATGTTGGTAACATTTAAATCTATATAGATTCAATCATTTCAAAAAAAAAGACAGGAAACGAGATATAAAGAAAAATTTAGCGAATTATAAATACTCACACTATTACATCATAAATATCTAATTTACTGAAATAATAAATATCTTTTTTTTATCTTTTAATATCAGAAATATCCAAAAATTGATTTACAGCTATGAGAAAATTGTTGCAACCATTTAGCGTCCAACATTACGAAAATTTCACGCTAGGCCTGAGGTGAAAACCTACTAAGAAATTGATTCCCCCTTTTCTACAGCCATCGTCGCATATCAATACAATAAAGACGACTTTTCAGTTCCATTTTTATTTCCACAAAGCTTTCAAACAACATGGATACACAAAACATATAAACAATTTAAAGCTTCTCTTTGTTTGTTTGCAAACTTGCAATTTGAAAAAAGCTTGTTAAAAAATCAAAACTTGAATAGAAAAGTCGTCTTCATTGTATTGATATCAACGCCTACCACTGTACAGTGTTCATACGAAAATTTATAATTTTTGTTTCGCATTATATGATATTTCTGATACCTCCTCCAACAGTTTGTGTGGGTCTACTTGAACTACTCCAACCAAGGTCTTGCCTAAAGCCATAATGCCGCGGCTTAGAACTGATACCTACATATCATGCGAATATAAGCTTTAAAACAGAAAACAATCTTAAATTTTAGATATTTATCCATACTTATCATTTCATTGGTTTGCTTTATCCCAATTTATCCTTTTCATTAGAGGGGTTTTCCCATTCAGTGGTATGAATATTCAATACAATAATTCCAATTATCCCAATCAATAATTACATTATCTCAATCGATCCTAATTAAGTCGGCATCATCCCAATCTATAGTAGGGATTACCCCAATCTATAGTAGGGATTATCCCAATCTATAGTTGGATTATTCCCATTGTGATTATCCCAATCTATAGTTAGGATTATCCCAATCAAAAGAGTAAAAGATATAATAAAACATAAATTAAAAAGATGCAGAAAATGCCCGTTTTGCGTAAAACCTTTACCTTTTCCACACCCCATAAAGTCTATTTTATTTTTATTTTAAACATTACAAATAAATCTATAATATTTATTTCTAAAAGTTGTAAGTAATCGTCGAAAAATACTATCGATCTACCACTAGTTTATAATGAATAAATGTAAACAAAAATATGTAACTTTCCTTTTCTTTCCTTTCCTTTTCCTTTTATTTATATTTTCTATTTTTATATTATAAATCAAGTTGGGAATATCCCAATCAAGTTGGGATTATCCCAATCAAGTTGAGAATATCCCAATAAATACAATGCCCTATTCTAACCTGATGAGTTAGTTTGGCGATTTCAAATCTTTTATCAAAGTTAGAAACCTCTCTCAGTTTATCCTAGATAGTGCATTAATTTAAATAAATATTTTAGCCTGAAGAATTCATTTTTTAATATTAATACTGGTCTTAGACAATCCATTTTAAAGCCATGTAATGCACCCAAATTGAACTTTTAAATATATCGATTGAAAAAGTTAAAGATCGTAAAAAACGACTTAAACTAAAGGGCTTCTAAAAATTCCTTACGTTTTAAACTTTTTAATTATTTTGAAGCAGGAGGGGGTAGCTTGTAGAGTAGAGTAGAGAATGGTTTAACGGCTGGTTGGTGTTTAAAAAAAATCAAAAATAGTCTGTAACTTTCTTATTCTATTAATGCAAAATTGACATATTTTGAAGCACTGAAAATATGTATTTTGTATTGTAAACCAGCTCGGTTTCATTCCTGTGAAATAGTACATATATTGCGGGACATAAATAATCTAGTATGGAATGGGGATCAAAATCCAAGCCAGAGTTTAGTTGTCCATCAAGTTGCACAGATAAAAATATACAACACTGCAAACCTTTGTTGTGTCTCATAAAGATCCTATTAGCAACAAAATTAGAATAATGATTATTTCAAAATCTGATAAATCTTCAAAATAAATCCACCTTTTCTAACCGTGTTGGTATTTCTGGTGTTTGAGCCTGGAGAGCAATAATTTGATCAAGAAGATCAAACATGGAGTCAGGAATAACCTGTAGCACCTTCCTGGAATTAAATAAAATCAAATCAAATTGAATCAAATTGAATCAAACCAAATCAAAGCAAATCAAATCAAATTAAGGAAAATCAAGTGAATCAAATAAAATTCAATCAATTAAACAAAAATAAAATAAAATAAATCAAATCAAATCAATTGAACAAAAATAAAATCAAACAAAATAAATCAAATCAAATCAAATCAAAGCAAATCAAATTAAATAAAATGTTTCAATTTAATGAAGAAACCCCTGTAAGGCTGTAACCGGCATATCAGCGTAACCTTGTTTCTACCTTTTCCCTTTATAAAAAATGTAACCTAGAGTAATGTTACCTAATAAATGTAACCAGGGTTCTAGAGTAATGTTACCTAATAAATGTAACCAGGGTTCTAGAGTAATGTTACCTAATAAATGTAACCAGGTTCTAGAGTTATATTACCTAATAAATGTAACCAGGGTTCTAGAGTAATGTTACCTGATAAATGTAACCAGGGTTCTAGAGTAATGTTACCTAATAAATGTAACCAGGGTTCTAGAGTAATGTTACCTAATAAATGTAACCAGGGTTCTAGAGTAATGTTACCTAATAAATGTAACCAGGGTTCTAGAGTAATGCTACCTAATAAATGTAACCAGGGTTCTAGAGTAATGTTACCTTGTAAATGTAACCAGGTTCTAGAGTTATATTACCTAATAAATGTAACCAGGGTTCTAGAGTAATGTTACCTAATAAATGTAACCAGAGTTCTAGAGTAATGTTACCTAATAAATGTAACCAGGGTTCTAAAGTAATGTTACCTAATAAATGTAACCAGGTTCTAGAGTAATGTTACCTAATAAATGTAACCAGAGTTCTAGAGTAATATTACCTAATAAATGTAACCAGGGTTCTAGAGTAATGTTACCTAATAAATGTAACCAGGGTTCTAGAGTAATGTTCTGAAACTATGAGAAGATCTGAACTCTCAGCTTCACTAATACGAAGAACAGCTCCTGTAAAATTATTTAAATTATAGAAATATAATTAATTGTGTACAATTCTACTTTACTTTAAACAGGGTTCCCTCGACCAATGTTCCCTACAAATCATCCAGAGTGTATAATGACTATTGATTTCTGAAATTCTGACCGATCTTGCAAGCAAATTGTTTCAAGTAAAAATTCGTTGATCAAGTTAAGGAACTTCAAGATCGCAGAACTATAACTGCACGTTGGTGGTAGCCATCTTGGAACTAATCAGGGATGAACTCGGTGAACAGAAATAAATCCTTCAAATATCGGAATTATTTTCTGTTTTTTACAGAATACAATTCACGACTTGATTTTGGAATTAAATTAGGTGAATTTAGGAATTATAATCTTAACATCTCATAATTTAGTTCTTTCCTAATGGACAAAATAAAGATTAAAATATCTATGATGACGGAATATTATTTCCTGAATTTCGAAAATTATTTAATGGAATTAAAAAGAAATTATATTCTGAAATTATGGTAAAGGATATTTTTGAAATCCGGAAAATGAAACCATTTCATAGACTCCAATTAGTTCTCTGTGTGTGTTTACAGTGTGGGTGTGGGCAACTAAGTGCTATTGGTAAGCGCACTGCCGCAAGTGTACAGCATCTCAAATTTCATTTTTACAAGATTTAATGCTTTACGATAATATTTCAATTTTTTCTTTTTGATCAATTGAATTTTAAATACCTTCCATTGCCCCAGACATCTTGATAAAAACGCATCTGATATCCGACACTACAGAAGGCGTACTCTTTATCTACAAGTAAAAAAGTATGTTTGTAAAACTATTTTTATAATTTTTCTGTATAAATTACAAACCTCGGATTGCATAATTTGTGTGAAGTTTTGTACAAGCTCCCAGCCATAGCTGAAAAAAAATCAAAATGTCAGCCTGTTTTAAGAGAACCAGAAAACTCTGGAATAGGAAGACGACTTTCGACAAAAGTTGAGACTTTAAATAGTATAAATATTATGAGACACAACAATTATGCAATGAACAGACCAATGTCACTTAATAAAATATTTGATTAATTATTTAGATTAATTATTTTACATAATTTGAAAATTCGGATTAATTCAAAATCAGTTACCTGAAATCCGCAAGTATTTGAACTTTAACTGAAAGAAAAAAATTATCTAATTTCAAATTTATTTAGTTTTTAGAAAATAATTCACCTAGAACTTGATCTTTGGCAGAAACAAGTTGGACCATTTGTAGTAAATTCTTCTCTGTCTCAGACAGATATTGAATAACCTGAATATAGGTTTCGAGATTAGGAAAAAATTAATGATCCAAAATTATATGTTTCAATAAGTGAAAATTATTAATGTTTTTTAATGTGTTACGCTGAAACAATTTGAAAGTAAGAAAAAATAAGTTTTTTAACTTTTTTACTGTAGAAACTTTTTAGACACAAGCTAAAAGGATCTGTGGATTTCTCAGAAAAATATTGACAATTAGAATTAAGTTTTTAATGTTTACGAGTAATAAAACAACGCAAAAATACAAAATGAAGGTGTCTCTGTCCTTTTTTCCTGAATATCAAATTAAATTAAATATTGATTTTTAAATAATATATCTTGATAAAATTAGTAGGGTTAACAAAATGCATTTTTTTTAATCTCTATATTTTCCTTCTGTTTTGATCATTCTTTGACATGCTTATATGACTTATATGTATAAAGGAAGAGCAGTGCCTGTGCAACAGAGGTCTGTGCACTGGTGCAGTTAACAAGTGGACAATTAAATCTTGGACTTTAAAATTTATCTGAGAAAAAGATCAGGTAAAAATTCAAATTTGAAAGTTTGATTTTTTGTCCAAAGGAAATTCTTTAATTATCATGAATTAAATTGCCTGAACGTGTTTTTCAGGGTCGCTTTGTTTATTTGAAAATGTGCAGTGTTTATTTATTTCGGAGATATTACAAGAATTTTATAAAATGTTGTCTTGGAAATTTTCTCAAAGGAGTTTTTCCTCTAAGAATCATAAAACAAGAATGTAATACTTAATTCTTTGTAATTGTTAAAAATAAAGAAATCGGTATGAAATATGCAGAAACAGTTTTAAAGAGCTTCATATATCCAAGGTTATAATGCAAGGAAAGTTATTTCAGAGGTGTACGCACTACGCATCTTTTGTACTACAGTGTACTGTCTCTGGGTGGTAATGTAAACACAAGACGGATGTCGAAGCCTGATTTGGAATCCATCTTTCACATAAACAATCAATGAAATATTCTGGCCCTAGTGAACTATTATGTGAATTATCAAAATGATCAAAATTTAATGCGTTTAACCTCCTCGGATACTAAACGAACACTTATGCATCTATTCTTGTTTAAATATTCCGCCCACAGAGAACTGGTTTCAATATGTACGCAGAGTATACGCAACTGCAATTAACTTTCCTTGAATTATAACCTTGCATACATCTAACTATTTAACTAAAAAAATAAATATCTGCGTCATTAGAAAACAACATATCAAAAATTTGCTTGATTTTTCCGAAGTTCATAGATAAAATCTTTCTCCTTCACTCGATAGTATTTCTTGCGTTAAGTTTGTTGATTCTATTGGTAAAATGAAATATTCTCTACCTGTAGATTTGAACTAAGTTGATTGAAACTACGCGCCTCAGTTAGCGCTTGAATCAGCTGAACAGCAATGTAAGACGACTTTTCAGCATCGTCTACATCCAGCTGGGATATTTGTTCCGCTAAAACAAGGAAACAATGGTTTTCACTCTTGCCTTTAGTGCTAATGTCATTTTTCATGGCATCATTTTCTCGAAAACTTTTGCGATGAAATGCGAAAATGTTCGTTCATATTTCGCAAACTGTTAGTGAATTTAACTAAAAAATGCAAAGACAATGTTAAATTTCGCGTAAAAACATTTGAGAAAAAAGTGTTGTAGCTGCAACAACTAATTGCGCAAAAACTTTGCAATAATTCAGCACTTTTAAAGAAATTTTCTATTTTTTTTCGCGAAATTTTGGCATTTCTTATTTCGCGAAAACTAAACATTTTTTTGCAGAACAGATTAAAGCGAAATATCAATAAAAAAGTTGAAAATTTTCGCATTTTGGCAAGCAAACGAATTGCGAAAAATGCAAAATTTTCGGCGAAAATTTTTTTCTTACGCTGATGTAATTCCCCTTTTTTTGGAAAGCCTAGGCATGATATTTGAATTGTGTAAAAGAAAAAACCTCCCCCTTACATTATTTAGGGATGGGTATCAGGCCCTGCAGGCTTTAATCTAGGGGACAAGTGCTGAAAAATCGAAAAGTTTGAGGGCCTCTAGCACTGCAGCTAGCACACGCTAGGGATATTTGTAACATACAGAAAAATCCTGTAGCAAAAAGGATTACAACTTCCAAATTTCAAACCTTACATTAAGTAAAAGTGGCACAGAAATAAATTACACTAGCTAAAACGTGTTTGAGCAAGAAGGCATATATTTAAATTTAAGGTTTTTGTTGTGTGGAAAATCTAAACACAGTTAACCTCTTTGTTGAAGCCAGCTCTGTAGTTTCTTGTTTGGTTGGATCCGGCTCAATTTCTGTTCTCCTCCGAACACATCAGCAAGTTCTTTAAGTCTATAAAATTAGTTCATAATTTGGTCATAGTTTGCCTGTTTTTTAATGCGTTAGATCATTTTTTATTAATGATCTTTGCTCTTTCATGAAAATGATACCAATGTACAATCCATGGTTCATTGCAGCTTTGGTTAAAAGAGAATATTCAAAGTAGAAAGCCAAGTTTTGTACAAAATAAAGTATTAGAAAGTCACTTTATCGACATTGTTTTGGCTCACCCTGTTACAAATATTATTGCTTGTACCCTGCTAAGCTTGATCGAGGTCAGATTTAAAGAATTTGAGCCACGTCTCAAGCATGCTGGTTTTAATAGAGCGCCGGCTTGAATCTCGAAACATTTAATACAATTTTAAGTAAAACCAACATTTGAGCCGCGGCTCAAATTTGGCCTCTGGAAATCTTCATTCCCCCCCCCCTCACCTCTCATATAAATAAAACTTGATTTACTCCCAAATTCCTTTCACCCCATTTTCTCCCTAATATCTCATTCCACAATTACCTTCTCTAAACTGACCTCACTTTACCTAATACACACAGGTCTATACCGCTTTAGTAATCGTAAATTGGTCGTACAGTTCAACCTAGGACCGCAAAGGTTGGCCCAGCTCGGATATTCAAATGTACCTCGATTATGCGTGAATAGCCATGGTCCACGCCCCCACCTTTTTTCCCACACTTACCACCTCACCCTTCCTCAACCATCTTTGTCCTCTTGCTTTCCTACCCAATGTAACTGTTAATACATTAACTATTCACCTATTGCTAGAATCCTCTTTCAGTTTATTCCACATGTCTGCTCTGTGCTGAAGAATTTTCTGAAACATTTCTCTGATCAGCTGTTCAAGGCGAGAGCTGAGTACAAGAAGAGAAAACAGATCTTTAGATCCAATCTTCAGTTCCTTCAGGCATAGCTCATACAACTGCCTTGACATAAAATTGAGCTTTATGCCTAATCGAATTTAATTTTGTTCTATTTTTCAAATCGGAAAAGGTCCTGGAAACCCCAGATTTCTAGATCTTTCTGGAGTGGATTTTTTTTTATTAGCTAGAATTTTTATTTTCTTTGCTTTCTATATTTGTTTTTTGTTTTCACAGGAATTAATAAAAAGGAACCTGGTTCTTTTATGTCCTGCTGCGAAGTTAGTCAAAGCAGTTGAGTGAAGAAAAATCCATCGCAGTGTGACATTACTTTCTCGTACAACATTTATCAACTAAATAGTAAAATATTTTTAAAAGCAAAAACAATTTTTTTACAGAATGATGATTATCAGTTTACTTTGGCAAATGTACTCCATATTTTCTCTTCTTTTATCATTTTAGTTGTCATTACAATAAAATTCACCTTCAGAGAATTTTCTAGAATTATTTTCTTTGTTACTGCGCCTTCCAGTAGCAGCTCTTCCAATCTTTCAAATATAAAATTCAAATTCAAAACTTTTTAATGTACGGAACTTATGGTCCATAAAAGAGTCTGTTTTTTCTTCATGAAACATGATAAATTATCAAAATTTCGACGACAGTTTCTCCAGCAGAAATATGCAATTCACTTTTATAGAGAATTAACAATTAAAATAACCAAGTTTTAAAAAATTTCACTGATATTTCTTTCGTACTTTAGTAATCAGAAAAGTTTTAAAGGGTTCCAACATTAAAAATCCTTACACGAAATTGTTTACATAATATTCCATAAAATTTTGGATTTGTAAGCATTATTTATGAAAAAATAAGAGATGATGTACAACATGTCTCTGAAAAATAAGAGATGATGTACAGCAGGTCTCTGAAAAATAAGAGAGGATGTACAGCATGTCTCTGAAAAATGTGTGTTAAACTTTATTGCCTACTAAACATAATTTTACTTTTATTGTACTGAACAATGTGATTATGTGCTTGTCATCGACAAAACTTTTTGCTCTAAAATACTTTTTTCACCATACAATAAAACAGCATTAGTGGGACGAAAAAAGCTGTTGAAATCTTTGGAAAAGGGACTGTATACTTTTCAAATAGTAGGCTTACTTGTATAGATTTAAACCGCAGTTTAGAACAAAATGTTTCATCTTTGACAAGCATTTGTACTTGTAGTTATACCTGCTGTAGTGTAAACACATTATTTTCAGGGACAGTATGTATATATTTCCCTTTCAAAATTAAAGTTTAGTTCAAGCAGTTAGTACTAATGGAGTTAGATGACCGTAATAGGCAAGCATTTTAAAAACAATTTTGGAAATACTAGTTTAAAAGGCAGATTCAATTTTCAGACTGATTTAGAATGGAATCTAGGATCATGCACTTATTTACCCAGATCAAGTCCAGATCAAAATTGAATCAGGTTTTCAGACTCACAGGCGTCATAGCATGGTAATGACAATGGGTTTTATATAAGCATAATTTTTTAAATATTTTGAACACTGCAAGGCAAACATTGAATCTTTCGTTTCGTTGTTTGGGATGGCAGTTTTACCTCGGTATTAAATTTAATAGCTTCTCTCCATGCCTGGAAGCCAGAATTTTAACATCTGAGTTGGTGGTTGTATTATTGATAGCTTGCTTCCCAGCCTTAGTGATTAAATAAAACTTTTTTCCCTTTATTTTGTTTAAAATTGCATATACAATATTTTTAAAATAAATCTTCGTAAAATGTAACTATTTTTTAATAATCCCATTTTCTAATCCATTATTTAATTAAGTCACAACATATATCTATAATAAGATAATGATAAAAACATAATATGTATAGGTTATTATACAAATATCATAAGGAACAAAATAAGAAATGTTTTTTAATATCATTAAAAAATACAGAAATTTGGAAATTTGAAAAAAAAAATATTCAAAGGTTACCTTATAGTTTTCCCATGCCTCTGGTAGCCAGAAAGTCATACCTTAGCAAAATATTAACTGTAGTCAAAAAATAATGAAAAAAAAATCCAGATTTTGTTAAAAACTCTTTTGGTTTTAACTTTTTTTCATTCAACAACTGGAATCTTAAATTTTTAAATGGTCTTTTTTCCTTCAACTGCTGGTTTAACTCTTTTTACAAAACTTTTATCTTTTAACCGCTAGGTTCCATATTTTTCATAAACTTTTCAACAGCTGGTTTCACTTTTTTCATAAAAATGTCTTTGTATTTGTATTTCAGCTGTTTGGTTCCACGTTTTCAAAACCTTTGCTTGGTTTAAACTTTTTTCCACTGAAATCACACATTTTTTATATAAAATGTTAATTTTCAAACTGGGACACTGGTCATATAGTGAAAACAACAAGACATGAGACAGGAGAACACTCTATCCTGTTTTCACCTTCTTAAATTTTTTTACCCAACATCAAAAAGTCCTATCTCGGAAATGTCTAACTATATGAGCATCAATTCACAAAATATAATATTTTTTTGAAATACTTATATCTGTGCTTTTATGGTATTTTATTTTTCAAGTATTTCGAAAAAACTATTATGTTTTTGAATTGGTGCTCATATAGCTAGATTTGTACATGATAAACCTGTGAAATGGTATTAAATTTGTTTATCTTTATCTAAGCTGCAATAGTTATGCACAAGTTTAGGAATTTGGGACATTTAAAAAAACAAAAATGAGAAGTCTTAATCTAAATTAAAGTAGAATTTTTAATACAAATTGTTTATTCATCATCAACAAATTTTTTATAATGTTGAGATTTTTCCAAAAAAAAGGTTTTTGGTCGTAGTGGGGAGCTGATTTAAATACATAAAAACGCGCAGGGAGTTAAAACTACTCAAAATTGTCCAAAGAACTACCTGTTGATACCATTTTATGTAGGCTTGATTGTTTCTAATCTATTTGAAGGTACATCGTTAACAATTGTTAACAAACGTATGTCATAAACAGTCATTAACCCTATCTCTGCTGGGGTACTTGAAAACCAGGATATGCTTGGGGGGTCAATTTGCCCCCCCCCCTCTAAATCCCATGTTTGATGTCCAAATATGACAAATGATACATCATTTGAAAGCTCTTGTGCTCTACTTTTAGAATCTGCAAAAATATTTGCAAATTTGCAAAAATTGATTTTTTTTCGCAAAATCCAGTTATATGGTAAAAATGTTTGCAAAAAAAAATTTGTCCAAAAAATGAAATATTATACATTTTTGAAAAGCCCTTGATCATGCCATTTAAAATATACAAAAATTTTTGCAAAATTTTAAATAACCTGATTTTTAATCAAGAAAAACTAAAAATGTGCAAATTTCCTTTGACAGGTTGTTTTGAAAAAATTTGCAATTTGTTTCGCAAAATTTGTGCAATTCGATTCCTTATGTCAAAGGCGTTCCAAAAAGCTTAATTTTATCAAAACCTGAAAAGTGGAAGAGGGGCAAAACAAAGATTTAGTTTGTTACAGGAAAAAAACAGTCATTCAGGCAGTGTGCCTGAGGACTCAGGCAGTTAGTATTAAAGCCCGGTTTTAGGCCTAAAGGGAGGGCTGTGGGTATGTAAGAAAAGTCAGAAAATTTCAACAGCCTCAGACCAATACTTATTGAGTTATGTAAAAAAAACTACAGTGGGGGTCAAATTGCCCCCCCCCCCCCAGCAGGAATAGGGTTAACACAGGTACAACGTTAACAATCACTAAGGAAGGTACAGTTGTACATTAAAGATTGTTAACTATCCCCAAAAATTAAAAACAACTTACCTTATTTAGTCAAACGATAAATCAAAAAATCAAAACTACTACTTTTTTAAAAATTTAAATCATGAATCCTTTTTAAAATGATTGTTTAGTTTTTTTCATTTATTCTACGCTGTTAAAAAAAAACTATCATTTCGTTTTTGAGAGAGAGAAAATGTTCCATCCCAATTTTCAAAAGTTTCCAAGTATTTATTGATAAAAATAATATAAAAAAATGATAAAAATTCCCAAAAAAAGCAAAATTTACAAAAAGGTTTATTTTTTTGTTCTAGAATATTTGGCGGTTTCAATATTGATATTATTTATTTTTAAAATCATTAAAAGTCATTAAGAAAGGAAAAATCTGACAAAATTGTTAATTGCTATTGATCAACAATGCAAAAATGACAGAGAAAATAAAAACAAAGAGTTCTTATCGAAATACAAGAAGGTTCATGTTTTAATATTTTATTCAATATTCTTGTTATCTTGCATACAAGGGGAAATTAGCCATTAACTCTGAGAATGTATTTAAAATACAGATTTTCTATATGATCAATATCGTTCAAAATATTGTGTAAGAACTGAGACCATAGATTAGTTATAGCATACCTAGGTAGAGTGAGATGACCCAGTTATCAGAAAAGTATTTGTCAACAATTTCCCTCATCATTGCAGTTTCCAGCCTGAGAATTGAAATTAATTAAAAATATACCCCCAAGCTATGGGTCCAATAAAATGTCAAAAAGGAATTGAGTCTTTGCCACAAATTCTGCTTTTCTAAACCCTATATCTTTGGATCCTTAGATATTTCAAACTATGAATTCTGTTAGATCAGATAATATAAGTTTGAAATATCAAAGATTTACGACATTGGGTTCCAAAGATATAGGAATTATAAATTCAGAGTTTGTGACAAAGACTCAATTACTTTGTAATTTCTGATATAATTAGAGCTTTAACAAGCAAATTTTCTTTAGTGCAATTAGCATACCAACCATTCTGTGTAATTAGCACATTTAGGTGGAATGTTGTGTACTTGGTAAGCATAAAATTGTAATTTGCTGCAGCCTAAGGGAAAAATTGCATTCATAATGATTCCACTCTACTGCACTGTACTGTATGGAACCCCTGGGCACAATGTTAACAAGGGTCATTTTGGAAAATTATATTAGTTCTCAAATTAATCATAAACAAAATAAAAGGTTCATGAAAAGCAATGAATGAAAAATTAGATATATTTTTATAATTATTAACAAACTATTTTTTGTTTCATATTGTTAATCTTGAACCGTTTTAGCATCTAAGTATGTGGCATACAGGCTTATTGTAAAAATTATTGTTGTGTTATTTCTCAATCAACTATAGGGTGTCTCAAGAAACATGACAGTTGGTTAAAAGTTCTAAATGTCTCCTTACATAATTTGTTAAGTTGCTTGATACCAAAGAGAATAATAAAAAATATTATATGGCAGTCATTATAGTTAAATTGATTTAAAGGGAGTGACCGGCAATGTAAGGTAGTTGAACTGAATATGCAGTGTTGTGGAAAACTTCTTTCGGATTCATTTGAGACATATTAAACTTTTTAAAGGTCTGTAAATCCTGAGTTTGAGCGCAAATTCGACGTTCAAAACTCCTACTTTGGGGGTGGATACTTTTTCAGAATTATTTTTTTAATGTCATGTTTCGTGAGACACCCTGTATAAAATGATGTGTTTTTCAAATTAAGTTTAATGTTTTTCTAAAAGTTGTTTTTTTATCAATTAACTATAATGATGTGCTCTTCAAAAAGATGTTTTTACAAATACATCAAAGTTCAAAAGAAAAATTTGATGAATTGCTTTTAGTTGTTTTTAATCAATTAAACATAATGATTTGCTTTCAAAATATGGTTTTTGATTTTCACAAAAAAAAATTATTTTTTAATAAAACATTGAACATTGCGCATTGAGATGGTTAATTACATTACATTTTGTTATTCTTTTTGGCTCCGCATTTCAAATATTAAGATGTGAAAAATCATTTTTTCTTTAACACATTTTAAATAACAGAATGATATATCCAACTCTAGATCTACATACATACCTAAGAATCTGCGGATCAAAATACAAGATAATGAATAGCATGCCTGCCTGTACACTCAATGCAGTACTCCTATCCTAAATCATACAAAATAAAGCTAAGGTCTAACTTGGGGGCGGTAGATTCCATCCACCCCCCCCCCCCTCTCTATGATTTTGCCCTTACAGTTGAGGTTAGGCAGGATGATACATTTCAAACATTTTTAGACCTCTAACTTTAATAGTTGGAGACTATTGGGAGGCTTGAAGATAAATACTTTTTACTTTTTTAATGGCTTTTAAACATTTAAATATTAGTTCTGTAGCTTTTTTGTTCTAAGTTATGAAGTTGGAATAGTAAAGAAGTAGCGTTCTATAGTGATTAGTTACAGGGATTTATTGCGCTTCAAAATGTTGAGGATTTTTTAGCAATCCATGATATGTGTCAAGGACCACCAAAATATTATTTCTGAAAAATCAAGAAGCTTCAATGCAATCTGAAGATTGTAATTTAAAAAGGCAAATTTAACCCCCAGCCTGTAAATATTAAGGAAAGCCTACTACCTCAGGCTGTGGATAGTATGGAAGCATGTTGTATAAATCTTCAGATCTCAAAACTCCGACCAACTAAAATAAATTGAATGAGTGGGGGAAGACAAGAAGCCATGTTTCACAGTTTTTATCTTTCATGTCATTTTTAGCTTTTTTATCTTCCAGCAGCAATGATCAACAACTACACAGCCTTCTATGCTTCAACAATTTAGTCTTTTAGCAATAATTGCTTTTTGAAATGTCAAATTTAGTGCTTTAAAAAACCTATCCATATTATGCAAAAAAAAATGTTTAAATTTAATAAATTTAATTGAGTTCTTAAACTGCTTGAAAGTTTGTACCAGGTAAAAATTTCACGCATAGTAATCACAGAGGGATGATTTTGAAAATCGGTTTTTAAAAATTATTAAATAACAACGACGAAAAATGTATTTCACAGTAAACTAATTAGTTGTTTAGGAACAGGTTAAGAAAATGAACATTAACTTGTATCATCGAAAGTAAGTAATCGTATTCAGTTATTGGGTTCTGTAATGTCTCATTGTTCACAAACATTTTCTGTAGATTTCCTGGAATTTTATTGAAATGGCTACATTTGAAGAATTTGAAGAAACTTGTGAGTAAATTCATAAAGAACAAGAAATGTAATATAAGTATGAAAATGACATTAGTTTTGTAAAAATCGATTCTCATACCGTAACCACTCAGATGAATGATTTTGAACGTGGACTTTGTGCTCAAACTCAGTTATTATACATCATTAAAACGTTTTATATATGAATCCTAAAAACTTCTCCACAATACCACTTTCTGTGTTCAACTACCATACATTGCCGGTCACTCCCTTTAAACACTTGTTTAATAACTGTTTTAAATACCTGTTTTATAACTGGTTTAAATACCTGTTTTATAACTGGTTTAAATACCTTTTTTATAACTGGTTTAAATACTTTTTTTATAACTGGTTTAAACACTTGTTTTATAACTGGTTTAAACACCTGTTTTATAGCTGATTTAAATACCTGTTTTATAACTGGTTTTTGTATGCTTACTCTTGAGAACAAGTTTTCAGGATAATTTACTGGCCTTTTCCCACCAGACAGTAGTCCTGCAGATCTAAGGGAAATATTTCATTTAATTTTAACTTTACAAACTAATTTTTAATATTTAAAAATGTTACACAACTTACAAATTATGAATGAAACAGAACTTGAAAAGTTACGATCAAAACTATGCTCTAGGGAACGGACATATGCACAAATTGAGAACAAATTTGCGAGACCATTACTCCGCTTACAAAAACATCCTTGATATGAGACTTTAACTAGCTGGTCAAATATATTCAAAATTACAAATGTATATTGCAGAGATTTGCACTTTCTAGTCAAGAGATATTAATTTTGTAAAAAAAGTAAACTTCATGCTCCCCTTTTTTCATGGAATTGCCTTTCATTTGCCAGTGTTCCGCCAAATTCATTTTCGCGCAAAACTGCGAAAGTCCAACCAAAAGTTTACAAAATTAGCAAGCAAGCTCAGGACTGTGTGCAATGTTCTGGTGGAAACCCTGGGTTATGATTACCTAAGAAGTTGGCAGACAGTATCAATGTTTGAATTGTTAGTTGACTGCCCACAATACCTGTAGTTTAGAGATGGGCAACATTTTGTGAACGAGATAATGTTTTCAGACCAAACGAAACTTTTAATGAACGATTGATGAAGTTGAACGACCTGGATCGTTCAGAGAAATGAAAAAACGATATATATTTTCTAATTAAACGAAAACAACATTTGAACAAACTAGAAAAAATTATCAGCTTTTACTTAACAAACCTTTTAAAAACCCATTAATTTTGTACAAAACGAATATTTTGAAGAAAAACTTTTATAACAAACATTAATATAAAACATACAATTTTCACGGTACAAATACAGAATATATAAGGAAAAACGGGACTGTACGCCAATGAATAATCCCCTTCTTGTGAAATTTATGTGTTTTACTTTACGATCATTCAGTGAGAAAAAAAAAACGAAATAGATGAAAAATGAATGGTAATTTTGAAAATAAACGAAATCCATTATTTTTGAATGATTAAAAAAGAAAATAAATGGGTGTTTCACAGACGATCAACAAACGAAATGAAAAATAGCCGTACACGCCCATCTCTACCTGTAGTAGGATACAAGCAACCTCTCCCTTGTAAAAGAATAATCAATTCTTTATTATAAGGCTCTTCACTAATATATATATATATATATATATATATATATGTATAAATGGCTAGCACGAATTGGCTAAAATGTTTTGAGGAAACCTGGAAGTAACTTACATAGGCTAAACAAATTCATAGATTATTTTTTCATCATGTACATAATAAAGCTCTTTGCTGGACTGAAGTTTGTTGAGGGTACCCATGGGCCATGGCGAGTACCCTGGTTGTAGCATAGACTTAAAAAAATAATTTTTCAAAGATCGACTTTTTTTGATGAAATTTTTTTAATGCAATTTATTTATTGCACGGGCAACGCTAGTAGTTTATGAAATTCAATGATATCTTTGCTACATAGTACATAAAATTCAATGTTTATCTTTTCTACATAGTACATAAAATTCAATGTTTATCTTTGCTACATCGTACATAAAATTCATAGATCATCATAGTACACAGAATTCAAAGTTAGTGTGAGAGGTGATATGGTATTGACACTGGTTTACGAATACCTGATATCCCCTGCTATTTGCTGATCTATGTAGAGTAGAATTACCCCCTGCAAGTAAACTGCTTCTGGTCTATGAATACCTGATATCCCCTGGTATTTGCTGATCTTTGTAGAGTAGAATTACCCCCTGCAGATAAACTACTACTGGTCTATGAATACCTGATATCCCCTGGTATTTGCTGATCTATGTAGAGTAGAATTACCCCCTGCAGATAAACTGCTTCTGGTCTATGAATACCTGATATCCCCTGGTATTTGCTGATCTATGTAGAGTAGAATTACCCCCTGCAGATAAACTGCTTCTGCTAGAAGTTGTTTACCCTCCTCCCTTTGGAGTATATTCTCTGTAAAATTAAAATAAATATTATTTATAACTACTGTACAGGAAAGTTCCCAAGACCAATTTGCCTACAAAACATCCAGAGCGTGGGAAGGGCTGCTTGTAAGGCAAAATTGGTCAAGGGACCTCATGGTTAAGTAAAAAATTTAACTTCCCGAAAAAGTAGAATTGTACATAATTTTATCGCCTTTTAAGATGAAAATGCGCGTGTGGATTTTTACAGAGAAACCGGGGGGGAGGGGGGAAATTTTAGGTCGGTAATGTTGGCCAAAAAGGTGGTAAAATACGTAAAGGGGTGACAAGATGGTTCGTTTTTTAACTTTAAGGTTTTTGGACTTATGAGTGGTTCCACACAAATCTGAGAAGATGTAAAAATATCAATTTTATTTATTAACACTTGCTTTTCTTACCCTGATAGAAAAATCATTAAAAAAAACTAATGACTAACCAAAACGATCCTTTGATTTTTTTTTATATTTTTCAATTTAGGATAAAATTTTGCCTAGTTTAATGAAAGCAATCTTTTACAGTTTTGAAGTGTTGGAAACTTATTTTTGTGGAACAGTATTTTGTGAAACAGTATTTTGTGGAACAGTATTTTGTGGAACAGTATTTTGTGGAACAGTATTTTGTGGAACAGTATTTTGTGGAACAGTATTTTGTGGAACAGTATTTAGAAGTTCAAATTTGCCATCTACTGTTCTCAGTAGCCTCAATTCAAACTTAAACTCATTTAAAGCAAATGTTCTAGGTTATTCTTCGAATAAAAATTCCATTATTTGTGCTGATAATCTGTTTCTTGATGTTTTTTTTTACTAGGTAGTTCCATAAAATAACTTCTTTTCACTATAGCACAACCAGCAATGTGGACTCCTTTTCGGTTCAAAATATAAACAAAATAAGCTAAGCTTGTGTTTGGTTTGGCAATCAACAAAATCTTCCGTTTTTAAGTTTTAATGATAAACTATAACGATTTTTTCTCTTCTTTTAATTGTGTTCTGAATCTATTCGTAACAGATATTTGTCAGTCCTTCTGTTATGTAATCAAGCGTTTTGGTCTAAATTTAATTAAATCAAATTTTAGTTAGGCACCAGTTAATTTTAAATTAACTTTTCCAACCCATTTCTAAAAAAAGTATCTGATTACTAATTACCAAGATTTTGTTGAATAAATCTTCCTTCCTCCAGATCATCAATAAACTGTATTAAATCTGTCCCGTAGCGTTCAATGCTTTCAAAGCAGTCATAAAATCTTAAATATAAAACAGATCAGAGCTGAAAACTTTTGAATGGGATATCCTTAATCCTGAGATGGGAACTTTTGAATGGGATATCTTTAATCCTGATCGGATAATTAATCTGGAGATTAAAAATGAGTGGAGAACAAGCAATATTTAATCTGCAGATTAAGAAAAAGAGTGGATTAAGCCTTAATCCCGATATCCACCATTCAAAAGTTCCCAGCTCTGATCGTATAATTAATCTGGAGATTAAAAATGAGAGGAGAACAAGCAATATTTAATCTCGAGATTAAGAAAAAGAGTGGATTAAGCATTAATCCCGATATCCACCATTCTAAAGTTTTCAGATCAGATGAGAAGGTTCGGAGATAATGTGCGAAATTAAATTACGAATATCTGCAATTTTATTTATTTAATTTCGCACATTTTCTCCGAAACTACTCATCTGATCTGTGTAAGATTTTAAGGTGTGATAGAAATAATATATTCCCGCACTTTTGTCCTTTCTACTCATCTAACTAAGAGTAAAAAATGATTTCTCAGGTTGTTTAAAGGGTTTATTAGATTACCCATACAAAAAAAAATTCAAAAATAACACACTTATTTGTGAAAAATGAGATTGCCAAAAAAAATGCTGTGGACGTACTTTTAGGGTGAACGTATAAAATGCTTTTTTTACTTTAAATGTGCACCCTTCAGAAGTTGGGTTGTGAGGATAGGAAAGGTCGGAGAGCTTGAAACTAAATCTGAATGGCAACTACCCTTACTTCCCCAACTACGTCTGTTTTTAGAGAGACCCCGCCCCCACCCTTGAATCTGAATCTGTATAGGAATTACTCTCACTACCCCAACTACCGTCAGTTTTTTTAAAAGAGACCTCATCCCCACTCTTTGATTATTCTTTGCGCATGGTATACAATATGGGTATCGATTCAACATTAAATCAATTGTTTTAAGCTTGTTTCTGGCAATGCGTAACACTCTCCTACCTTTACTAACCTCACCACCCACCTTGTGAAGGGTGCACATTTCATAGTCGAAAAAAAGGCATTTTATACATACAGACTTTTAGGTGCCCCTCCATTTCAACTTTAGTCTTTCGAAAATTCTAGAACATTTTCTAGTTTTTTTAGTAAAACTGGATAATTTTTAATTGTTAAAGTGTCTTTCCGCCATGCGGTTTATTGCAGCAGCGAAAATGAAGGAAATGAATTTACATATTCGTAAGATAGAAAAAATGACGATGGCTTCCGCAACCCCAATCGTTGATCAGATAAAGATTGAAATTGTGCTGTTTTGAGTTAGACATGAAATTATATTAATTAAAGTTTGCTTGAAGTTACGTATACAGTCCCTTTGATTTATGTATACATATATCAAATCAAATCAAATCAAATATTTATTGCACGAAGATTAGAATTTATACAATACATGTATATATAACTTCTATAAAATAAGTTCATAACATTTTCTATTGTTTATTTAATATAGTTTATTGCTGGACACTGTGTTTCATGTTGGACATCCTTCAGCAGCATATATAATATATATATAATGATATATTGAGACTCAATTTTTACCTTTTCAAAAGATCCAGGTGTTCTTCTTTAATCTTAAGATCAAGATCATTCAGTCTCTCATTCCTATACTTTTTCCCTTTTTTATGGTTAACTAGTAAAATGTTGGGTTTGGGAGATGTTGTCACGAAGGCTCATTTCCGAAATGAAGGTTTTTTATGTTTGATTTATTTTCATGTGTTTTTCGCTGATTACAAAGCGTTACTAACTTGAAATTTGCATTTTATTTTAACCTATCCTGGCTTTGTCCAATGTTTGTCTTTTTCTACGTTTGTCTGGCCCACTTTTTGTCCTACATTACATTTAGAAATTAACCAAAACAACCCTTGCAAATTTCTCTTTAAAAATATACATTAATAAAAAATTGTGAAAAGTTCCTAGCGATTTGTGACTCGAGGATATCTGGAGATTTCAGATAAGAGAAATCCGCAATAATACTCGACACTTCACCCCGTGGATCCCTAAATGGATATTGAAAAAAAATATTATGTACGATTCTGAAGAACTGGTCTTTCTCCTTGTGCACTTCTCTATATCTTAATAACGTGATTGATGTGAGGTGAGAGTCTATTACCATGGAAAATATTTAAAATTACATTAATGCTTTTAGATCAAATTGTCAAAACTAAAAATATCAAATGGATTACATTATCTTGTGGAAAGGGTTTATAATTCCTTTATACGGAATTTAAGCAGTTTAATATTGATCATCAGGATTCATTTCCGTAAAGTCCTTTATACGGAATTGAAGCAGTTTAAGATTGCTAAACCAGGATTCAGTTCCGTAACGTCCTTTATACGGAATTGAAGCAGTTTAAGATTGCTAAACCAGGATTCAGTCCTTTATACGGAATTGAAGCAGTTTAAGATTGCTAAACCAGGATTCAGTTCCGTAAAGTCTTTTATACGGAATTAAAGTAGTTTAAGATTGATGAACCAGGATTCAGTTCCGTAAAGTCCTTTATACGGAATTGAAGCAGTTTAAGATAGATAAACTAGGATTCAGTTCCGTAAAGTTCTCTGTACGGAATTGAAGCAGTTTAAGATTGATAAACCAGGATTCAGTTCCGTAAAGCCCTTTTAACCCCCCCCCCTCATACATATTGAATTGATCTGAAATAATTGTCCCGTTGCTCTGTGTTATAGCATTTAGGACTGCGAGGTAGAACCTAACAATTTCAGATTTATTCTTGATTCAGTTAAGGAAGGTCCCGCCCTTATTTTCCACAAGTTTTTAATTGTTTGTCATTTCTAACATTTTAATGGTCTTTACTAAACAAAACTGATTGTGAAGAAATTAGAAACCCTTATATAGGGATCAACAGAGTTTCATTTCAATCTGATCAATCTTAAAGGGCCGGAAAACCAATTTCCACTTTTACTTTTGTAACACTCTGAAATTTACCTGAACACTGAGGGTATCTCCTGACTGAACAGAAAATTTAAGAATTTTCTTTTTTTAGAAATATACTTAGGAACCTGAAAATTGTTCTTACTTTTACTTAAAAATGTCGCAAATAATTGTGTAACATGTTGCAATGCACCTTATAGTTCGAAAATATCTAATGCACAGTTTTACAAATGATTCAGTTGCAAGTTACACATTTCTAACAACATTTTATCATCATAAAACATAGAAAAAGACAAGAATATTCCACTGTTTTTTTAGGATTTCTGCCAAAAAAAAAATTTCATTTTTTTCTGTTTCCTTCTTCTTGATATATCTGCTAGTAAAGTATTTGCCCGTGCTACTAGGGTTAACATGGCTTCTTCTGCACCACCCTTCATTTTTCTGTAAAATGTGATTTTATTGAACATTAAAAGGTCGGCCTAAGGAGGGGTGGTTTGGGAAGTGTAGATTTTAAATCCCCAACCGGGCATTCAACAGTCAAGAATTTTTTCCAAAGTATTGCTCGTAAAAAAATGTATTGTCTCCAAAATACAGCAGTTTTAGTGAGGCTATAGTAGAGCGCCTCAACGCCTTGTAGAATAATGTAGGAATAGTCTAGGGGGGCTTTACAGATCTTCTATTCAAGGAGGAGAGGTAGCATCTGATTGTTGATGCCTAAAACCCTCCTGGATACCATAGAATTCACTGAGAAGCCCCAAAAGCCCCCTCCTGTATACGCCAGTGGAGCCAGAGAAATGTGTTCAAATGTAAGTTAGTAAAATTACTCCCTTTTCGTTATCTTATCTGTAAAGACGACTATTCAATTAGTTTTTAACTTTCTTCGTATTCGGCAGGGAGTATACGGCAGGGAGTATACGGCAGGGAGTATACGGCAGGGATTATACGGTAGGAAGTATACGGCCAAAACGACCTCAAACACGACAGTATAGTTCTAGTTACAGGGACTGTAGGCGTAATTTCAAAAGACCCTGTATTTGTAGAATGGCATGTCCGATTCATAACAGTACCTTTTAAATCTTTGATGTTAACTGAAAACTTTAGAATGGTGTTTATCAAGATTAGTGCTTAAACTCCTGGTTTTACTAAACCCAAGATTATTTTAAATCGCATTCGATATCCAAGAACTAGTTAAAAATTTAACCAATCAGCGTGTCATGTTAAGATGTACTCTTTAACTTTTGAAAAACCGGGTTTGATTTCTGGTGTTGATGGTGTGACACCAAATATTGGTGTCATATCAACTGAACTAAACAACTATTGAACGAACGTAAGTTTTGGATAAATGTTTATTCAGACTAACGTTCAAAATGACAACATCCATACAGAGGATTAAAATCAAAAGTGTGTACAATGGATTAAGGGATCATGATTAAGGATATCTCATTCTAAAGTTTTCAGCTCTGGGTTGTCAGACTTATCCTCATAAATCTCTTGGCCTTTTATCATAGATATTTAAACCCTTCTTGTAAATATCACATGTAAAATATATGAGATATCCCGGGAAAAACTTCATGCTTCATTTTTGATAGAGTTGCAAAATCACAACACTTGGTGTCTCTGCTCATCTTTTAAGAACTAAAAGTTTATTGTAGAAAAATGAAATATTTTAACTGACATACATTTTTCAGATTAAAACAAGCATGAGCAGAGTATAGAAAAGTTTCACATTGAAATTTTTATTGTATTTCTCAACAACATCTTTTTCGAATATCGACCGTTTAGATATAATAGGAAGGGACATTCATGCAATTTTGAACACGTTAACATAGTTGAACATTATTTAAACTTGAAATATCGCTTTGTGAATAATAATAATATTTTAAAGTTTAAATGTTCAAGATGTTTAATGTAAAAGATAAAAACTAAAATGTTTAGTTTGTAAACATTTTGTAATAATTATATACTTATACTCAGTATTTTTTATAATAAATCTATATATCAGAAATCAACTGTATATCACCACTCCACTTCCTAGGTTAAAAAAAATATATATTTTAAGTAGATGGGAGAAAAATAAGTTTCTCATGTAAAATCCCGTGTTCATCTCGTGAAATAAACTCGGTCCTAGACCCCTGATCAAATAGTCGGCATTCACCTGGACAACACGTGAATTATCACGAGATATTCACGGGTCACTCTTGTGAAATATACACCAAATAACCTTGTGTCCTTTTTGGGTTTTTGTTTGTTGGGCCGAAGGCGAAAAATGTTGTTTTCCTGAAAAACTCAAAACAGGTCAAAATTAATGACTTTAAAAGAATAAAAAACTATATTTTTAACTTGTCACATTATATTAGATGGATTGGTTGCCTGTTCTGCATTATGTTTTCTATTCGCATCAAAACAAAAACAAAAAGGTATAAGATATAGAGATTTGAGTTAAACTATGAATAAATGTATTACTGAAAATATTTAAATCACGAATAGCCAATATTTATTTTTAATACAGGAAAATTAAAGGATGTAAATGCTAACGCTGGGCAAGATTCCGATAACGGAACAGAGGTTTTCGAAAATTAACGGAAGTGACCGTTAAAGAATTGCAAAAATCGTAATTTTAAAACGTTAAAGACACGGATTAGCCGTTTTGAAAAAAAAACTAACGGTTAAAAACGAAAACGGCATTGATTATTTATTAAAAACGGTTAATTTCATTAATTTTTCACCTTAAAATGTCCTCTTCTTTTTTCAAAAGCTTAAATCTAAGAATAGAACGATTTCTTAACCATTAACAATTTCTTAACTGTCAATTCGGGGATAACTATTTATTGAACCGTTAACGATATTTTTTACATGTTTTGAAGGATTTTAATGTCGTCTTCTGTTTCCAAAAGCTTAAATTCTAAGATTAGAATGATTTCTTAACCATTAACGATTTCTTAACCTTTAACGAAATTTTTTTTTGACGCTTTGCGCCGTTAACGATTTCATAATACGTGAATATTGTAAAGGACCATTAACAGCTGCGCCATTAACAATTTCTTAACCTGTTAACAATTCTTGCGCTGTTAACATTTTTTGCTAACGATGTTAATAAAATTTTAAACATTAACTAATGGTAAACGGTTAATTCCGTTAATGAACGAACGTGCCGCTCTTGACTTTAAGATAAACGGCTACTTTTTTACAGTTGGAACTAACTGTTAACGGAACGGCTAGAAAAAGATGGAACGTACCCAGTCCTAGACTCCCTAGACTAAATCCCTGTAAAGATTCAAGACAAGCTCAAGCAAGAAAATCTCCAGTTTTCTAAAAACTGATATTCGAGGATGAGTACTAACATGAACAGCTTCTTATAAACCCGGCCAAATTTTATGTTTAATTTCAATTTGTCTAGATAGATTTAATAGATAAATATAATTTCCAAATTATTTATTTCAGAAAGCACAATATTTTCTTTCATTTAAAGAAAAAATAATCCTTTACACATATTATTCTCCTCTTTTTTCCTTCTTTCTTTAATTTTTCGTTTCCATTTCATTTCTTCATTTTTTTCTCCGAAATTAAAAGTTCGCAAAATCTTATTAAATTCTTTTGAATATTGGCATGTTTCTCCCCCCCTAAGGACTGGCTTTTTTTAAAGATCCCGGCCCAATCGAGAGTTAAGGTCTATAAACAACTGTAACCAACATTTTATTAAGTATGATGAGGACAACAATTCCCAATTTTATATAAAATTATATAGAAGAGTTCCTATTAAAGCCCTTGATCCTTTTCAAGTCAATGTCAGGTTTTCAATTTTCGGACATATCCTGAATTTGAATCAGTGTCACGTTTTCGAGACAAACCCCACTTTTCTGTTTTTGAGTATATTCCTCAATTTAGAACAAAACTCACTTGCATAACTTACAAAATAAATCACTGAAAGTAAAAATTACATTACATGCCAGATTCTGGACCGCTTGGGCATTTGTGCACCTGGCAAGACACTAAAATGGTGTCTTGTGTCTAGTTTATGCAATATGCATACTGTACAAGGAAGCAACTGAATAACAGCTTTTGAATTTGTATATAATACCAGTGTATTTGTATTTTGTAAGCATATTATTATTTAAACCATGAAATGTCTCAATGTCACATTTCTGTAAAACAAGCGTATGCTTACACACACATTTTTGATCAAGAAATATAGGTGTCTTAGTGTCTCAATGTATCATTTCTATTATACCAGTGTAAGTCAAAAGATCTTGTTTATTACTTAAGTGGGTAAATGCTTGAAAATTGACATTGATATGAATTCGAGTAACTGTCTTAAAACCAGTATATATGCTACAAAAACTTGACATGAGCTGAAATGAAAGAATTGTTTTAAAATAGAGATTTGTTCGAAAATGAAATCGAGTATCAACAAAAGCTAATTCTCGCACCGTTTTATAAGTTAAAAGTTTACATTTTTGTTTCAATATATAGTTTTAGCCATTTTTTATAAAGTATAGTGTTGTTTTGTATAACTCGGCGCGCTCGTGTTAGAACTGGGCCAAGTGTTAGTTTTGGAACTAAGGATCTCTGTATAGTGTATAATTATCATTATCATTATTATTCTTATTATCGTTATTATCATTAAGAGCAAAATTTTCTTCTGAAAACTTTAAAATGGGATATCCTTAATCTCACTAGGTTGATTAATCTGAGCTGGGAACTTTTGAATGGTGAATATCGGGATTAATGCTTGATCTCATCTTTTTCTTAATCTCCAGATTAAATAATGCTTGTTCTCCTCTTGTTTTTAATCTCCAGATTAATGAACTGATCGGGATTAAGGATATTTCATTCTAAAGTTCCCAGCTCTGGAGATAGATAACAAGAGGAGAACAAGCATTATTTATCTCGTGATGAAGAAAAAAAGTGGTTCAAGCATTAATCCCGATATCCACCATTCAAAAGTTCTCTGCTTTAATTTTATCAAAATTGTTATTTTGTTATTAATACTAGCTGAAAAAAATTTCAAATTTGTTGTTTTTATATGCTACCCCCGGGGTACTCAAGGGTTTCCTCCAAGGAGTATCAAATAGAGGGGAGATTTTACTGACGCGGCCTGCCCTACCATATCTGAATATTTCATATACAAATGGAGTACCCTTCTGCAAAGCATGAATAATCATATGGTTGTTAACCATTAATTATAAGAACTCTGTAAAATGTCGTCTTCAACTCGAATCTCCTGTCGGAGACAGCCAAACCAAATTTCAGCCCGCTAATTCCATTATACTCCAGCTCACGGNTCCACAACAAGGAGAATCTTCACAGCGTTGCCCTCACCCAGTCTCTGGTACAGAATATTATGAAGAGCCTGCCCATGGAAGTGAGACCATCTTTCAACGATCAGTTCTCCAAATTTCGCAAACAGTGTCCGGACAATGTCCGACCTCCGGCCACATTCTTATTCTTAGCCCAGTTTGTGGACGAATTGGAGAAAAATTATCGATCCACTCCTTTTCTCTACGACCTCGACCTCACTCCTTCGAGTGTAGGAATCAACGTAGTTAGGCCAGCAGCAGCCTCCAAGCCTAAACCTCAGCCTCAGGATCCTTCTGACCAACCGCGGAATCATCCTCCGAAGCCCTGCGCACTGTGTTCAGCCATGGGTTTTGAAGACAACCATTTCTCCCTCACCAGACTCTGCGGCGCTGGCAAACTGAGTTCTCCTGAGATCCTCAAATTGATCGCCGACAATCACCTCTGCTTTTCATGTACTCAATCTCATGGGAAGAACTACAAGTGCAAGCCTACCTTCTTCAACGGTACCCTCAAAGCGTGTCCCAAGGGTTGCATGGAGAAAGGAGTCCCTGTACATAGGCGTGCCTGCATGCACAACAACCAGGCCCCCTTCATCTCTGTCTCCAAGGTCAGCACCGACAAGTCTGTCCCTCTGGTGGAGACCATAATCCTGGGCAACACTCCAATAGGGATTCAATATGACACGGGTTGTCAACTCAGCCTCATCTCCAAGTCAGCTCTCTCCACCATCCCTCAGTCAATGTACTCCCTTGGGAGTTCCTCTCAAGTAAAGATAATGACCTACGCTGGCGAAGGCAAAGTTGTTCTCACCACCACAGTTAAACTGAAAATCCAAGGCAGAACTCTGAAGCTGTCCACTATAGAAGAGAACCTAAACAACAGCTTCGCCTTCTCTTTCTCCATCCCAACCAAGTGGAGGGCTCTCACGAGGTCATCAACGTCAAACCATGACGGTCAAGTGTCTATCCTACTAGGGGGGGACAACCTCCTCTCCTTCCCCACCGAAATTGAACGAGATCCCTTGGGTATGGCCCTCTATCGCAGTACCCTCACCAACAACTGCATGGTCTACGGAGCTGTCCCCTCCAAACTCATCACCTGGTCCGAGGCTCCCCTCGCCAACACCGTCAACACCGTGATCATCAACTCGTTGTCTGTCCAAGATGTACAAGATCAACTCCTCCTCCTCACCTCTGCAGAAGATTTTACAACCCCTTCCAACCGAGAACAACTCCTCCAGATCACCAAAGAGAAGAACATCCAGGCCATCATGGACAACACTGTCGTGGACCCCGTCGAGGGGAAGGTCCGGGTTAACTGTCTCTACAAACCGAACCTCCCCAGCCTCGGCGAGAATTATTTTGGTGCAACGAAGAGAATCCATGCTCTACATGTTAGGATTGCTAATAAACCTGAAATTGCAGCTGAAATGGATAAATATATCAATCAACAAATCAACAATGGTAATTACATTGAAATCAACCCTGATGACCACAGAGAACAGTACCAACTCCATTTTGTAGCCTACAACTTCGTTGTGTCTTCCACCAGCTCGTCCACCAAAGTTAGAATGACCACGGACAGCTCTATGCGTACCGAGACCGGCCTCAGCCTCAATGACGTGTCCCAACCTGCCCCTGGAAATGTTCCCAATATGAGAGGAATCTTGTTACGCTCCAGATGTCACCCTCATTTTGCAGTTTATGATATTCAGAAATTCTTCAGATCTGTACTCACTTCTACCAAGGACTCGTTTCTCAGAATTATGTGTGTTCCTTCCGACTTCTTTTCCAGCGCTCCTACCTCTAATCCTACCTGGAGATATTTCCGGGATCAGGCAATCCCTTTCGGCGACAGTGCGTCCGGCGATTATGCAACTTGTGCCAAAGTTGCAACTGTCAAAGACATTCATCACAGATTCCCCACCTCCAGCCTGCCATCCTCCAAGCAATCCTGGAGGACACATACATTGACGACGGAGGGGTGGGCGCCAGCTCTCCAAGTGAGCTCTCTGCCCTGCAGCAAGAAGTAGAGAGAATTCTCAACCGAGGGGGATTCTCTATTAAATCCTGGGAGAAATCCGGCGAGAATGGAACCAGCAAATACCTGGGTATGACGTGGGACAGGCTCAAGGACCTATACAGCTTGAAGTTTCGCCTCAACCTCCATAAGAAGTCCCGCGGAATTCCATCCGGTGTGGATTTGGACTCAGATTTCTTACAAGACGAATCCATCCCGGTCACCAAGAAGAACGTTCTATCTGTTGTGTGTCAGTTCTATGATCCCTCAGGATTAGCTGCCCCCCTCATGTTCTCCGTCCGGGCACTGTTCAGTGAGATCTGTCACGATCAGCAGTGTTCCATCAACTCAATCCTGTCCGAGGAACGCACTGCCAAGTTCAGAGATGCAGTCAGAGAGATCCTGCTCACCAGGGAATTATCTTTCCCCAGGCAGGTCATTTTTCATTACCAGGCTCAACTCTTCATTTTCTTTGATGGTTCCCTGCAAGGATATGGAGCTTGTGTGTATGCTTACTCTGGCGATCAGTTCAACCTCATCTCCAGCTCCTCAAAGATATTGGGAAAATCTGCATTCTCCGCACCTCAATCAGAGATGGCTGGAGCATTACTCGCCTCCAGAATGGAGCAAAAGATTAATCAGGAACTCTTCAATGTCTCCCTCTCTCCTCCTACGTTCATTGGAGACTCAGAGATCATCCTGAGAATGATCGCTAAAAACGATCCAGCTGGAAATCCGGTGTTTTACGGAGTCAGGCTGATGGAAATCCTAGCTACGTCCTCACCCAATACTTGGTTCTGGTGTCCTGGTAACCTCAACCCAGCTGACCTGCTCACCAGATCTGGAACCAGCTGTGCGCAGGTCAACTCAGAATTCTGGTTAAATGGTAGTTTCTTACCGCAAGACAAGTCCTCATGGCCCATCATCCCCTGTTCTTCCATCACCTCCGGTGAGATTCCCACCAGGGCGGTCAACCTCGCGAAATTATCACCAGATAATCCTTCCCGAGAATATATTTTGAGTCTTCTTCATCATGAACAGAGCCTCTCCACAGTTATCCGGGCTATAAACCTTCTCCACAAGGTTTGCAGATCCTGGAGAAATGATCCTGCTCGAGAAAGAACCATCCAGGGAGAGCCCACTGCTACCTGGAATTCTATTAAATCTTCCATCTTGTCCTCAGTCCTCAAGTGTTTTACCACGGAGTCGGCGCTCATCATTGCCAACAACAAGATGAAACACCTCGTCATCCAGCTGGTGGATGGGGTATATTATTTGTCAGACCAGAGCTTCTGTTCCAGAATCGGGGTTCCTCTCATCTGCAAGAAGACTATTCTCGCCAAATGCATCCTGAACGATGCTCACGCTAATCTGGGTCACGGTAGAGATGTCCTCCATGTACTTGCACATATTCAGACAAGTTTCTTCATCCCTGGGGTCCGCAAGATGATCACTGCTTTAAAGAAGTCTTGCCCTGGATGTATCAAATTGAACAAGATTCCATTCGCAGCATTTGAAGCTGATGTCCCTGACGTCCTCAAATCCATCCAACCCCCCTTCTCCTACTGCCAGGCAGACATCTTCGGACCTGTGTTTGCACAGAAAGACGGTACCAAGACCAAGAGATGGATCCTGGTAATCCTCTGTCTTTGCAGTCGCGGGGTGCATCTAGAAATCCTACACAACTACAGCGCCCAGAGCATCACCAGAGGTTTTAATAGAACATTCGCTCTGAGAGGCACCCATAGCATCATCTGGATTGATGCTGGACTGAACATTGTCAAGGCTGGCAAGGACCTGGTCAACACTGAGATGAAGGTCATCTCTAACCTCAACTTAAAGTTCACGTCTATCGAATTCAGAGTTACTCTGCCTAAACACCACGCCGGTATTGGAGCTGTGGAAAGAATAATCGGTTCCATTAAGAATACTGTCAACAAATCCCTCACCGGACCTCACCAGCTGACCATGGATGACGAAGAACTACTTACCTGGACGCATGGAGTCATTGAAAGACTTAACAACAGACCACTGATCCTCGGAGCACCACTTGGAATCACCCTCACCCCTAACCACGTTCTCCAAGGGTTTCGAGAATGTTTCGGAGACGAGGTCAACCCCACAACATCCATCAATCAACAGATCTCCAGGTGGAATGTTGTCCTCAACTTGTTCCATTCATTATGGGAACAAGAGTACACCAGACGCAAATTCACTGTCACCTGGAAGAACCAGGGCAACCTCCCTCAGGTTGGAGATATAGTTCTGTTCAAGAATGAACCTATATACAAGAATCCACTCTCAGCTGCCAGGGTGGAGCAGCTCCTCTGCAGAAAGAACGGAGACGTCTACGGCGCAACCATCAGCTATCGGCGTGAAGTAGGGGGACGCAAAATGGTAGTGGACAGACACCTCAACCAACTCTACCCATTCATGAACCTAGAAGCTCAGAGTCCTCAAGAAATGGTTCCCAGCCTGACCTCGGACTCCACAGAAGCAAGGAATCTAGCTCCAAGCTCCAGACCGGAACCCACACAGGATGAAATCCTCACAGAGCTCAACGAAATCAATCAATAGAGCTAATACAAATGTCAACGCAGGAATCAACTATTTTAATATTTAATTTCTTCTTTTCTTTTTTTTCCCACTAACAAAATAAACAGGAAAATATTTCAATTCAAATTACTTAAATTTCCATTGAAAATTTACGATTCTTGAAGTTGACACAATCACTCGCATTTCCATTCAAATTAAATAATGATCTTCTAGCTTCATTAAATCCTTCATTCAAATCATTTCCTTTTAATTTATATTCAAAATCCATTCTCAATTTACACACTAATTTTATATTTTCCTTGACTATTCCTTAAATTACTTCATCAATTTAGCACAGGGAAATGTGCAACTCGATTTCAATTTTACTTCACAGTTTAATCTCTTCAACTATTTGCTTATTCAATACTGTATCAATTTATGTACCTCGTAATAATACTTCTGTCCATTTCAATCAATCAATCTAGTACCTATCAATCATTCAAACTAAATGTTGTAAACAAATTAATGGTTATGTTTTCATTCTCGTATGTTACCTTAACATCCTCAAACCCCTGCCTGGGGCCAGTGTTAACCATTAATTATAAGAACTCTGTAAAATGTCGTCTTCAACTCGAATCTCCTGTCGGAGACAGCCAAACCAAATTTTCAGCCCGCAATTCCCTTTGTACTCCGGCTCACGGAGCTTGAAATATTTTGTTATTGTGAAATCATTAAAGTTAAGCAAGAATATTTTCATAAGAAGCATTAGTGAACTTCGTTAAATATTCAACTGTAATTTTTTCAGAAGTTAAAAAAAAACGTATTTCAATACTGATCAACAATAAGTTTCCCCCGATCACACTCAAATATTTCGTAAGATCTTTTTTTTATTATTAATATTCATTATAACATTGTACAAGTAACCATGACCTATAATTTATGTTATTTTTTAGGAAATAAAGCTTTTGTTATCGATTTTCTGAGACGGGGTTACTCTGTTGTGTGTGTATTTTTTCGGCCTACCGGGAAAGAATTTTCCGGGAAAATAAACATCCCCCACCAGAATCCTAACTGGCCTATTATCCTGATTTGTCTATTGTGTTGCTGTCATCCGTCAACATTTCGAAATATCCCAAGCGACGGCTCTACAAAACAACCTCGAGATGAATCCAACTACTCCTCTCACTGAGGACACTCTCAACGACCTTCCTCCTGAAACCCCTCATCAGGAAGCTCAAAGATGTACGAGAAACTCTCCCTGCAGATTGCTAGGATGGGCAATTTGCCCCACACCCACCAACCATGTTCGTTTACGTTATTTGGACGGACCTTGTTCAACGTTCGTTGGGAAGAAACGCACTCTGAAAACGTTAAGCTTAACAAACATTTTGCTGCTATATTGGGACCTGTGAGGCTGTGAATTAACGTAAAATAGAAAGACGGTTGTTAGAGTCAATTTTTTGAATTTAAACAGAAAGTAATTAAAATGAAACACAGCAATTTGCATTCTATACAGACCACTTCGCTTCCTTTTCCACAGTTTTATGATTTTACATTTATAAACTCTGTTCTGCAGTTGGAGTCATGAAAGTGAAAACAGTTCCTTGTACACGGATGTATGCAATGTTATGTACCAGCATACAACAGGAAAAATATTGTATTAGATACAAAACTTAAAATTTAGAAGATTTTTATCGAACGAAACTGATACCAATCAAAAGCTATTAGGGTATTTAGTTTATCCTGAAATTACCCAAATGGATTAATTATAATTCCTTCCTATTGCCTCACACAGTAAAACCTAGTTTCCAATACTGGGTTTCAATAGCGGTAAATCTTTTAAGTTTCAACCATTGAAGTCTCATCTCATTCAAACCATTAAATTGACCCTCCATTCTTTGTGCATGTCCGATTTTTATGGGTAACCTTAAATACTTTGTCTGATCAAGTATGTTTTTCTTTTTAAACTGATCATTTGTGGTTTCTCTACAAAAGAGACTTACGCATTTCTTGCTTCAGAAACAATTAAACACTTTCAAGCTATTATTAAACAGTTTTCAAGGGTCCGGTCCTTTGTGATTCAGACATGCCCCTCTTCAAATGGAAGGTCACTTAAAATTACAATGATAGTACTTTTAACGTCGTTTATGAAAAGCCTCTAAATTATTTGACTATTTACAATTTTTGACAAAGGAGAAGGATGCCCCAGCTATCATTTAAGGTGATCTATTAATCAATTTAATATAGACGATATTCTAGTGCAGCTTTTCACTTTCTATCCAACTATACTGTGGTAGGTCTAATAACCAATATAATATAGATTATATTCTAGTGCAGCTTTTCACTTTCTATCCAACTATACTGTGGTAGGTCTAATAACCAATATAATATAGATTATATTCTAGTGCAGCTTTTCACTTTCTATCCAACTATACTGTGGTAGGTCTAATAACCAATATAATATAGCATGATATTCTAGTGCAGCTCTTCACTTTCTATCCAACTATACTGTGGTAGGTCTATTAACCAATATAATATAGACAATATTCTATTGCAGCTCTTTACTTTCTATCCAAGGCTATGGACATATCTTCTGGTGATCCTTTTCTTACATTTCATGCCTCATTCACAACAATACCCTTTAAATCTTTGTATGAACAAAAACTACGGAAATATACTTATTTAATTGTTATGTTTGTTTTGTAGATTTTTCTATATAAGTTATGTTTGTTTTGTAGATTCCATATATAGTTATGTTTGTTTTGTAGATTCTCTAAATAGTTATGACTTGGGCTTTTTTTCAGGAAAAATTACTTTCACTGTGAAAACAAATGACAGAAAAAAATTTCCAATGGATCAGTGAGATCAGTGCCTGGTATTAGACAAATTATATTTTCGAATGGATCAGTGCCTGGTATTAGACAAATTATATTTTCCAATGGATCAGTGCCTGGTATTAGACAAATTATATTTTCCAATGGATCAGTGCCTGGTATTAGACAAATTATATTTTCCAATGGATCAGTGCCTGGTATTAGACAAATTATATTTTCCAATGGATCAGTGCCTTGTATTAGACAAATTATATTTTCCAATGGATCAGTGCCTTGTATTAGACAAATTATATTTTCCAATGGATCAGTGCCTGGTATTAGACAAATTATATTTTGATCATCAGCGAAATCGGATTGTTTATATTTTGATTTAATTATTTTTTAGTAAGTTTTAAGACAGATTTTTTTAGATAAAATAGTTTTTTTAAATTCAATTTTTAAATAATTCCAATATTTCTAGATCTGGAGAAGAACCAAGAAGAATAAATCTAGAAAGTATGCATGAGGCTTTGCTAAATATTGGTAATACGAGATTTATAATAAACTAGCTTGAAAACCCAGCTTTGCCCAGGGTAACTTATAGTTACTCCCACCGATTAACCCCGCTTGGTCGTAAATTACGATTTTTTTTTCACTATAAAAAACTGCATTAACTCAAGTTTCTTAAGAACATTCCCGTAAGTCTCCCCTGAGTTCCTGAATTTAAGGCAAATCGGTCCAGGGGTTTCTGAGTTATGATCGGATATATATCTATAATTTATATAGATAATTTAAAATTAAGCATTTATTTGAATTCTTAGTGCTTTACGCCCTATTTCTTCTGTGAGATCAAGTTTTAAAGATTAACGGTACTAAAAACAAAAATTCCGAGTTTTCTCAGTGAATTTTCTTGCAAGAACGAAAATTGAACTTATTTTTGCGTATCCAAAACTTCTTGATTAAGAATATAAATAGGGAAGATGTTAAAATTATTTTCAAAAAATTTGATCTTTATATCGGTTTCAGATAAAAGTAGAGGGCTGAAGTGTTCCTCTTCAAGTAGTTGTGTCAGGTGAATATATATTGCAGACAAATTAAAATTATTTACAACGACTTTACAGGGAAGTTAAGGGAATTTTACCTTACCAAGGGTTCCCAAGACCAGTTTTACATTTAAAACATTTAGAGCGCAGCGAGGGATGTTATGTAGACAAAATTGGTCGAAGGAACCCGTGGTTAGTTAAATTTGTAATCAAAAACTTCGCTTCAGAACGGGTGGTAATTTTACATAACTGTCCCAAGGGACGATAAGTAACTTTACTACCCTCTGTTTGGGGAATCATAGGTAGGTTAAAAGACGGTAAAAAAATTAATCTTGCCTTAATATACCTTGCTCTAGTTAAGTATACATTGGGAACCCAAACCTGGTGAATGAATATCATATTTGCATTTTCTTTTTCTATTTTCTTCTTGGAACAAATAAATTACTACAAATAGACCCATGACAGGACATTTTTTCAGAAATAAATCATTTGCAAAAACGGTTCGAGTTTTAATGTTTTCTGATCCCCACTCTGCAATGTTTTAAGACAGAAAATATTTAGAAAATAAGGAAATCATTTTTTTTCTCCTTTTTTATTTTGTGAGATGCAAAATATTTTAATTCATTTTGAAAATACTACATTGACTTCATGTTCATAGTGTACATTTAAACATTATTTAGAACATAGGTTTTCAGGTTTACTCAAGCAAAAGAGAAGAAAAATGTTCAAGTTTCTGTTTTCTGTTCCCAAGGAAAATCTAACATTAAAGAGGTATATTTTATGATAAAATTTTCAAAACAAATCATTCAGATACTACAACCTATAGTCATCGATTATCTTTCGCCACATTTGTATATAGTTTATATCTTATAATATTTTTTAATTAATTTGCTTTAAATTTGATTATTTCTCTTGTCTCTTGCGCAATTATCTAAGAATGCCGCGTACCACTCACATTTATCGAAATCCGTTAAAAACTTTTCTTAAAAAAAAAATATTATAAAATATAAACTTGTTAAAACAAATTCGAAATATAAGGAAGACGATTTTTCCGACTCAAATGCCGACGTTAATTCTCTAAATGTGTGTGTACACAGGAAGCAAGCACACCACTGTAAGAATTATACAAATTCAACCTTTTAGAATTTGTACAATTCCGTATGAGAGCTCTCCAATCGAACAGTTCTCATTCTCATTTTTATCTGAAATGGCGCTAAGTTATTCGGTATGAGACGTCTTTAACAATTTTCTCCTTATAGACGCAACAGATAGAAGTAAAATTAGTAGCGATCAAAAGCGCTTTTTTATCGCATTAAGCCTATACCCCCGTTATTTTTCGCGAACACTCCCTAAAGTTCTTTCCAAAATGTAAAGTTTAGATCTGCAGCTCGATTGAAAATTTGGACTAATGAAAGTGTTTTTGTAATACTGGACTTTCTAATAGTTTACAAAACATCTTTTAATTACTATTTTTTATTGAAGTTTCAATGTGAAAGTGTGAAAAACGCGGCCTATTGAGAAAGCACCAGACAACAATAAGCAAGACAAAATCTTGATTAGATAAAAAATAAATATGAATATAAACAAATGACATAAAGAGAGAACCCCGTGTGTATTTAAGAACCTTTTATTTATATAATTCTAACCATGTGAAATTTTTTTGATAAAAAACGCAATTATTTATTCACTGAAATAAGAAATGAAATGTACAAAAAATAAAATCTTGAAATAACTGTATTTTTAAAGATAAGCAAAAACAACTTTTGTTAAAAACTAAAAAATTCATTCTTAACTTCAGCAAGCTAAAAAGAAAATTAAAAAACTTTTAAAAAATGCTGAATGTATTTTTCAGGGCTGCTTCTCAAAGAATGTATTTTCAGGGCTGCTTCTCAAAGAATGTTTTTCAGGGCTGCTTTTTAAAGAATGTATTTTCAGGGCTGCTTCTCAAAGAATGTATTTTCAGGGCTGCTTCTCCAAGAATGTATTTTCAGGGCTGCTTCTCAAAGAATGTATTTTCAGGGCTGCTTCTCAAAGAATGTATTTTCAGGGCTGCTTCTCAAAGAATGATGATTTAGAAGAAATATGTTTCTGTGACGCTGACTATTGCAACAACTCATCTGAGCTGAAGACCCATCCATTGCTTCTTTTATCTTTCTTATTTTTTGAATTAAGCTTTTCACCTGAATTTATAATTCACCCATAGATAATGAACCTCATAGATATATTGTTTTAATTAATAAATATGCTATTTCTTTTAAGTTTTGCCCTGTCATCCAACTCATCCAATAGTTTGGGATATTATATGTATAAGTGTATATTATATATGATAAAAATAGACAAATTTTACATTAAACAGTTTTTGAAAGCTTTTATTTTTTAATTTTAGAATCATGCTAAAAAACAAATTTGGAGAAAAATGTGTATGTAAGAAGTACAGTTTCTGAATACGTTTTTACTTCTAAATAATGTCATATTTCCATATTGGATTTATTTAAGATATTAACATACTACATTGACGACAAGAAAATTTTTGAAAATAGCAATAGAATATAAACATAAAAGAATATTTTTTCAAAGTTTTGCAGAGTAGCGTTTCTAAAGATTTAAAAAAGTAACATCTTTTTCCTCTTAGAGTAAAACTATTTTTTATGTTACTAAAAATAAATAAAGTTTTTTTACAGATCTTTGTAGTTAATGTAAAATGAATGACTATAATGAAGGATATCTGCAAACAAGGTGAAAGCTGAAAGGTAGTTTAATGAACTTTTTATTTGATGTCGAGTTTGTAAATGCCAGAAATGAGTGACAAATGCAAATCAACCCCGAAATTAAAACCAATAATTTGATATAAATTAGGATTTTTTTTTTGGGGGGGGGGGGAAATTCCGGGATGTAAAAAATTAGAAAATTTTACCACCCCCCTTACAGAATCCTTATTTACGCCCTGTGATCGTTTTCCACTTCATTTTTAATGAAAAAGTGGTGCCTCGTATCAAAATTAAATGACTAGAAGGTGGTTGTTCCCTTTTTGCGCTCCTAATTTTTCCACGGGGGTCGTCCTGCCCCTTCCCCCATCAATAGTGCCCCCTCGGTTTTGTCAATATAATTGCTTTAGCTAAAAAACATGTATATACTGCGTCTGCGCAAAGTATAAAGTTTGCGCCTGCGCAGAATATTATTGTCCTAGTCAGCATTCAGCTGCAGGCTTTTGCCTCCTTCCCCGTGCTCTGCCGAGCTGTGGGTACAGACTACAGAGTACGGATTACGGACAGGCACTCTCAAGTCTCAACTCAATCTACAATCATCTAGTATATAGTTAGTAGTTCAGTTGAGTGAGTATACGCAGTACACGCAAGTTGCAACACTCAGCACACACAGTTCACGCAAGTTGAAAGAACATTTACTTAACAAGTTAACAGTGCGATACTTATACATTTTGATAGTACATCTTTAAACCATAATGCAAATAGTGCACAAATCATTAAAAGTGAAGTTATAAATAATACCAAGAAATATGGTAAATATTAAAATTCTACTAATATTATGGCAGCTGAAACACTATCCCCCCCCCCTCTTACGTTTAGCTGATGATAGTCGATACAATAAAGTTAAAGTAAAAGAAACTATAAATATTAAGAGGTTTATTGTTACCAAGCTTTAAATCACTGTTTTCTGTATCTAGTGTAATTTTTCTGGGGAGGGGGGTCCAAAAATTGTTAACTAGGACGGACCCCGATAATTGGACTAGGACAGGCTAGGGGGCCGGGCGCTGCGGCCACATAATCAATTGTATCCATGTCTTACTTATAAGATCCATGTACAAAAATTGATAGAAGGGGGAAGGGGGGTTGGTCTAAAAATCGTACATTAGGAAATTACCCAATTGTGCCTTGTTGTAAAAGTTGTATGTTGGATCACCTCACCTTATGTTAAGTAGGTTTAAACTTTTATAATTGGGTTTCCTCCCAAGATACACAGGGTTACCCACAAAGGATGAGACTGCAAAAACGACATTAAACCAACCAAAAGTTAAATTAAGGTTTGTGAATTTAAAAATAGCTAAAATTTTATAAAATGTTATGGCAAAGAAAAAATAAGTGTACAGTTGCAGGATATCATGAAAATATGTAAAGAGACAGTATAAATTCTGTACAGTTGTTTTTGAAGTCTCATCCTTTGTGGGTATCTCTGTATAGTAGATTTTATTTATCATATTAAAGCTGAACATATGATATAGTATTAAGTCACATTGATTAAAAAAAATATATGTAAACTAAATAAAAATACTAATCTGAGGATTAATAGTTGATTTGTCTGAAGAGACCATGTTGGATCTACAATATACCCATTCACATGAGCAATTCATTATATTGCATATTGCATAAACACATGAATGCTAGCTTGTTTTTGAAAAACTTTCTGGAGACCTGACATGGCTCCTGGGATGGTTCAATTTTATTTTGATCTCACTTAAAAAAAATATCCTTGAGAAAAAAGATTGTTAGTTATTTTGTGTGACTCGATCAAGAGTGGCATTCATGGCATGTGTCGTGTCGATTGAAAATGATATTCTTAAAACCTTTGTCTGATCAAGGGTAACATGAAAACAAGCTTAATAAAATCAGCTGTTTTCAATAATTTATTCAAAAATGAAAAGTTTTTTTTTTCGTTTTTTCCTGTTTTTTTTTTGTCGAAATTCTTCATATCTCCTGTTATTAATCGAGCAGTTCTTTTAGTAAAGGATCAAGTGGAATTTAGTTGTCAGTCCCTTTTATTCAGGTCTTAGATCGTTTCACATTTAGTTCTTTACTCATAGCGCTCATATTTATGAAATCAGCCTTCTTGTAGTTTAAAGGATTAAAAAACAAAACAAATTATAGAATATAATTATAGCACAATGCACATGATACTCAACCTGTGAACTTGCATTAAAAAAATGAGCAGGTTTATAACAATTTGGAATTATGAATGTACCTCCATATTTTAATTTCGAGGCTTTTCGGATGGGTAGGCGTGGGGGGGGGGCAAGAGATCCCCCCCCCACGCCTTGCTTAATGTTGTTTTGAAGGGAAATATCAAGATTATAGTGTGGTGTGCAAAGTATATTTAAAAACCTGTCTACTGGCTAAGCTGGCTTACTGCTTTACGGCCTTGCTTGTTACTAGGCTAGTCCGTCCTATACGATATTAGACAACGTNTTTTCTCACTTTTTCTCCCTTAGAGCTTTTAAGGGTTTCTCCAAAAAACCGGTTTTTGTATTGAAAATTTAGAGTAGTCCCTTCGTTTTTTGGCCATAAATCAAAAATAAAGATGTGGACAGTATTCATCAGCTTGAGATACATCTTTTTACACCAATATTGATATATTTTGAAGATTTTTTTGGGGTCCTACTAGTGATTTTTTTGGTCTATTAATTCCTTAAAATGGCTCTCAGCCCGAGAGCTAAAAAAGATTTGATTATTTTTTTTGCAAAATTTTTTAAATAGTTAAGCGCAGTTATATCACTATAAGGGCCTTAAGCTTGGTTTCAAAAGCGACCCGGCCACCCTGCTGCCCCTTATTCTTATTATTTTGAAGTGTAAAAAGTGAAAGCATGATCCTTATCTACTTGAGATTAACAACATGTTTTTACGTCACGTCTTGCGGGTTTAGGGTTTAATTTCTGAGAAGTGGAATTTGATTTTTCAGATTTAAATCTTTATTTCGTGATCACAAATTTAGATTACAATTGTAACATTTTTAATACATGTTGCGTTTATCAATAGTTTTACATAGGTTTCTTCAGGATTTTCATTTAAATTGTTATTTGAGGGACTGTAAGCGTAATTTCAAGTGACCTTCCATGCAAAGATGGCAAAGCCTGATTTAAATGGTTCCCTTTAAACTGTTGTGTGTTCATTTAGTACAGAGATTTTTGTGTCTAAACTTAACGAAAACTGCTTGTATTCTCACAAATTCAGATGTTTGCTGTAAACAACGTGAATTCAAAAGAGCTGCGACGTTACTAGCTTCCCATGAAATGTCGTCTTTTTAACGTTAAAAGCGGTTTTCAAACATTTGAAAGTAAATATTTATTTTCCGCCTCTTCTAGAAATAAAAACGCGCGCGCGCACGCACTTTTGCTCAGATTCCTTCAAAACCAAAAAATGCACGTAATATACATAATTCTGAGTTTGCATGCAAAAAATCAGCCTCCTACGACAATTCTAAGTTATGTTTAAACACTGTTTAAATTTTCCGGAGAGTAATACGTTTTGTGGCCCCCCCCCTTTTGCGAATTTCTGGTTGTGAAAATTTAAAAATAAACATTTATATTTTCTAAAAAAGTTAAATGTATAAATTTAATAAAATTAATGTCACTAGTTAAAAATTACGAATATAAATTATAAGTTATAAAATAGTATTAATACTTTTTTTTATGTTCTAGATAAAAATGTAGAATACAATTAGTTTTTCTCTGTGTATCTAGAGTCTAGGAAGACGAGGTAAGATTTGTTCAAATAATGTTAAAGGCTGAACATTTTTTTGTTCAAATTCTTTTTCCACGGGCAACGCCGGGCCCTTCAGCTAGTTATACATATTCCCCTTGGCCTCGTCAAAATTATTTTTTCCAATTATGGCACAATCTTATTCTTCGTGGGTAAAATAAATAGGCTGCTTCAGAATATAGAATTTTTTTTAGGGCCGGGGCCGGGGGGTAAATGAAGCTATAACGAGTGTTTAATATTTTTAATATTATTTATAAATTATGGGAAGTTTTTTCTTAAGGATTATTATATTTTTAGATGGATTCGACGGAGGAGCCGGTTGCTGGGAAGACTAAAGTTAGAAAAAGATATGATATCCCAAAAACTGCAAAATGCCATGTTTGCGGTAGGTTTAATAACATTTTTACTCTTCTGCAATTTTCTGTGGCATACAGGGTGGCCCGAAAAAAAGTCTGCAGGTTTTAAGTCCCCGCAATTAGAAAAAAAGGGGAGTCGAGAGGGATAAATAACTTTTTGCCATTTCAATCTTTTTGTCATTTTATTAAATATGAAATAATACCATTCCCAAGTTGGTACAAATTAGTCACTCCAAATAGATTATCAAGTACACTAGGTGGCAACAGAGAAATGGATCAATTATTAACGACGTAACAAGCGTCTAATATAACAAAGAAAACGAAATTTTCTCACATTATTTGACACGCTTTTCAAGATAAATTAAAAAGCGTAAAAACCGAAAATAAATAACACAAACTTGCACCATTTTCATTTTTAAGATAAGCTCATTATTCTAAAATTATCACTATTTTTAACAATTTTGTCGGACACAATACTCAGTTGACACTTGTGATGTCAGTATACAGAGCTATACAGAGTGTACAAATACTATAGTTGCCATCTATTGTAATTGACAATCTATTTGGGTCACTCTGTATTACCTTGTTAGTTAGTTTTCATATTTATTATCTCAAAACAGCATAATTTAACGGGTTCAATGCACTGGGGATGATTCAAACATTTTCTATTTTTACAATTCAGCATGTTTGAACCAATAAGCTTTTAGAACCATTTGACAATGCGAAACTTTTATGATTTTATTTGGAAATCTGAAATATCTAGTTATGGCGAGTCTAGTTGTGAATGCTAATAGAATGATTTGTATTGTATTCAATTTTAATCTGATCTGATCTAAAAAGCAGAAAACCTACACTGCCGGTGTCCTACATCGGTTCATCCAACCTGTTGCAGGTTGGATGAACCGATGTATTGTCCCTAGAGTACACAATGTAATATTGTAATAACTAAATAAAAAATGTTTGAAAAGTATTAAAATGCGAAAGTAAAAGAAAGGCACGAAACGTTAATTACATGCAAAGGAACTGAGATTTTGCCACACACTCTAATTTCTTAATCCCTATATCTGTTCAACCTGATGCTGTAAACCTTTAATATTTCAAACTAAGATTATTTCAGAATTCATAGTTTGAAATATCAAAGGTCTGTAATAAATGTAGTTTGAACATGAACATGCCTGTAGCAAAAATAGAAACTATATTAAATTATGTTGAATATTGTCCATATAGATTTAGTTGCTTATTTCTAAATATATGTATGGATATTGTTTATTGGGGCCTATGATACATAGAACTTATCACGTGACCTAATGGTTCGATTTGATAGTTAGGGCCTCACCACTGTTCTGCTACAAGGATTGAACCATTTTTTTGTTCCATATTTTTGTCTTTTTTTTCTCGAAGTTATTTAACGCCAAGATTGTGTAATTTTCAATTGAATTGTTTTAAAACTGTGCGTTGAATTTTTTACAGAGATGTATCAGTTTCAAATTACAATATCTTTTGTTAGATTTTTAAGGAATTGCAAAGCTAAGACGACATTAATTTAACATTTCTCTGGTTCTTACTGTACAAATAAACTTTTAATGAAATTTAAAAACATTTTAGGTGATTTGGCAGCAGAACATCTTCATTATGGAGGGATTGCCTGTTACAGCTGTAGAGCATTCTTTAGGTAAGGATTTTATTTTCTTTGCGATTTATCTTTTTTTAGATTATTTGATTGTTTCATTCTGATATTTTGGTTCTTTTTTCCTAGTTACTTTGATTCTTTGATCCCTTTGATTCTTTGATTTTTTGATTCTTTGATTCTTTGATTCTTTGATTCTTTGATTCTTTGATTCTTTGATTCTTTGATTCTTTGATTCTTTGATTTTTTGATTACTTGATTCTTTGACTTTTTGTCACTTTGATTCTTTGATTCCATAATACCGCGTTTCTTTGGTTCTATGTTACTTTGATTTTATTAATTCTTTGTTTTTTTTGCTTCTTTGCTTCTTTGCTTCTTTGCTTCTTTGTTCTTTGATTTTTTGATATCTTGCTCTACTTTAATGATGACAGGCGGACAGTTAACAGTACCCGACCAATGCTGGACTGTTCCAATGGTGATAACTGTACTATAAACAAGGAGACTAGGAAACGTTGTCAGTCCTGTAGATTCGATGTAAGTACAATAAGAAGTTACTTAAATTTTTTTTAATTATGTAACGAACAACCAGAAAACAAAGAATTATTTTCATCTTATTATACCAATAACAATGTGAGCGCTGTTCCAGTATTACAACTTTAACAGCAATTTCACGGGTTTAAAACTACGATTATTAAGTTCTAAGCTAATGAGAACAGTTAACAGAATTTAAGCTAATGAGAACAGTTAACAGAATTTAAGCTAATGAGAACAGTTAACAGAATTTAAGCTAATGAGAACAGTTAACAGAATTTGCCACAAAATCTGATTTTTAATTGAATTTCAGTTTAAATCCCAAACTTATTGACTTTAAGTGTAAAGTAATAAGGCATCTCTTTACCAATCATAATTTTTATTTTGTCAATTTGATGCTTAAACTTAAAGAATCTTTAAAAATAAGGAAATGTTATCTTATCAATTGTTGAAGTAGACTAAGAGGGTTTTGTTTCAGAAATGCAAGGCAGTTGGTATGAAATCTCTGTGGGTTCTATCAGAGGATGATAAATCCAAGTTGTCCGGATTAACTGATTCTATAAAGCAGAACCCAGCCAAGGAGATCACTATAAAGAAGGTAATACAACAACATAACATTGTCTTCCTCGTCGAATCAGGGGTGTATATTCTTCAGAATTAATTTTAACAATTAGAGGGGGGGGGGAGTTAAAAATTTGACATAAAAAGGCAAGTTTTTTCATTCTTTTTTGAACCTTATTTATTTTCCCCTAAAACTCCGTTATTTATCCCCAACAAACCCTAAAAAAATGTTTGGTTCTCCGCTCCGCTTAAGTCTGCATAAGATCAGAAAACATTCACAACAAAGAAGTTTGGACTTGAGATCGATTAATTAAAGGTACACATCATCAGGAATTGCAAAGATGTAGATCATAGAAAACTAGAATTTGAAGCGAGTAATCTGTTCGTTTCCTGTACTTTATTTTTTAAATTTATTTCAGAGTAAGGTAAGATACAGGGATACCCACAAAGAATGAGACTTCAGAGACGACTCTACAGAATTTTTGCATACTTTATACACACTGTTTGGGTTCCCTGCTGCTTGATCATCGAGCAGTACATTTTTAGTGCAAAATACCAAATTCAACCTTCTCTATATTTCGAAGATTTTTTGTTGTCATCAAAATTGCAACCTTTGTAGGTAACCCCATGCATTTCATACAAACTTTCGAGTACTTAAATTAGAATTTAATTCAACAAAGTTTTTAAGAACTTTAAACTTTCATGCTTTTTCTTTTTCGCTCTCTCTTTTAATTAAAAGTTTGGTTCTTTTAATTAAAAATCTTGTTAACAATTTTGATGTTGTTGTTTTATATATTTGTCCAAAATGTAAAGAAGTTAAAACTTTTGTGTTAAATGGCGTAAATTGACAACTCGATATTCAAATTTGATCTAGGGCACACCACAGGATATCCAAGAAGAAGAAATAAATCCGTAGATTAAATTAATCCCGAGGCATGACAAAATCTGACCTCTGGAGTACGAACTCTTGTATCAAGCATTGAGTTCTATTTGAATTAATCTAATCACTATTAGATATCCCGTGGTGGTCATACCCTGTAGGGATGGCTTTAAATATGGGATCAAGCATTTATACTAAAGTTTAAAAGCACCCACACTGGATGTTGAGATCAAGTGTTAAAGATTTAAGATGCTACGCACAAAAGTACTGACCTTTAAGGACACTTAATTTGAAAAATTAAATCAATTCTATTATTAGCATATCTTGATTTAAAAGAAAACGAAGACGACTTATATTTATCTGTTTTCAGTTCTCATTGTATTATTTGACTAGGAGGAGATAGATGATGAAAATGAGACAAATTATCCTTCCAACTCCAACATGCAAGGTCTGTAGTATATAAAAACAAGGCTACTTCTACTTTAACTTTTATTTGTTAATCTTTAAGAATTTTCTCTTAGATAAACAAAACAATTTTTTTCGGATTTATATTTTTTTCCGGAATTTTAAAATTTTACGGAAGTCGAAAAATGTTTGAAACATGTAATTCTGAGGATTCATAAGTTGAGTCTCCTCAACAATTTCGGGCCCAAATCGGTTCAGCTGTTTTGACATTTATTGAATAAAGACTAGGCTATCTTCTATTTCAATTGTGACCATTTTCTCTTTTATACATAAAACAAAACCAAAACAAAAGTGTCGTGGATTTTATTAAAAAAAATTTCGTGGATTTTCGAAAATTTTCAAAAATCAAATTTTTTTAGAGGAAAATTTTTGAAAATTCGATCCTCCATAAACCTTCCCTGGTGTCATGTGACTGTGAGGTCCCACTAAAAATTTGGGCCCGATCGGTTCAGCCGCTTTGACCTTTATTGAATACAAACAAACAAACAGACACCCAGACAACAAAAGTATTTATATAAAGATGAAGAACTTGTCACTACTATTTTTTATCCTTTCTGGAACCAGATTTAATAAATATTGAGAAGTTGTTGAACTACAGTTTAGTCCACTTTTACCATTTCTGGATTTCAAGCAGCTATTAACATTCATAGCTGAATTAGTGTATAAAGTCACAGACTAAAAATTTTAAATGTGTTCGTGAAATCTTTTGTTATTTCAAACTTAGATTATTTGATCTAATAGAATTTAGTTTGAAATATCTAAGGTCTATAGCATTGGGTTGCAAAGATATAGGGATTAAAAATCAGAATTCCTATACTTGTATCACACTAATCACAAACCTTGGTGAAATTATGAAACAAAACGAAATAAGTTCTATACAATCATGTATCATCCGTTGTGGGTTAGTTTATCCTTTTAAACTGTTAATGCTCAAATTTAATTTGTTTACAATTTAATTTTAGGAGTTGGAATGTCAAATATATATAACCTGCCTTTTCTGGGACAGGGACAATATAATCAGCTAGGGTTTTCACACAATAGCAGGTAAATTAAACTTGATTTTAGTTTTTGAAAGTCTTTTTTCTATTTTAAGGGACTGAGATGTATTTAAAGTGACCCACAAATCTACACAGTGGTACGTCCGATTAGTACCCTTTGAACTTTTAACTGGTCAAGGATTAATGAGATTTCGTTTTCAAAAGAATTAGGTTTTTAGGGCGCTTCACGCCCGTCTTGTATTTTAATTGTGAACATTTTCTCTTAAAATACATTGGAAAACAAAAACAAAAACAAAAAAGTTTTCGGATTTTCTAAATAATTCGTGGATTTTTAAAAATTGAATGAAAATCGAGTTTTATTGAAGGCAAATTTTTGAAATTATTTCGATCATTTATAAACCTTCCCTGGGGATATGTGTATTCCCACACAAAATTTGGGCCCGATCGGTTCAGCCGTTTTGACGTTTATTGGATGCAAACGGACAGACAGACAGACACCCGGTCAGATAAGTGAAGTATATATATAGAACTTTAACAATAGTGAACATTAGACTCTTGAAATTCTGGGTCATGTAGAATAACTTCTGCATTCCGTTTAATTGATTTATTATTCTCACTTTAGGGGAGTTGTATTTCCAGAAAATATTGTAAAAATTTGTATCCCCCAGAAGTGATGTTCGTTTGCAAGGAGCGGAAAAAAATCCGACCTTTTATTTTTTCTTCCAAATCATCAAAAATTTGAAAAATATACTTTATACACCCCTGACACATTTTACATGAAAGATCGGCAACTGATACTTTTAGTTTCTTGATATATCTTTCTAACATGTAAACAAAATTAAATGATTAACCCAACATTTTTGAATTTTGGTTGTTTTTTTTACTTTTTATTTTTTTCATGAATCTCACTACCTTAGAACTTGACACTTTATACTTTTATTTTATAAAACTGGGGCATTTTATACCTACAGGGGGGGGAGAGGGGGCGAAGCAGTTCAGACATTTGATTATCTTGCTTTTCTTTTAACCTTAATAATTATTTCTTTGCAAAAACCCCTTCAAGGAGCAATGAATTGGCATGAAGTTGAACAATGTCTTAGTTTACCATAAAGTTGAAAAAGCTCTTCAAGGAGCAATCTATTACCATAAAGTTGAACAATCTCTAGCAAAAATTTAAACTAGGGTAAATTCTCTTTATATAGCTTATCAAATATTACAGGTTGGTTGGAGGGGAACCCTCAGTGTTCTCTGGTAGAAGTAGCATCTCTGGAAGTATGTACTCCGGGAAAAGTGGAAGCGTGTTTCATGGAAATAAAGACGACCTTTTATTTCCCGAGCACATCAACAAAGATGACCTTTTTCAACCAGACCACCAACCCCCACAGGTCTTTAACACTTAATTTTATCAATGACGAAATATGACCAATATTTTTATAGATATTTGCAGTCGGGGTTAAAAGTTCCTGAACTATAGAATCTTGTATATATATAAATACGTTAATATGTTTGTAAGAATTAATGTGGAACACGTTGTTAATCCTATTCATCATTCAAATTATTTTTGTTGTTGCTGAACTTGGTTCTTAAGCACTAGCTTTGGAACCCAGTTTTCCCTAACCCTCATTTTAGAATCTTTAGATCAAGCCAAAAAAAAAAATAATGGCAAATGGGTCAGATGGTTTATTATCGGGTATCCAAACAGTGATTACTACTTTTTTTTAACTTTGCAACATTTTCTTTTATTTTCAAACTCTGGTATTGGCGGTAGTGAGATTTCAAAATCCAAAATAAAAAATTTCAACTTTTATTTTCAAACAGTGGTATTGGCAGTAGTGAGAATCGGTTCAGTCGTTTTGACGTTTATTGGATACAAACGGACCAAACAGACAGACACCCGGTCAGACAAGTGAAGTTTATATATAGAAGTTTAACAATAGTGGACATAAGACTCTTGAAATTCTGGGTCATGTAGAATAACTTCTGCACTCCGTTTAATTGATTTATTATTCTCACTTTAGGGGAGTTGTATTTCCAGAAAATATTGTAAAAATTTGTATCCCCCAGAAGTGATGTTCGTTTGC